CACTTTGATGAAGGAAAACATGAAATATTCCGTTTTGTTCCGCAAATTTCTTATTATTGATCATATTGTATGTTTTTTTAGACGCACTAAAGAGTTTCCGACGAGGAGATTTCATGGGAAGATGTCGAAAATGAGCCGGAAGACGTAGCTGTTTAATATTTCGGTGATGGTTTCAACTCTCCTCTCTTTTTTTTATTGTTAATCAAAGACTTTTTGTCATACTCCAACATTTTAATCAATTAAATGAAGAGGAGAAGAAAAACAACACATTTATTGTCAGTGGATGGAAAAGGAGTGTGTTAACATTTAATCTTGACAAAAAAATAAGAGTCACACAGTCGAAGAAGGATCCTGAGAAGATCCATGAGTCGCATTTTGAATTAGCCAAAGAGTTATAGAAATCGTTGAAATTCACCCCATGACTTTGTTTGGATAAATTTCGCTTGGCTTTGATGACTTTTTTGGGAGAAGTCCCTCAAATATCCGACACAGTTCCTTTCACTTTCATTTTTTTCCATTTCTTTCGCTGCAATAAAGTGACTTGTAGGAAGTGGCATTTCCTAATGACTTTTCTGAAAGAAACTCGTCTTAAGCGGCATCAACTGATCTATCACAATTGCAAATTGCAGCTATTCACACTTTGCCCGTTTCTCTGCAACGTTGACTGTTCGTCGCGGTAAATGGCCAATGATTGGAATTCAATTGTTGCAGAAGTTCATGTTTCAATTGATGGAGCCGCTTATTTTCTTAATTTTACTCTGCTCGGTCTTTTCGCTTCTTTATTGAACCCAAGAATTTCAATTAAATAATGTTCACGACGAACACACAGAGGCACTTGTATTTTGACTTTGAAGACTCACAGAGACGTGATAATATTTTAAGTAGAGGACTTTTATTGAGTGTTCGTAAGACAATTTATTCCCCTGACACAAGTAGAGAAGTGATATCTCTTTCACTTCATACCATTCATACCAAATATATGGACATATGAGATTATTGAGGCCATTCCTGGTAAATTTGAGGTATTGTTTGATAATGACTTCGTTAGACAATGAAACAAATAGTCCTCCGATAAAATCATTAACATCACGCTCTCGTAAATTATGCACACACGACACTTATCTTGTAAATATTCACTATATTTTGTCCATGATAAAAAAAGTGCACCAATTTAAGAGTCGATAAGTATAAAAGTGTTTCAGCTTTCATATGAACATCTGATCTTTTCCTTAGTCATTCTGCGTTGGAGTTAACTCTTTAATCAACTGTTATAATCAGAAGGGAGATGTAAATGCAATTCATTACCATTCAAATGACTCTATTTGTTGGGCGAGAACATGATTCTCTGCAACACTGTATCGTAATATGATTTTTTTTTTAAGAATAACTCTTAATACCCAACATCGTAAAAATTCAATCTCCCACAATCGTTTTCTTAATTCATATTCAAATGCTCAGCACTCGGTGTAAGTCAAATATGGAGATGTCATTATTTAATTATCCCACTACCAATTTTGGATCGCAATGCCCATAAATAAATCTTCCTTGGACGTTTTGTAAATAGGAAAATGACAATAAAAAACACACCACTTAATGTGGTCGTAAAAGTGTAAAAGGTGACCTGCAGTAGAACATTTTGACTGTAATTCTAAACCATAAATTTTGGAGGCTCAATGCTGAAAGATTGACCCTAAATCTCATCGCGGTGATTAAAGAAGGGCCGAAAGGAAGTGCTGGTATGAGGGAGTGTGAGGACAAGATTCTTTTACGATCACATCTCTCTTATCAATCGGCATCTGAATTTCCTCAAGGATTGACTGAAGACTGTAAATACAAAGTAATGGTATAAAATGAAATTCATAGCGCGTATAAAATCACATCATTAATCCACATTAAAAAGACCGCGGCGGCAGGATATCTCTCTTCGTTGGCTTTTCTACTTGATATTCACATAAAACCGTTTTATAGGATTTCAAGTGGAGGAAGATGAAAGGAATACACAACTGATTGTCTGCGTATCGATGAGATAAAATTTTACTATCCCTCAATCAGTTGTATCGTGAGTTTTCCATTGATATTTAAATATTGACTTTATTATTATTTTGTCAATAAGACTGCCTTGATTTGGGCAAACTAATGGTGTGATTAGAAATACATATTTTAAGATAAGTATATTATTTCTACTTCTTTGTGAGGAAAATGTTTTTTTTTTAAGTCATTCCCCATTGTCAATGACTACACTCCAAAGCTAAAGTAATACATTTCCTAGTATTTGTATTATTATTTATGATCTGATTTTGTGGGACATCAGTAAAATCGCGATTTATTATGTGCCCAAGAATAATTTGAAAATATATGCACGACACATTTGAACAATGTGCGATGCAAATTTATTGCCATTTTCTCACATTATGCAATGCCTGCACAATTCACCTGAGAAATCTGGCACTTTCTAAAATTGAATTTGTACAAGCCAATTTGCACCTCAAACACACTGTGCAGATAAGAGTTCTTAAGTCTTTCAGCTGAGCTAAGAGACAAACACTGAAATATCCAGTCGCTTTGTCTATGAACTTTTATACTTCATGAGCAAAGTAAACATGAATTTATGGGGCAAGGCAAGAAGTTTGTCTTGGAAAGTAACTATTTTTTACCAAACCGGTAAAAGTGTGTATTATTTAAATTCTGCGGTGTTTCTGTACTTGTCACCGTGAGATGTGTTGCGTGTCGCTATTAATTGCCTATTTTAGTTTCTCGTAGGCAATTTCTCCGGAAGCTGGGGCTGCAAAGACAAATAACAAGATGCACAGCAGGAGTACAAAGTAGCGCAATTACAGCACTTAATTTGTCTCCTTGGAAATGTGTATCTTTGTCATGTGACTGATCCAGCTTCTGAGGAGGAAGTATCTTTCACTGGCGTGAAATTGGTTTTTTTTTCTTTCATGAAAATGATCCTCGCTCAAAATACAAGAGTTTTTTTTTCTCGAGGAAGTTGAAAAAATGCTTTATATGAATAGGTAATCTTGGATTTTCCATAAGATCATCCGATTAATTTTTCTCACTAGGCCGTTTGTTTATTCGTGGTATGATGTAGATTAAAGAAATATTAAATGTCAACCGTTACTCAACACACACACACACACACATCATTAATTAAATCCCTTAAAGCTTGAATAAACTGCTTACAAGTCTTTCTTCCACCTCACTGAGCAAATAGATTTTTGTGGAGAAAGACAATTTGAATAAATGTATAGCGATTAGTCTTCTTATAATAAATCCTAATGAAGTGTGGAGAAGAAATTTCGGGTGGTCCTTTTTTATGAGCACTCATCCATCCATATAAATTAAAGAGCGAGACTTTAGAATTCCTCTAGCGCTACTTCTGATCCCGTGCATGTTGAAGTTGAAATCCCTAGACAGAAATTATTTGTATATCGTCACGCGTTATTTTGACTCTTCGCTCTCGCTCAATTGGTATTTATGAAAGACTCACCACATCAAAGAGATAAGACGGGACGTACGAAGGTGCCGCAGTGCACACACATCTTCATCAGTAAATCAATCATTATGAAATGCAATTCGTATTTTACGATGATAAAACATTTGCCAAAGATTAACAGATAAAGAGGATGTTCCCCTGTTTAACCACTTGTCGCGAGTTCACACAACGAACAAGATAGTAAAATTGAGTGTTTTCAATATCTTTAATAGATTTTTTGCGTATTTTATTTATTTTACGATTTGTATATAAAAACTTGCAATTACCTGCCATTTAATTGGCGGAATTTTATGACTGGCCGTAAATTACATAGAGGAAATGTCAATAATGGCGAAAGATGCCTGAAATGATGGTAAAATTACAGTCAGTTGACATCGGAAAGTTGTAGTGGTGTAAATTAAAATTAAAATTACTATACCGTACGAACGAGATGAGAAGGAAATCATGTTATTCAATCGAATTAAGGTAACTTTTGTACTGCAATTGAGTGAAGGGAAATTGCTTCTCACATGTCCGAATTTTCTCAAAAGCTTCTCTCCTTCTCAAGGCAGTTGTAAAACCGTGGCATATCAATCTTTCTATTTACAAGTCAACTCTTCCAGAGACACTTTTCATCAAATGAATAATGACACCACCAAGGTCTGCGTCTGATTCGCTCCTGGTGCTGGACAATATTGAATTATATCATGTGTAATATTGTAATTGAGGCAAAATGTGAATATGATAACAAAATGCTATTTGGTATTGGACGTAAACAAATCTAGTTCATCTCAATCTCTCTCTCCCTCGTTCCATATGGGTACAATTACTCGAAGAAATTACACTTGAGAGAGACTCAAAGCAAGTTGTCTTCAACTTAATTCGCTAAATTGAATAATTGACCAGAATCAGAACAATGAATTCATTTTAATAAATATCATTAGATCTCATGAGGCAGAATTGTCAATGGAGAAGACACTGGAATACCCAAGGCATTGTAAGTGAGGTCCCAGACCTATAAATTCTTCTTAGTGTAAATTGCATTTAAACATCAAATCAATGCCATGTCTTAGGAAGAGAAGATTTCACTTTGTAGTGAAGTAAAAATGGATACCTTTTCGAGAAAATAAATAAAGTGGGGCAATAAATCATGCTCAAGCCTTGTTCTGCAAATAGTATCACGCAAGCGTCGTGTATTATTAATATTTATTGATGGGCTCAATTAAAAAGTTGATGATGATGGAAACAAATCTCCCGTCTTTACACAACACTTTTATTGATAACACCAAATCATATAATTAAGTTTAAATTACATGTAATTGAATCGTTTGAGGGGACCATTTTGTACTTCAATGAAATAATACGGCGTCACAATGAGGCAATTGCGACTGATGTGCGTGAAAAATATTGCGCAAAGACAGGTCGAAGGCGACAACTCGTTACGATAATACATATTTCTCATCTCAATTCCATATAGTGATCCTGAGAATTAGCCAGCAGCGAGGCAATAAATGCACAGAGATTCTAATAAACTTTGTCATTTATATCTCAATCCTTTCGTACATTCATAGATACACAAATTAATACAATCACAGTGGGACGTACATTGAGAGCTCTCCAGCTTCTTTGGCGATCACCAGACATTGCACTTCTGGGCACGGTTCATAGGAGATGTTGCTGAACAATTGAAGGCTACCTGAAAGTCTTTGGAGTTGGATAGAGTGCCGATGACACGGAATTTTCCAGGACTGTGAACGGCCGTTTTCAGTTTGACCTCAACTGCGGCTTTTCTCATCGCTCCACACCAAACCTTAATTTACATAAAATAAGGATAATTTACTGAGTCTTTATATCTTCGCTGTAAATATTGATTCACCTGGGCAAAGTTAAGAAAGAAGAGCTGAATATTCGTGTAATTTCCAAATCCAGGTAGTGTTTCGTCTTCCAGCTCATCAGAGGTCATCTCTGGTCTGCCCAACCATTTCTTATATGCTCTGAACGCTTGTTTCATCCCTCCGTTGTCCGCAATATTTTCCCCTTGTGTGTTTGTGCCATCCACAGGAATTCCCACCTCAGATACTGTGTAATTTCCATACTGCGCTATTAAACAATTGGTCCTCTGCTGAAAGTTATTGATGGCTGTTTCACTCCACCACCTGCAAAACACTTAAGTGTTCTCAACATGTAAAATTTCATAGAGCTTTCAAAATTACCTGAAAAGGTTTCCGTTCTTGTCGAACAATCGTCCTCGATCATCAAATCCATGTGTAACTTCGTGCCCGATAACCACGCCAATTCCGCCATAATTAAGGGCGCGAGGGAAGTGCTTGTGGTAGAAGGGCGGCTGAAGGATTCCCGCTGGAAACATGATTTGATTCTTGTTGCGGCTGTAGTATGCATTCACGATAGCCGGCGCCGTATTCCATGCTGTTTTATTTACTGGCTGCCCCAATTTTGCGTGTTCCGTCCTTGTGAGGTGCTTGAGAACATTTAGGGAGTTTCCAAAGTAATTGTGTGGATCTATTTTCATGTCGATATATTTAGCATTGAGTTCTGAACGTGAGAGAATGTAGTCTGGATAGCCAATTTTGAGGGACATGGCGTCCACTTTGGCCTCTGCCAGGTGCTTCGTCGGCAAGTCCATCCAGTCGGTCTCATTGATGATTTCTCGGAAGCTCTCTTGGAGCTCCTGTGTCATAAGGAGAGTGTCTTCCTTGCTATTCTCATCGAAGTATCTTCTCACGAACATTGCTCCCAAAGCCATGCCCATAATGGTATTGACTTGGGTGACACAGTTTTTCCACCGCGGAGGTGATTGCTCTCGACCGTACAGAGCAAAGTAGAATTTTTGCTTTACCTCTTGAAAGCGATCATCCAAATTGCCGGTACGATGCTTGGCAAATCTCCAGATTAAATAATTGGAGATTGTCCGTGGCTGTGTCTCGCTGAGGAGCTGCACAAGCTGCTTCATGTAATCCAAGGCGTACATCACAACTGTCTCGTTCTCGCCCACCTCGCGCTCCAGTACGATTGTCAGGTAGCGCTTGAAGTCAATGCCAGGTATCGATTCCATTAGTTCTGAGATATTCATTCTCCGATATAAAAGTGAAATGTTTTGCCGTTTTTCAGAAGCCATCGTGATTTTGGCCAGCTGAATCTCAAAGGAAACTATTTCAGAAGATGATTTCTGAGCTGAATCATTATTGGCGCCAAGAAGTTCTATAATCTTCGACATGTATTCCCTGCAAGATGAAAATCAAGAAAAAATGAGAGAAACGATCTGTGTAATTCAAATATTTGTGTATTTACCTATAAGCTTCGAGGTAAACAGAATTTGCTTCTAATATGAAGTAATCTCTTGTGGGCAATCCTAGGCTTGTTTGATCAAATTGGACAATATTTTCATTAGAATTCTTTATATCAGGTCCCACCCATTCCATGATGAGAAGGTCATTATTGTAGAGTCTGAGATGAGCACTGAGGTCAAGCCAATCAAAGTTGGTCTCATTCCACTGAGGATCCAATGCTGGCCACCCACCGAGATTTTCGAGAAGTTCTAGTAGAGGAGTAATTCCCTTTTCCATTAATAAATCGTGATTCATGCAAGATCCATAAAGTTGCTTAGCCTTGATCTCAGCTTCATCTCCTGCATCTTCGAAATAGTTAAAATGGTGACGTTTTTTTCGTACTCCAGTGCTTCTAGCTTCAGCATCGAGGTCCTGATTGTTGTCTAGGACGACCGTGGGTTCAAGTGTTATTGCGTCAGTTGGTTTTTCCGTGAGATGTTCTACTGGGGCCTCTAGGAGTTCTCTAAGGACAGAATCCAGACTCTCCCTTAATTTTTCAAATGTATCATAAACAGATTTGTCTTTAGGGATAGGATTCATCTTTTCCCAATTACCACAAGCGTACTGATAGAAATCTTCACAAGGATCAGCATTCATGTCCATGTACTGTCGCATCATTTGAGCCTGATTTTCTCTGATTTTCGCTGGACTGGCATTAATTTCTTGCCAGAAGGAATTGAAATCGCCAATAGAAGATTTATCCAAATCCTGAGAGGTTTTATTTGTTTCCTTGTCCATAGAGATGAGATTTTGCTCAGTCTCTTTGAGAGTATCATTGATGTTCCTCTTAAATCTTTGGTATAAACTGATTTGCGCATTGTCTTTAGTGTGAATGGTGACGTCAACTTCATCAATAGAATCTGTGGCATCGGGGTTATGTTCCTCCCCATCATCATTGGCACTTCCCTCATCCTCGAGACACTTTGAAGGCACAATAACTGATTCAGAAGGAATAAAAGATGTTCGGATGTCTTTCAGCAAATCATTCTCGCCAATGTCGAGGGTTTCATGGACCCTAAAGCGGACCATATGACACTTTTTCTGCGATCCTTGACTTTCAAGCAATTGCCCATTAGACTGCGGATTAGTGGTGATGGAAATGAAGTTGTGGGAGTTGTGCGAGACGCCCTTGGGCATGTCAAAATGGGTCAAGAGGACACATATCAGTATGACGGAGAGCAGAGTGGCAGGAATGAGTACGAGAAATCTAATGCATCTGCTTCCTGGGCACCATTGCAGACGTCCTGTGGCCCTGTTTACACCCAATTTGCACCCATCGCCGTAGGAGCCACTGTCACTGTATCGCCACTCAATAGATCTCATCACAAGCAACACACTCAGTAACTCACAGTCACGATCATTGGCGATATCAGTGGCGAAAAATGGACCACTCGCCCGGTAGATACTTTTCCGATAACTGAAGATGCGATTCTAGAGAAGAGCACGTCTGGAGAGCTCCAGCAACTGGAATAACTCTGTGCGGGGTGTTGCTATCACACAAGACTGACACAAATTTGATCTCGTTGAACCAATTTAAGTCAATTCGACATCGCTTGCAGAATACGCATTGATTATAATATTCCAGCCTCCGCTCGTCGCACTATCACTCCATACTGATCTCGTATAACTTGGTGGGACAATCAATAAGAGAAATTCGTCCCAGGCTTTATGAATTGTTGCCCCTTTCCCACCGTCAGATCAATTAAGCGAATTCCGATAAGTGGTTTGTGGACCCAGGCAAATAAATTTCATTGGAAATTCTCCCTCTCTCTCTGTTGAGTCTGGCTGGAGAGAATCAATTCTGGAATCTCATTTGGCACCATCTCTGGCACATTGGCACTGCATGTGGTTGAAAGATGTTGGTTCCTTTGGAGAATAACCGTGTGGCGGGAATTTATTGCAATTGAAAGTGAAGTTCAATGATTGCCACTTCAGCTCTCAACTACTTTATTTACCATAAAGTGCAATATGCAGAATTCCTTAGCAGTCATCTGCAGAATTGTGAACCATGTGATTAGTTAATATTATGGCTGTTAAATTTACTCGGGGTTTTACCATATTTAATTTTCTGATATTAAAAAACTTTGCAGAAAACATGTTCAAGTGATAACTTAATAGAACCAAAGAAAATTTCGCATAAATATTGCATCAGTCGTGCTGTTTTCTTACGGTTTTCATGTATATGTGAAACTACAATTCCATTTTCCATCGCTAAAATTCAACTGTTGCGAGGGTGGGTTTTATTTAGAAGCGTTCAACTTATCGTGCATTTGGCTAAGAATAATCTTACGATTTGCGGTTTTCTTTCACACATAATTGTGCACATATATGCTTATTTTTGGCTTCGCATCTGTGCGCAAAGGAATGGTTTATGTTTCGGAACGAAGCCACACATCAAATTGGAAAACACTCCGTTCAGGATAAATGGGGAAAAAGTGTCTGCTTATAAATGTTTTATTGCAAAATTGGAAAACGCTCATTTCGTGGGTGTCGTTTTTACGGGCGTTGAATTAATTTTTACTCAAAGTGCGTCAAAGCCGAAATGTTCAGAGTGGTTCTGGTGAAGTTTTCATGGTGAGCAAGACGATCGTCATGTTTATATAGCATTTTTCACTGGCCACACAACAAATGGGAGAAAAATAAACGGTGTGATTTAAGCCTTTTAAACCCACATCCTCTTATTCATCTCTTTTCCTACATAGAGTTATTCATTTGGTTTAGCTTTCTGTGTTTTTCACGCACAATTATAGCCCTCTCAGACGTGCAAAAAGTGCTGCAAGCCAGAGACAGAGCGTGAGGATTGTTCTTCAATAAAACCCGACGACTGTGAAACCGCAAAATTTTATTTGACAGACAAATGATGGGTCCACAAGAACACTTCTAGCATGTGTCCCAGCATCTCAAGGTCGGCCAAATCTCATGCCAAATGCTGCCTCTTCGAAGGTCTGACTTCTTTGGGCAAAAGTATAGTGTTTCACGTTGGACCAGTTTTTCATGATGACTTTCGTGAGAAATTATAAACATCCGATATGATTTAAGTGGATGGTTTTTGCATGCGAGATTAGTTTTATAGGTCTCTTAGCAATTGGCAGATAATAAGCTAATGGCTTGCAAAGTGAGACAGTTTGGCGGTAAAATTTAAGCATGTTTCAGCACAAAACCACATGCGATTTTCTTGTGGCAGTTTCATACGCGTGAGCTTTAATTTTAACTATGAGTCTGTATTTTATCGTGCATTTTGTTTCACAAAAAGTCATAAATTTATATTTATTGTGTTTATTATAAAGAAAAGTTTCCTGGAATTCTGATTATTGTGTAAAGCAACAGCCGATTTTATTACAATTCACAATGCGTTATTTTCATTTGTATTGTTTCGCCTGGTTTTTGTGATAAAACGGTCTAATCAGAAGAAGGATGGTAATAATAGCATTTTTTGGAATAGGTGAAAGCAAGGTCAAGCATATCTCAGGTTCTTTGGCAATTCTCTGATAAGGGCATGACGAAATATTTCAGTATATTTCAGCGATAGTATCTTTGAACTGAAGACAAAAATAAATTTTTCTTCCTGCCTAACGAGAAACATTAGCCTTTCTACAATTACCCACGTAAAAATTGTCACTGGATATGTGAGAAAATGAAGACAGTTTGATGAATGTTGCATTTGGTGACACTGTGTTGAAATATAATACAGCAGGTTCAGATACGGTCTGTGATTAATGGTTTCAACAGCCGTAAATGATAGAGGTCAAAACAATTTAACTTGTACCAGGAGAGTTCATAAATCAGCACTGCGAATTGAGCATCTTCAGGCATCTCTCGTGCATCTTTACCCAGCGTGAACTCTCCTGCCCACTGACTGCCGAGCCTGAAAAAAGTGTATTGTTTCGCCACCAAAATGATTTCTTGTGTCCACTCTTATCATGTGCAGAATTAATAATCGTCTCAGACGAAGCACTGACCGTGAATGCTTTCCATTTCGCATATCTCGTCTCAAAAGTGTAGAAAAAAACGTTCCCCGAGAGATATAGATAAGAGATGATTTCAAGACGAAAACGGTTTTTTACTTATATTTTCCGCTCGTGGTCGTTGATATTTTTTAATCGACTCTCTCGTGAGTTTTATTTACCTGTGAGCTACAGTGTTTGCCCAATGCTGTTCATTCTCCGGCGTTTGGGGATGCACAAGACACGAAATCCAGTGTTTGAACACCTGGGCATAAGGATTCACTGGGCATTCGGCCGAAGAGTACCTCATATGAGCACGTTCTGCATGAAAATGAGCAGTCGTAAAAGAATAGGGAATAAATTATCAGAAAAAATGATGGTAGTGCCAAATGAAATGGCGAAGTAAACTAATAATATTGTCATTGCTGTGTTGTATATACTTATATGTTCCCAGGACAGAATACCATCTTTAGGATCACTTTTAAGTTCACATTACGGTCAAAGAGGTCTCCTCGTAGGTTACACAAATACTCTAAATTATCTTAGAACCCAGAGACTTTGAAATAAGCGGAAACCGTTTACACCACAAATATAATACGCAATTCCTTTCGAACCGACTAAAGATTAGAATCACTCACTGGGAGCTTATCAAGCATTCCCGTGTCGCATTTAATGCATTCTCCAATTTACTGTCGAAGGTATCGCAGTTTTTTTTATTACTGGTGTGCTATCAGTGTGCGTGTATCACAGCAGCGAATCAGCATAAGTGGAATGTGAGGTGGGCCCACTCCCTGGCTGCGATCGAGGTATTCGGATTGGAAAGTTTTTGATTAGACCCATGTTTTTTGCCCGCGATTTCGTGCATATTGAGTGTAAAAGCCCTCAAGGAAACGATTGGGGCACGTAAAATATGTGTTATTTTTGGGAACTGATAATAATTCGATTGTAAAATCACTTGAGCCATCGTAATATCTGGAAGGCGCGTATGAATAACACTTAATTATACGACCACAGATTAGAGGAAATTATCGCTGCACATGGAATTCCCAAACTTATCACTTTACTGTGAATGCTTAAATATGGAATGATAAATTGATCCACATTCGTATTAATGACACAGAGAGAAATTTTCCGTGCAGACGCGGTGCCCGGAATGAAGAAGGCGCCTTGAGACTGGAGATGCAAAAGAGGTATTTGTTCTTATCATTTTCATTCGGCGTTGCAGGTTCGGTCTGGACATGGGAACGTGGCCCAACTACCAATGCCCAGAGATGGTGAGGAGGTGCGTGAATATCTCCTAGAGTGTGTTGAGTACATAAATTGTGTATACATAAGACATTGGGCGTCTGTGCATAAATCAAATGGTGCTTATTTATTCTTCTCTAGCCACTCTGTGTGAATACATTACGAACCCGCCATGCGATTCCCCTGATTTGGGCGGCTGCGTAGCCAAAGGCCCATCCAGGATTTGGACATGGAGAACCAGTAGCTCAGCCATCAATGTGTAATCGCCGAACGGAAGATAGAGTTCTGCCAAAAATTCCAATATTGCCCCTTTGAATTCGTGTGGCGTGCAGTCTCGTGTGAGATGAATAGTCAATTAAACCGCCGCTCTCGCCCTACCACCCACGCCTGAACTGCGGCTAGAAACACCGTCTGAGGTGATTTAATTACAAATTGTCATTTTTTTTACTGCAAGCGCCCAAATTTAATCCTGTGTGAAACAATAGAGGCATGCTCACCAATAAAACTCACGCTGGGAAAATGGTTTGAAGAAATTGATAAATTCTAATCTGTGGTCACCACATTAGACATGTGACGCAATGACTCCAGCATGTCCATCACACAGTTACGAAGCACTTTGCATGGTGGCATTCCCTCCAAAATGTCTTGTAGAGTCATGTTCATGTGATTTGATGGGGATCACAGAAATATTTTCGATGGTGCTCCCATTCACTTCTCTGGCGTATCACCGCGATTACGATCACAATACAACATTTTGACACGCGGATGGTAATCTCGCATCGTAATTGCGCATTGTGTCGAAAATTTAATTGAATAGATCTTATATTTCAATTTATCGCGGCATTAATGTGAGTTTTGGGCTTTTGTCAACACTATAGAAATTGTATGCGGGACAATTTGTATGAAGAGCTAAATTTCTCTTGCGTGTGGGCTTCTTGTAAATTCATCTAAACAGTACACCCCATGAATTTGCAATCATTTGAAATTTGATAAATTGTAGCTGAAAAGAGTGAAATCAAGAGAAAAATATACACTCAATTGTCACGATTCTTAGAACGTGGTAATAGCCGTGGAGCTGAGTGGATACAAATTGGCTGAAATGAAGAATAGCGCCTTGGGATTGATCGGAGACTTCGATCGTGCAGTGTAACTCCATGATTCTCGAATGCCGTGTTTGCCTCATGAATTTAGGAGATCTCCTCCTACTTCACAGCATCCACTGAACTCGGCGCTAACAAATCAATGTTGATCGTTGAACTTGGTTGTATCCGGTCAAAATGCGTGTGCACACATGCATATTTATGGGTCCACAATATATTGTGTCAGGTTCAATTTGTTGCTCCAACCCAAGCGGAATCTGTCCAATTCCAGATGCAGTCGCCTAATAGAATATTAGCAGTCAATTTGATGCATCTTCTCTGCGCTTGGCATTCACGAAGAGTCACTGCCCAATTAGTTTCACGTACACAGAGAGTGTTTATTTAAATTATGATAATCGCTGGCAATCATGAGGTTAGTAATTTATCTTTCGTGATGACAATCAATTACATTGTATTTTTCACCGCAGGATTCCTACTGTTGCCCTCACCCAGTCATTTCTCATATGGTTTATAATGAGCAAAAACTGAGACTCTCATCTCAACCCCTCCCTCAGATCAGGCTCCATTCGAGATCCGAAAGAGGAATGATTGAATGGCTGGCGGCACAGCGTCATCGGTACTCTAAAATTATTTTAAATACAACTCTCCATTTATCCTTGGCTTCGTATGAAATTCGTATATGCATTTTCTCGCAGTCAACGAGTAAGGAAAAGCACTCAAGTACTAAAGCATTATTGTTATGCTCCGAACTATACATGCAGGAGAAAATGATTGATTGAATTGTTACAGAGAAGGAAATTCTGACTCTGTAATCTTCACTGTTATTATTTCAGCGCAATCATATTTCATTGTAACGTGTCGTTTGATTATTTTTGCCCGATAAATTTTACATATAATCTTCCTCTGTCAGTTTGTATTATTCCGCCTTTTGTTCTTCCATTTCGGTTCTGGTACTGGCAAATAAATGGCTACACATTGTAAAATCTCTGGGTGATCTTTCATTGACCCCCCTTGGATATTATGTGGAGGAAAGGAAAAAACCATGAACAGACTCGACTGACTGAATGATATTCTAAATTGAAGAACATTGATTGTGAGTGCAATTCTAGTGAATTCGTCATTTATTGTTGGAAGCACTATGCAAACTATTCTGCTTAACATCTTTCCAAATGATCGTATTTAAGCAGATAGTTATAAAATCCGACATTTGGTTTATTTTCGCATTTATTTTATGTCTTCTTCGTCTTCATTAACAAGGAAATTGATTCATTGTGAAATCATCTTTGACTCGCTGTTGCGATCGCATGAATTTCCAAGGAGATTAAGACAGATGCGAGTCCATTAAGCCATCATCATTAATATTGTGTCTATAGATGGTGTCTGCATATCAAATATTTAAGTGCTACCTTTACCATGTTTTGTATCAATAAGTGGTTTTCTAGCGATGTTGGATCATGTAAGACTGCGTTAAGAACGCTTGAAGTGGTTCAAGGGTACCAAAGCCAGAATTCTCTTTGCTCAGCAGCCAAGAGAGGAGGAGAAAAGAACTCGTATATGATTTGATAAATATGATTCTATTAATAGATGGAGATTTTTCACTGAGAAATTTCTCTTTCTCAACCTTCTCAATTGACGTTTTTTTCTCTCTCTCTCTCAAAGTCGACTCTTTGATTCCCAAGCATTTCCTCTTCACCGTGAAAGTGATCCTTCACAAGAGTCCCTGTCACCCAAACGACTGACTCACTTCCTGGGACTTTATGCTTCTTTATCTGCCGGAAAGATTGTTGTCAACGACACTTTTTCCGTGGTGTCGAAAAATTGAGGAGGAAATGCCGAGAGGTGCGACTGCAGATGGATAATAATGACAAATCCAGAATGCAGGATGCGGAAATTTCGTGCTGTTCAGCACATGTCGATTGTAAATCTTTCACTCCAAATTATATGGGGAACAAAAACATCTCTAATCAGTGCGAAAAAGGGGACAAATTTTAATGATTTGTTTACCCCAAAACAAACTTAATTTCTTTGGGGGGAAATTGAAATCCGGGACAAGACAATAAATTCATAGCCACGACCTCATTTTTTGCGGCACGCGAAAGACGTTTTGGGTCTCTCTGGCGTTGATACAAAAATCTTCGGCAATATTTACAAAACATGTCAGCAAAATTTGCAAATAAATTTCGATTTTGGCAAATTTCTACACGAAATGACTTCAATATGATTTCCCTGAATGAAATATCTTTTGGGTGAATTGTCGGCTTGCTCAAGAATCATGTCACATATCTCGTCAATGGTGCACACATGTGCATTTTATTTATTTACCCGCACCATCGCTCTCGTATTCCGCGACATCAAGCATTCTCCCTTGTCTTTTCCGTCTAAAAAAGAACTATGAGTTTCTTTCTCGGGTGACAATCATTCCCCTCATGATTCAACTGACAAAAGTGAACGCGCGGGAAAAAAACTGTGAAGTTATACAAATTTTCTCGTGTTTATTTGATCTCCAAATGTGAACCGGTGCATTTGATGCCTTTCAGTTAAGAATTTCTAGGCTATGATTTTCATTCTGATCTCTGGAAATGGGACAGTTTCCGCAACAAATGGGGCTTAACTATAGATATAATGGGATCTCCTTACCTTGCCCCGATACTACAAACTCTAAAGTTCAATTCATTTGTAGGTTTTTACCGTTTCCACCTTTCCAACTGAACATAAAAATGCCTTCGATTCATTAAATAAGGCAGTTTGATATTTTTAAAACTGCACTTCATTCCTTCCATCTTTGCAACATTGTGAGTTAATATTCACATCGCTGTCGATATCGATTAATATTTTGTTGAATTATGTGATGAATTAAGTTGAGCTCACAATGTTTAATATGTGACGACTTTTTCCGCATGTGCAACACGTGTTGCGAGTTCTGTGATGGCAAGAAGAGAGAGAGCTGATGGCCTTTATTTGCAATCAATGTGCAAGAATTAAAATTCCGCATCTGTTGCCACCTTCTGCAAGTGTGTTCGATGCGTTTCTCCTTCTTCATCCTACCAACTGCCATCCACACTTCCGATGTGACTGGAATTGGAATTGATGGTGGCATCCATTTTTGCCAGGTAATCGCAATTTCTAAGTCCGCACAGACGAGATGCCAGAGCCTTATAAAATGTTGCGTATATAGATATGAATTATTTATTCAGCCATTAGACAAAGAACCTTTCTAATTGACAAATCATTTTGCCTCCTCGGCTCATTGTTTGCCTTGAAGTGTCTGCTTGAGTTGACTTTGCCTCAGCAGCGGTGAGATTTGTTCCTAAATTTATTGGTGTCGCGGAGTCAAAGGTCTTTAGGGTCTTCACGCCACATAAATAAGCATGATCTCCTACCAATTTCATGATAAAGAACTTATCTTAATGAGCAAATTAAAGCGCAATAAATTAACGCGTTTGTGAACGGGATGTTGATAATACACAAATTCATAAATTTGATATTTTCCTTCAGCATGACTGGCATTCAAAATATATATATCGCGGCATGATTTGTTGCGCAAAGTGTGTAAATCAGACGTGCTTCTAATTGGCAACTTGCAGGAAAATTAGCTGTTGAAATCATCTGAAAATATTCAATTTCCGGTCAGCGGAAATTGTGCCGGATTTTGTGAATTTGGCACCAAAACTTCCAAACTAAAATTCCCATTAATCTCAAGTATAGATCACGTCCCGTATTTCACAGCACATGCTCAGCAATGCACTACCACGAGCGTCTCGCGTGTTGCCGTGCAAAGCAGATGTACGATTTAATTTCTATTCTTGGACCCAATTTATGTTTAGAACAATTCACTCGCTTTTCCTCCCTCTTTTGCTCTCCGCATCTTTAAGCACTCATTTCGCATTCATTTCAATCCACGAACGCATAACAAATCACTTAGCTTGTAGTTTTTCGCTCACTTTTCCACCGTGGAAAATTCTTTTGTTCGGGAGCAACGAGAACGTGCCTTTTGACTTTTTGGACATCGCGAATGAGTTGAACTATTTTAAGCAACAATTGGTTTTGTGGAGAATAAAGGAATTTATTGTCTTCTTTGCGCGATGGAATTGTTCAGCAAATTCAACAGTTGGTCAATCGCGAAGATAATGGGAATTATTGGAATCATTTGAATTCTTTTCTTCTAACAAAATTCTTGATTTGCCAGTTGATTGTTGTTTCGAAAATATCAGTACTGTGTATACCTTATAAATACATGGTTCAGTATGAAGACTGAATATTTCCGAAGGACTTCGCCAACTGGGTATTGTCACACTGACGTTAACCCTACTTTTTGGCGCGTTTTCGGCATCTGGATGTGCTTTGGTGATTTTTGTGTTGTCTTTTCTGTGAGCAATTTTTTGGCAATTTTTCCAATACCAACTCTTGTCCTGCATCACCAGAGTTGAGTATTTCTGCATAAGGACACTCGTAGTCAAGCACAGACACTGCAGTCTGGAGGCTTCTGGGCATATTTGTGAACTTGGACTACAAAGAATATGACAACCCAAATGCCGCGGCGACGTTCCGCTCTGCAGGAATTGCCGCCCACATCGGACAATCTCTTCCTGGACGACTCCCTCCTGGATAGTCCCAACAGCAACCTGTCGCGTAGCTTTGCTTCACCAGTGCCATCGCCGGATGAGATCGTGATACGTCAGCGTGGGCGACGAAGCATTTCGCTGACATGGTCGCCAGGACAGGAGAAAACCACCGGGAAGAAGGCCTCTCCGCTGAAGACGCCAACGAAGAATATGTCCCAGATGGTGCTGAGGAGCTCCCCACGCAAGAGGCTGCTAATGAACGACACCAAATCACCCGTGTGTCCCAAGATGATACTCGAAGACACGAAGAAACTGCGAATTGAGGAGAAATCCGTGGCACAAATCAACACTCAGACTTCACTGGCGACATATCTCAAAGGATACACCCAGGAACAACTAGCTATGATCATACAGAAGCTGGTCAGGGACAATGCCAGCCTTGAAAAAGTGATTCGCAATGAACTTCCTGTGCCAGACATCAAGTAATTCCTTATCTTGACAGTCTCATTTTTGAGGTTTTTCTAAACATGTCATCTCATTTGCAGACCCTTCGAGATGCAACTGGTTCTCTTGAAGAAGAATATATATCGCAGCCTTCCGTCATCGCGACTGGTTAAGAAGAACGACAGTGTGTCGTATTCACGAGCACACCTTCATTTGACTGCTCTGAAGAAGGCCATCTCCGATCAATCCACCCTCCTCAGTCAGTCGCAACACTTCGACGCGCTCCTCGATTACGTCCTCATGGCCTGGCCAATTGTAAGGAGTACACCGGACTGGGAGAATCACTCCCACAATGCCGTTCGTCGGCACTGTTTCAAGATCCTCGCCTTCCACTGCAAGACGTGCCTCCAACAGGCGGGTGAGCTCCTGGGCGAGGAGCGCCTCGGCACACTCGCCTCTCACATCAACGATATGATCAATGACTACGAGAGCATGTCTGCATGCCTATCGACACTCGAGTATCTGACCAAGGTCCCCGAATAGAGGACGTTTTGATTGCCATTCGCTCACGGTTTTACAAATCCTGCGTTTCTTTTCACCCCCTCTTGGATTTTCTGAATGACTAATTTAGTGTATATGTATTATACGTCTTGAAATACAGTGTAATATTAGCAAGAAACTGCAAACTAATTCGGACACTTGGCCTCCTTGGCCACGGTCAACAGGATGTCTTGTGTCTTGAAACACCAATTGGCGATATTCTTGCTCGCTCGGCACCATTCCTCGCCATGCTTGGGCTCTGCTGCGATGCACCTATGCAGGACATCTTGCTGCTGAGCATCAGTGCCGTGTTGTTGTTCAAACTTGTAAAAATACGCCCAAGCATCGCCCAGATCAGCGTCAATCTTCACCGTCCTGTTGAACCAATCTCTGCACTTCTGAATCTTGTGCTCCGACCAGAACAACTTCGACACAGCCAGCAATACGTGGGGATCATGCTCGCACTTCTTTAGAGCGTCCACTGATTTTGTCTTGCGCTGCGGCCGATTCTCCATGAAGATCGACTCAGCCCAGAGCTCCCCGGCCGTTGGACACTCCTGCAGAGCCCTGGCCATCAATGTATTGGCCATATCCTTGAAGCCAGCTCGTAGTTCTATTCGCACCGCGGCAAGCCACAAAAGCGACGTCTTTGGATTCCTGAGACGACCTCTCTCAAGTACTGATCGCGCCTTTGTCAAGGCTCCTCGGTTCTCTTCCACCTTCGCCATCAGGAGCCACAGTGGGATCGAAGTTGGACATTTCTTGAGCTGTTGATTGAAAGAGAGTATGATTTATAATATGGATTTCAGGGTATTTAGGATCTACCTCTACGTATTATGATCACAATGAAGCAAACAAGCTAGCAAAGTGCTCTTATCTATTTTAAGCCCATTCTTTGTTCAACTCTCTCCACTTTGGTTATAATTAAACAGTGGCCCGAATTTATGGTAGAGATTAATGACCATGAGAGAGACTCACCGCAAGTCCATAGGTTTCCGTCGCGAGATCTGGCTTCTTTTGCTGCTCCTCAATCTGTCCTTTCATCATCCACAAGCGAGGATAGTCAGGAAACACCTTCACTGCCTCCTCTAGCAGATTCAGAGCCGCATCGAGTTTATTCAGGGCCCACTCAAGCTTGGCGGATTTCATCATGACCCGTGGCGTTGGAGCCGAAGCTCTGGCCTTAGCCAAAAGTCGTCTGGCCCTTTCAAACTCCTGATTCTCCGACTCCAGCTTCACGGCAGCTAACCAGATATCCTCAGAATTGGGATTAGCCTGAAAGGCGAAAGAGAGAATGCCTCTGGCAGCGGGAACGTCACCTGCTAACCACTTGGACTTGGCTCCCATGAGCCAGAGAATTTCGGATTTGGGACAGTGAGCCACGGCTTTCTGCAGCAGTGACTCCAGGCTTTCACGGGTTCCGTGATTCTTCTCAAAGTACGCTGCCCTCAGCCAGATGCTCTTCTTCGACGGGAAGATCTGCAAAGCATGAGCATAAACTGCCCTCGCACACTCGTAAGCATTCTCCTTGGCACAATTGTCGGCATCATCAATCCAGGTCTGCTTTCTGTCCTCATCTTCAACTCCAATACCAATCACTGCCTTGATGATGGCTTGACAGCAATGTACGGCGTTAGATTTCTCAGCCTCGATGGCTTCCTGGAACCACTGTTCTCGATTAATCTCCACGCCATTAGCGCTGAGTGAAACCAATGCCCTGTCAATAATCTTCTCCACCATGTGAATATTTCCATTAGCTTCTTCGAGTTTTGCAGCCGTGGTCCAGATTTGCTTGTCCGTGGGGATGTTTTCTCGAGCCTTGTTCAATACTTTTCGGGCATTTTCATATGTTTCCAGGCGCGCCAGCGCTAGCCACAGTTCCACACTCGTATTGCAGCACTCAACAGCTCGAGAAAGCAGAATTCGCGCATCGTCGGGATTCTCAAGCTCCACTGCAGCCTTCCAGAGTCGCACAGAGTTGGGAATGTGCTCCAAGGCTTTTCTGAACACACGACGTTTGGCTTTCAGTTCATCCTCGAGATCCGAAGCCTTGATCCATATTCTCACCGATGTGGGGATGTGTCTAGCCGCCTGAGCGATCACTGCCTTGGCCGTGTCCGCTGGCTGAAGACGAGCTGCCTCGAGCCAAAGATCCTCACTCTGGGGATTCATTTCGCAGCCCCTCATTATAAGATTCCTCGCCATTTGAATCTTTCCTGTCACTTCCTCAAGACGGGCACTAGCAATCCAGGCCGGAGGATGATTAGGATTCGTCTCTCGTACACTTTTGAGCAACAGTCTCGCCTTCTTGATGTCATTTATGTCCCCTCCATACGTGGGAATCATGCTCTGGAGATCTGTTAAGTATCCTTTGGGATCCACAACTGTCTGTCCTGCCACAGAATCCGACACTTGGGACAATTTGACATTCATTAGCGTATTCCTCGCCTGACCGATCTTCCTCAGGTCCAGATCTCCCGTTGGTGTCAACATTCCCGGAGTGTTTATTCCGGGAACCATTGATGCCAGCCCGGATCGTGGATCTAAGGTAGACGAGGTCTCTCCACCCATGTTCCTCGACAGAATACTGTCCGGAAGAGGAGTAAACTTCTCGGCTCTGGGATTTCTCTGTTTTCTGTTGCGACTGTCGCCCACTTCGGGTATCATTTGCCACTCTTCTTCTGACACCTCTACGAGATTTCTCTTCAAATCGGAGAATTGCTGTTGGATCTTGGGGCGTTCTTGGCGATATTTCTCCAAGTCCATCTTCAGACGCTTCTCTCTGTACTCTTTGCGCTTCTCATCCATTCTCTTGTCTATTGACTCGTAAATGGCATCAGCTTCTGCGTCATCCTTGTCATAGGGATCCTTTGAGAAGAGAGATCCACTGTATCCTGTGAATTCGTCATAGTTTGAATCATTAAGATCCTCATCGTCCTCCTCCTCCTCTTCTTTCTTCTTCCTCTTGGTCGCCGGAGGAGCGTGTCGATCGTCCCTAGACAGACAAATTGAGTATTTAGTAAACTTCCTAAAATGTAATACTTAAGAGTAGATACTCACGAGACGTCATTGGCATCCCGGGCAGGACCAATATCTGATCGTGTAGTGAATCCTGTGGCTCTGAAACAGAAGAAAATTAACAATAAACAAACTTAGAGGTTAGAATAAAACTTTTATGGTTTTACCCTCTCCCAACACCAGCCACATATCCTAATGGTGCCGGAACGCCTAGAAAGTGTTTCTTGTTCCGATTAGCTAAAGCTGACGCTGGAATAGTAGCCATTTCTGTTTGAATTCACTAAAAACTGTAGCTTCCCAGAAAACGTATCTCAAAACATCAGAACTGCTGCGCCACTACGTGACTGGTATACGTACTAAAACCATTCAACCTGAAGTTTACTGCAAATATATGAAATCAAATAACCAGTTAGGAATTTTCTTCCCTAAATTTCTTTCCTTAAAATTTTGGCTCACATTGCCTGGGAAATAGACTAAGTAATGTTTTTTTTTCAATTAAAACAGTTTGCATGGTTTGTATCATTTTTCTCCATTAATGGTACAAGTGTTATGAATTTAAAACTATGTATTCCCAAATACTTGAAAATTATTTTTAGAGATGTGGAAATCGGTCAAAGACTTAATTCTTAAGCATATTTGTGGCCGTTTACTGCTTCTTGAAGCTCTTTAGAATCGGGTAGATGTTATCAAAGGCATCGTAAATCTCCTGGCGCACTTTCGCCCCAGTGAGCACCACTTTTCCAGACACGAATATCAGAAGCACTATTCTAGGCTTCACCATTCGGTAGATAAGTCCAGGGAACAGTTCCGGTTCGTAGGAGCTGAATTTGGAGTGTGTCAGTACGAGGCCTTCCAAGCGGATTGGAAATTTAACATCACAACTTCCCACCATATTCTGGATTTTAAAGTCCAGGAATTTCGCCTGTAAAATAAGTCAAATTATTAGACAACATTCATTTACTCCACAACTCCATAGTATGCTCACTGTGAATCCCAGCTTTTGAATTATTCGCGCATACTTTCTGGCTGCTAATCGAGAGTCTTCCTCGCTCTTGGCTCCCGTGCACACCATCTTCCCAGACGAGAATATCAAAGCTGTGGTGCGAGGTTCTCTGATGCGCATAATAACAGCCGCAAAACGTTTTGGATTGTACTCTGCATTCCTCGCGTGGAGGGCGATTCTCTTCAAATCCAATTTGCAGTTCAAATTGACTGTCGAGACAATGTTTCTGCGGAGAAGAGCAATAAAGATCAATTTCATTTGAGTTTAGTGCTCAGCGGCCAATTGACTCACTGCAGCTGAGGAATGATGCCCGAGTCCGCTGGCCCGGGTGTCATGGGGGTCATCGGCGTGGCAGGCCCCATCGTTTGGTGGATATTGACACTTTCGGCACGATTCTCCGTCCGGGGTGTCATCGAGGCTATCATACTCTGCGGCGTCTGTGGTTGCATCATACTCTGCGGCGTCACGTAGCTGGGTGTGAAGGAGTGCATGCTCTTAGTGGGCGCCGGAAGCAGGGGCGGCGCCTCAATGCCCGAGACACTCGCTGTATGTCTTCCGAAGGTGCTGAGAGAACTTGCCATTGGTTGCATCTGCTGCTGCTGCTGGTAGGCATTCGGGAGGATCTGTTGATCTTCCTCAGGCTGATGAAGTGGGGTGCCTATGCTGGGGATGGAGAATCCCGGACTCGGCAGCATTTGATCCATGCTTACGGGAGTTTCGCCTTAAAATACATTCCCCTTAAGAAACTCTTCCAAACTTTTGTACATCCTTGCAATACTCACTTCAATGTATCGTTTAATGTACGATTTCAATGATTTATTGAAGATCTACCCGGAAAGAACACGGATTTTCTGGTTGGCAAAATATTTTCCAATCGCGTTCTGTCAAAATTGTTGGCCGCCTCGCGCTGTCAGTGAAGGTTTTGTTTTGACCACGCATTTTCCTACAAGCGCTGTTTTTCGGCAATTTTCCTCTAAAAGTCCACTGAAAACTATCTGAAATAGTTGATTTTGGTGATTTATACGATATGGGAATGGATATGGTCGAAGGGCAGCTGCAGATACAGCTAAAAACCAAGCAAAAACAGTGAGTAAAAATTTTGTTATTGTACCTAACCTCACAATTTGCTTATGGGGTGCTCTTTGACCAGGTATGCTGTTCCGGACATTCCCTACTCAATCGCTGCAAATGTAACCACTGAAGAGTTGAACACCCTCGTGAATACTCTGTTGCAAGAGGCAGATTCATGTCACAAAGGTGTAGAGTTTGATTTCTTGGCAGTCGGCGAGTTCCTGAGGCTGAATCTTGGGGATCATTTGAAGCAGTTGGGCATTTCTTTTGAGGATGTCATTGACATTGAGTATGTGGAGCGATTTCCATCACCAGAGCCACAAGATTGTCTGATCCACGATGACTGGGTGTCGGCAGTGAAGTGTAGGGATGATTGGATCCTCACTGGGTGCTACGATAGCACTGTTAATATCTGGACAGCGAAGGGAGAACACAAACTCACGATTTCCGGACACAGTTCTCCCATCAAGGCGGTATCGTGGATTTCGCTAAATGCAGAGTTGGGTGTATTTGTGAGCGCATCTCAGGATCAGACAGTAATGATGTGGGGATGGAATATAGCCAGGAACACAGCTGAATGCTTGTGTGTGTGCAGAGGGCATGAGAGAGGCATCGACTGCGTTGATGTGAGCGAGAATATCCAGAAGATGGCCACTGGAAGTTGGGATACGATGCTGAAGGTGTGGTCAGCAGTGCCGAATGAATCCGGTGCCGACGCAGGAACAGCCAAAAAGGCCCGAGTGGATCAGGGGGCGACTAGAACTCCAATCCTAACGCTGCAGGGTCACAAAGAGGCTATTTCTGCTGTTCAGTGGGTGGATAACGAAACCATTCTCACCGGCTCCTGGGATCACACGATGAAACTGTGGGATCTCTCACTGGAAGGCCTCAAGAGCGAGATTGTCGGCAACAAGTCCTTCTTCGATGTGCACTTCTCCAAGCTTAGTGGACTTATCATTACGTGTTCGGCGGACAAGAATCTGCGCTTGTATGATCCGCGGGGGAGTAAAGGAGCCACACACACCATTCAGAACACCTACTTGGGCCACTCTCAATGGGTGCAGACGGTTCATTGGTCGTCAACTGAGGAGCACCTCTTCATCTCTGGCGGATACGATAACCAAGTGAAGCTGTGGGATATGAGGAGGTAGGAAATCCAAGCTCCTTCGCCTTGAATGTCCATCCAGATAAGTCTATTTACCCTGTACGTTTCCTCCCTTTGCAGCCCAAAAGCTCCACTCTATGATTTGTCCGGGCATGAGGAGAAAGTGATGGACTGCGACTGGTCCAATCCAAAGTATATGGTGTCTGGAGGTGCTGACAATACAGTGAGGATCTTCAAGTCGAAAAAAGTGGTGAGAAGCTAAAGAGATGGCAAGAAAATGAACGGGAAAGATAATAAAGGTGACGCTTTCGACTAAAGTGGTATTTTTGAATGGCTACTTATAAACTTATCGTGCGGGAAATCCCGTGGTGTTGAAGAATATTGAATATTTATTCGTGAAAGGTAGTCTCTGCTGGACAAACGATAATATAGAGATAAATCCATCATTGGTATATTTATAAAAATGACAAATCATGGTGTGTATCTAAAATTAATCGCCCAGGCTAAAAATAATATGTTAGAATTGTAGTAAATGCTCTACAGATTATAACTGATAGCGTTGCTTTATTTCTTATCATAGGAATACCTCAGTATCAGTCGATTTCGCGTTGTTCATTAGTTTGTAAAGTGTTTCTTAAAATATAATTGCTCTTCCCTCCGTCATAGCGCTTCTAAGAAACAATCACCGAATTTATGGCTTTCAGCAATGATTGCAAGAGTTCAACAGCATTGGACACAGAAATGGAAAATTTGACTAGCTTAAATGGGGATGTTAAATCTCAAAGTCCCTCGAATCATTGTGATACCAATCATCTTCAGTGACGAGGCGTTGTCGCGAGCCATATATCTTTCTGCAATTTCAACAATTGGAATTAATATGATTGTTCATATTAGAAAGTGTACATCTCTGAACTCACTGTAGATGATATCTCCAGTAAATGAGCCCGAAATAGGCAGCAAATGCCAAAATAGCGATTGTCACCACGGCTATGATTGCCACAATGTGAGTATGATCCATTTCGGCTGAATAATCTACCACAATGTCAACTATTTCCTGTGACTTCTGCTTCTCCTCGTTATCGCTGTTTCTGTGTTGAGATTTGTAAGAAATTCCACTGTTAGCTTTTCGATCTTTAGAATGTCTTGAGCTACTCGTTCCAGAAATACCTGTTAAATTGTTCCTCCAGCTCCTCGTCTGTCTTGTACTTTCCATCACTCTGAATCTTCTCCACCTCCTCCTTAGGATCATCCGTGGTGTCTTCATAGTAATTTGCGTCATCCTCGTCCTTCGCTTCATCAGAGTCCACTTCAGAAGATGAATCCTTCTCCTGAATCGCCCTTGTGGGCGTTAATGGAGAAGTTTCCACTTTCTCCGTCTGCACTGTAGTCTTGAGCTCCGCAGTTGAAGATTGGCCTTCCGTGAGAGGAATCTGAAAATAGATCAAAGCACTTATTAATCTGCGCAGAAGGACAATATAACACATCCTTACATTACGAATGACATCATCCTTGCTCGTTATTGCAAGAATGTGTTGGATGGCAGTCTCGTTCTGGGTGATTATTCTGTACTGAGAGTCATCTTCGGGAAACAGGAGAGGAGGAACTTTGTTAGACGGTATTGTTGATGCTTCAGTCGATGCGTCATGCGCCAGTGCCACTGGAAGAGCAATTTTCCCATTAGACACACTTTATATGTGCAAAGAAAAGCGCCTTAATACAAACACTTCCGCTAAATGCATTACATTCACTCAATTCCATTGTCACTAAGAATATTCTCAAGGAACATCTCATTCCTTTTCAGCGCGTGCAGGTGTTTACTTTATTTCCCACTAACTCTTCTTCTGCACAAAGAGATACTTTTTAAGCGTTGAAGAATGAAAGCTGTATTAAAGCTTAAAGTGTGTGCTGTAAATCATCTCATGTACTCTTTTACGAGAAGATAAGGAGATGTAATATATAAATTGGGTGCATTTTTCTTCTTATCGTTTCATACAGCGAGCAAGCAGTATTAATACAATAAAACACAGAGTTATGAAGATGTACGAGCGAGTAAGGTAATAGTATTTATTTCTAAATACCACTTGTACGAATAGGAATTTCCAAAGTTCAGAAATAACGTCAGCAGTGAATGAATTTCAACGACTGGTAAATAAATGATGATGCTCGTGGAGCTTAGGGAAAAGCCACCTATCGCAAAGAGAGGCCATTCACATGAGCAAAAAACCGTTCCAGCTCCAGCCAGAAAAATCCGCCGTTGATGCTCGCATCTCAATTGCACTGCCCTGTGAATAACTACGCAGATGAAATCTCGCTGGTAATCCCCCTCGTGTTCTTCCTAGAAAGGTCTTTTGATAGCTGTGACGAAGACAATTAATTGAGTGATCATTCGAAAGAGGAACAAGAGCCATTTCGAATAGTGGCGTTAATGATCTTGAAAGGCCGTAAATAATGTGTGTGAAGGTCACTGCAATAACGGAATCAACATTTTCTACCAGTGTTTACACCTCTTATTCAATTAGCATGAATTTTTGAGAAAAATACTCGTCTCAATTCTCAGAACTTTGCGTCGCAGCGTCCTTTTGGCGGGCGCGCGCGCGCGCGCTCGCACACACAAAAAAAGCAGGCAAAATGAGCTATGATGATATAGTCGCGACCTCAACTTTCGTAACATTTACTAGAGAACCTAGAGAAGGTGTTTTTGTTCGGGAGGCAGAGAGTGAGAAACCTGTTGAGATAAGAACATCCCGTGCTGAGCTCGAATCAATGTGGCGGCATATTTTCATCGAACGAGCGAGAGAGAGAAAAACACCTCGCGGCTATTTGTCCAGCGCGAGTCTATTTTTAGCCCAAGTCGAGGGTATTTAGGGTCGAGTGCTTTCTCTCCCACCCAAAGTGCCCTCGCGGATAAGATAGGCCGCACGGAATTACGTTGTGATGATGTCTGAATCATCCACAAAAATATTCGGTCACTCCTCGGACTTTACCAACACACAGTAGTGCGAGAGGAGTGCACGATCGTGTGGGCAATTAGAGAAAATGCTAAGTACCCGCGACGATCATCGTCCACGATCGCTCACTTTTCCAGCTAACAACAAATTGTGGTAAAGTGATCGCGTGGGACGTCATAAAACGCTGATTACATATCGCATTTCTACACTTTTGTCTTTATCTGAAGGCACAATTGATTTTAATTCAATTGGTACCGATGGGCCTTATCATGTGATTCCCTCTTATTTCGCTCAAGAACCTCAAGAACCTTTTTCCTCCGCTTGTTTATCACTTTTGCGCATTTTTCCGTTTCACTTTTCACAGACATTCCCCGAGCCTGAATTCTCTCCACGCTCTTGTTTTGCTCTCGCGAGTTGGAAAGTGCATTGAAATGTTGCCCTATAAATTGAGAGTGTGATGCGCCCGGGTTCGCATGTACTGGCCTGCTAGCTACGAAAAATCCCATCTCAATCATTCAATAAAGACTAGTGGCAATTTTTCCTCAAATAGATTAATGGGATTAATAAAGAGTGACTCTTACCGGAATTCCCAAGAAGAACTACACTAAAACAAAGGGTAATTGTCATATCCATCTTTGCGCGACTCGTTCGATAAACTCGCTTCTGCCTGTAAAGACGAAAAGAAGAGAGAAATAAAGGTTGATAGTGTGAAGGCAAAAAGACAAGTCAGTGAGTTCCTAATTACAGAACATAAACCATTTTTACCAATTGATACTCTCCAACAAATTGACCAGCACAAATTCTTCTTGTCCACCTTTTTTCCGAAGGCGCCCAACAATCACGAAACAAGTTTAATTATGAAATAAAAGTCTTGCACTGTCGCTCTTCTTTCACTCCGTCATCCAACGAATCAACCTTGATAATGTTCCATTAATATCTTATCAATCACCACACAACTTCTCCTCACTCCGTCGCGCTCTCAATCCCAGCCACACTCCGCACTGATAAGACAATAGTTCGGTTGGAGATGAATTGAAGGAACTGTCCGATCTAGAGCGTCATTCTTGTTGCGTGCAACTATGGCGAGCTTTTGGGATCACAAACACTTTTCCCTCACCGAATTGTTACCATCAAATGGCTCTCCATGTTGTTTGTCACCGAAGACAATTCAATTTATGTTGGAGGGGAGATCGAATGGCTGGAAATCCCTGGAAATTCCACCATATCATCAGCCAACACATCAACTTTCAGGCGTGTTCAGCATTACGTGTTTCTTCTACGTTTCACTGCAACTTGTTTCACAAGAAACATGTTGCTTCACATGAAAATCAGGGGGTTTAGAACGGAAGAAAAAAGCATTTTCAGCTAAGAGGCACGAAAAAAGTTCAAACTTGCAAAGCGATTAGTTAAGGCCATTAATAAAGAGTTTAACCATGTTTTGTTTTCATATTATTTATTCCTAGTATATGTATATAATTAACATCTTAATCTGGATAAAAATCTAAAATCTCTGCCACCCTTTATTAAATTAATACTTCTTTTTGTTTATCATTAAGTGTGTGACAATGCGGAAAACATCTTTTAGTCTTTTTTTATCGCATTAAATAGAATTCAAGCAACTCACGTTTCTAAATTACCATATAATCTAGATTTTAAAATATATATTAAACTTTTCCACTCTAAAAGAAACGATTCAAACATTTTAAACATTTGATTAAATTGAAAGAAATACGTGTTATATTTATATCATCTGTCTTTTCGGATAATATCGGAATGTGCCCCAAATAGTACATAAAATTTTCATTTCATTTCCTACATCTTTTTGTGTGTTTCTAGACAAGGCACTTATTTACGGAATCATTCAAATGTTTTAAGAGTCCTTTTTGATTCATATATTTTGAATAGCTACAAATTTTGAAGAAAATACTGTTGATTTTTTTTAACAATACTTTTCGATGCATATCATTTTTGCTGTGTTTTTTCATCACACATTCATTTTCACCTATCAAAATTTAGAAAATCATCCAAAATGGAATGTTTTTTTTTTAATTTTATTCTTGTCACGCTGTCAGACTGGAAATTACTGGGTGCAATTTATAGTATTTCACAAAATCCATTAATGACAATAACTAATAAAATGAAGAATTATTGTCTCAATTATTAGTGGTTCCAATCTTACGGTACGCCTTTCCTCCATTTCGTTCCCACTCTCGATTAAATTCGTGCTCCAAGATCTCAGCACCGCGCTTTCTTGTCAATCCCGTCTCATCCAAGCTCAGTTCGCACATTTGCATGTCATCAATTCCGGCCACAAGCAAGATTGGCTGCTTGTCCACGTGAAGCTCCATTTGACGCGCCACATATTGACCATCGAAGTGAGCATACCACCAACCTTTCTTCCCTATTGTATACAAAACACTCATGTTAGCTCGCAATTCTGCTTTCAAATAAATACTCTTCCCACCTGGATCATTTGTATCATTGGGCCTGACGAAGGGTATGCGGAAATACCGATGAACCGACACTGCATTGATCTCCTGACGTGGTTGAATTCTCGATGAAGCCTTAGCAGCAGCCTCCATGACACTCTACACATATTGATGTTGCGAAGCAATCAATTAAAAACCCATTGAAATCAAATTGAAGTTCATCATATTCACCTTTGGTGCTCTCTCATTTTCATCCATTGTGGATCTCTTATTGCGATTCTTAGCCTTCCAGGCGTGGTACACCTTCAAGCGGCGGTGAAATTCATGTCGGCAAGCCTGCAAACATCAATCAACAATATAATTCTCTTAATGATTCTCCCCAAAACTTCTTTCAAACATTCACCAATTGGTGGAATTATTATTATTGACACAGATATCAGAATAACAGGGCAATCGAATAATTAATTACCCGCAAGTAACGGAGGTATAAAAAGCATTTTCCATATACAAACTGAAATTACATAAACTTACCTCCAAGAGTTCAATGTCACAAGATGTGTTAATTGCATCACGTAATTCCGAATATTTCCATTTTGATAAATCGTGTTTCTGCTTTCCAATCAATTGCTGCTGTGCACGAATGTTCTCCGATCTGTCGAGAGATTTTTTAAAAGTTGCTCAATTAAAACAATTCATATAAAATTGCTTTCGCTACAGATCAATTGAGTGCAGAAAATATTGAAGCTAAAAGGTGAAGGTTAATCTCTATTATGTGTTATGTTAAACGAAATCCATTTCTCGGCCACTTTTCACACAAAGTAAACCACTGTTGTTAGCCGCTAATATTCTTTGGAACTCGTGTTAGCGAAGAAAAATCCTCAGAGGACTGTTCAAAGCGTGCAGTAAAATATTGAAAGCAGAGCCATGCATCGTATAATTGTATTCATGAGGAATGTACCTGATCAATCTGTTTGGATTACCCAAAGACGAGACTTCGAGTGGTGCACTGAGAATGGAATGAATACAATGTGAATAATAAATGTATGTAAATTGATATTATACTAAACACTAAAAAGAAAATAATGTAATTTCCGAATGTTTCGTAAAAAGAAAAAAAAAACTATTGGTCAATTCGAATAGTCACGATGAAAAAAGGAATGGAAAGTAGAGATTAACATACTTGCGAATCTGTGGAGGACTATCATCCACTTGGCCATTGGACTCATTGGCAAGGCGCGTGGCGAGCTCGTGATCCCTCCTTTCCTGTTCCAACTGCTCTCGATATTTGCTGTCCCTATGTGCCTCTTCGCATAGTTGAGCCTGGAGTGCTTCCGCTGTCTTACGATCCAATTCCTCTTGTCTCAGACGAGCGGCTTCCTCTGCTTTTCTCTTTGCCTCCATTTCGGCTTTTCTGCACGTAAACAAACACAAAAGGTAAATAAAAATATAAATAATTTCACTTTCACGTACTCATCAACACTTACTTTTTTCTATTCTCCTCCTCTTCGCGACGCTTCCGCTCTTCCTCCTCTTTAGCCTTCCTCTCTGCCTCCAGAGCCAATTGTATCTTCCTCAGTCGCTCCTGTTCCTCAGCATTCTTCTGCTCTTGCAGTTTGTTTTTCAGCAATGACGTATTCTGATCGATCTTCTTCATTAGATCCTCGTAAATCCCATCAATTTCCTTCGGCGTGATAGATTGATTCATCTTGATCTTCCTCGTTGCCTCATCAATTGCAGCATAGAGGGATTTCACTTGGTTCAACATAACATCTTTCTCCTTCTTCAGCTGAGTTGCCACCTCTTCCATCTTGATCAGATTCGTCTTGATGGCCCTAATCTTTTGCAATCCCTTATAACGAGGTTGATGCTTCTTGCGCGCCAAATAGCCTCGAATCACCTTCTGCATAACTAGAACGCACTTGTTGCGATAAATTATACGATTCTTCACTAAAATACCAAAATTTAAATTAGATTAGCTACTGAAAATTTACATACGTGATGTATATTTACTCACGCTTTATTACACAAATGGCACAGAATGCTGATTTTATCCACCTCGATCGCACCAGCCATTTCTTCACATTCGCCACAATTGCCTTCAAATTCTCCGGATCTGATCGCATAATTCTGTCAAATTCAACAAACTTCCCCGGACGGAAGAAGACCTTCGTAATGCCGAATTTGAAGTCCTTATCGTGGAGCTTCAGTGAGTGAAGCATAGCTTCGCAGAAAGTTCTGGCGCTGAGCTTGGCAAGTTCCGGCGGCAAGTAGGATTTGTACATTTTATGCAATTCACCAAAGGGAACACGTGATGGATAACCGTACTCCATGAGCTCCAGCACTGATGTAGTTCCTGAACACTTAAGCTGCGCCAAACAGAGACTTCCTTCGAATTCATGATCCACCATTCGACTATTTGGCTTAATGCATCTGATGAAATTCGTACCATTTCTCTCCAGCTTCTCCATCAATTCACTCAGCTGAGTTTTAAACTTTGATCCCACCGAGATGAAGCTCAGTTTACCCTTGGAAACTGATGAGCCAGAGGCAAAGAGTCGATTCAGGAGTTTGTTTTCTGATTCCTGTACCAGGAATTCCAGAGAAGCGTGCAGAGCATCGTTATTCTTTTCAATAAATTGGTTCTGAAAGCAACAACGTCACTGTTATTACACGAAAAGATATGTAAATGTATAAACTCACCGTATTGTAGCAAACAGCACCCGCAAAGTGTCTTATGAGGAATCCCTCGTCATCTCTCAGACTCCTATGTGCCTTCAATCGCGATCCTCGAGGATATGACAAACGATAGTGTCCCTGCCATGATGTGTGAACCTCTGAAGTAAAGTGAGCCGGCGATGGTTTTGGCAGTTTCGACTCTTCATCCAATATCATGAATATCCCATTTGATTTGTTCTCAATTAATTCAATAATGTCCTGATTATCGGTGAATTTAATTTGAGGCACATTCAGCCCTTCTCGCTTGTACAATTCCTGCTCATTTGCCAGGATGTTGTCATTGAAGAATTTCTGCAATTTCTCATTACAGTAATTGATGCAGAATTGCTCAAATGAGTTCACAGTGAAGTACTCAAATCCAGCAATATCGAGAACACCAATGTAGAAGCTCGATGCCTTGAATGGAATGCTCAAGTTGATGATGGAGACTATATGATCAAATAACCGGCTATAGAGCGCCTTCGCGAGAGCATCGCGTGCATTATTTGCCTCATAGACTTTCAGTGGAACCCTGAAAGACACAACCATTAGTGGATTGTCCTATAAAATTCCAAGAATAACTCACATGATAACAGTCCCTTTCATGCCGCCACCTTTGCTCTGCATCACACGAGAAATGAGCGCCTGACGCAACTCTGACGGATCCACACCAATCAATGTCGAGGTGATAGTCAACGATTGCTCAGAACTTGGCGACACTTTGCATCCTCCTTTAACGTCTTCGGGATTATCTTCGAAAGAGATGTTGCCGAGGTGAAGCACCCCGGCAACAAGCTTGTAAATCTCAAGCTTACTCTCCCCAGACAGTCCCAAACGCGAAAGGGCCTGATCCAAGCTCGCAAAATCATTATAATCATCCAGAATAGGATCTCTCAATCCACCACGCTTCACGTGATCCTTAGACTTGTAGGCTGTCGGAATTTTCTTGTCTGTGGTACTATTTGTGAAGAATTGCGTACATCCACTCAAGTACTGCAAAAGAGGGCGAATGAAGATGTTAAATAGATGTGTTGCAGTACATACAAACTTCTATTAATATAAATTACCTTGTATTCGTCAGGTCTGCCCAGACATAGTTTTTCACGCAATTGCTGTGGTGCTCCAGCACATAGCATGTAAAATACATGATAGTTTCTCTCTTCTGGACTCTGTGTGCATATTCTGCTCTTCTCTAGCAAATAGTGCGATATATGACCACCAACGACGGCATACTTTCCATCATAGTGCACCTCAATGAACTTCCCAAAGCGCGAACTGTTGTTATTTCTCGTCGTCTTTGCATTGCCAAATGCTTCCAAGATGGGATTGGCATCGAGAATTTTTTGTTCAATCGTTCCAGCCGCTGCTACAGAATCGCACAAGTATCGCAATAAATATTTCGTTGATTCAGTCTTTCCTGCGCCAGATTCACCGGAAACAATTATCGACTGTGACACTTTTAGCACTTTCATATCTCGAATAGCTTTATCAGCTGCAAAAAAGGAATAGATTGGTCTGAATGGTGAGATGTCGAGGAGACAGGAACACGCTCATATATTTTTTCTCTACATTCCAGGTAAATTATTATTTATTGGCACACAAATACTCACCGATGGCATAGACATGCGGTGGGAGTTCGCCCAATGAACGCCCATTGTATTTCTTAATAGTACTTGATGAATACAGATCTCGAATTTCCTTATATGGGTTCACAGCTATTAGTATATTCGCAACGTATGTCTGCAATTATTTCAAGCATAATTGTTTTATTCCCGCTTTAATTGCATGTGACAATGGCAACGGAAGGCAAAAAAATACCTCCATAGAGACAGACATGAGCGACAAAGAGACACTGAATTTGGCACTTACATAGATTTTATCTTTGTAGTATCTCGTCTTCAAGTTGTCTAGCAGAGTGGCCTCATTCAGGAACATAAGCTCACCTTTAAAGAGATTGTTTTTTTTTAGTTTAATAGTTCAGTGGGGTTCTCAATTAAATCCTAAGTGAGAATGGAAAGAGGGAGACAATTTAGATGAATCATTTTATGGGCACGTTTTACAATCAAATGCAGTGGTAATTTTCTTGTTCGCATTACTCAGGAAATGTTTATTTACTCGACCACCAAATCAAAACCACACCAACTAATCTATTTAATCATCAAAACTAGATTTTTATCAAACACACACAGCATAATTAATGAAAGTTCCCCTCAAACAAAATGTATTCGCTGGAAATTATCTCTGAGCAGCACTCATCAAATTATGCTGGTTGTGTGATTCTAGATAACTTGAGATGACGATAATGAATCTTACACGTGGAAAATTTAGAGGAAAAGAATTGTAATGAGCATTGAAAGTTTCTTGTTATGCTACCATATGGAAAGATTTACAAAAAGTTTTCAACATTTTTGAGAATTGCAAGAGCATAAAAAGACCATTTAGAGTGGGTCATTACTCCATCCGCTAAATTGGCCAATTTGCTCTTCTTAATTCCAACCCAATCAAAACAAACAACAAACTTCTTGAACAGTTAAGCCTGTGCCATGGAGGAAACCGCCCAATATACAGCAGAATTGATAGCAATTTATCAAGCAATGAGCATCTTTCAACTTGAAAGCGATTTCAAATGTCTGAAACCATATCAGATGATCACATTTGTCACTTTGGCACATAAATATTGCAAGTGGAATATGTGGGGCGAGCAACGTCAGAGCGATAAAACACACTTACAGTTATCATCGTGATCTTGTTCTCCCTCGCACGATGGAAAGATGTCTTGAACAGCGCAGACACGCTTGGCAAATTTACTATCTAGTGGTTGCACCTCGAATTCTTGATCACTGCCTATTTCAGAAATGCGTCCTTTCACATATCCCTCAGCACTATCACGAGCCCACACTATGTTGAGGTCCATCTTTCATCTGGAAGTGAAACATAAGAATAAAACGCATGAGAGAAACTGTTCGGCTGGAAATGTGAGCAAAATTTATTAGCACTGGTGGGATTTATCTTCTAGTTTCTGTCTCTCTCTCTCTCTCTCTCTCTCTCTCCATCTTTATTCGCCTACAATTAGAAATCATGCAATGGAAAATTGTTTCTTCTCTCCCTCTTCTTAATTACTTCTTATGCAACATTGTAGATATGCGAAAAATGCTGGAAATTCCTCTTCAGTGGGTGTACACAGGCACACAAGTCCTCACTGAATCTGATACAAAAATACTCAAGTATTTCATTGCGGATTATAAAAAAAAGTAATTTTACAGGGAGGAGGAAGTGGCATTGAGTAAATTTATTTACTGAAAAATAAAAGGAAAAGTTTGTTGTTCGATTTTGAGTGCGTTTCAAAGCGCGAAGGAAAAAAAATATATACACAATTTTTAGTGATTCATAAGTTAATCCATGCTTCATGCAATCGATGTCCATCGCGGAACATTATCTCGTGGATTTTTTAATGGATTTTATTCACTTACAAATTGTGTGAAAATTTTAAATTTTGCCACTTTTGCTTTTCATGACCATGCCATTAAACTTTGCGATAACACGTACACTCTTCACAGTTCTTCCATTGAATTACAAAAAGCAAGTGCCACACAATAGGCACAACTTGTGTATATAATATTGAATTGTTGAATTGTTCAATGAAGACGGGCATATTTCTTCTTCAAGTGAGAAACCATTTTATCAGTAAAAACGTTGTAAAATACTTTACTTCACAGCGAGATATCACAACCAATGATCAACGATTTCATGAAATACTTCGCCAATTACACCTCTTCATTATCACCCTCAATTAATCATATTGAATCACTTACTCGCACCTTCACTAACATTTTTCTTGTTAAAACTGTTTTGATATAGACTTTTATATCAAATATTTTGCCAGATTCGCATTGTGATTTTCCGTCTCTTCGTACTTTTCACTTTTTTGTTCCTCCTTGTGGTACACATTATGGTGAATTACTTCCGTTTGCGATGAGCAAAAACGCACCAAAGCATTTACACATTGAAAAGTGAACTAATAGGGAGGCACTTTAGCATTACACCTGTTGGAATAATTTCACTATTTCACTATTGTGAACATTTCTGTGTCTTTGTGCTTCCCGCTGGCTATTGTTGTGGCCACTGGAGTCATTCAACCAGCTTTTCTGCATTTATATGCAGAAAAAAAACCGCCCAACTCAAAAGAGCCACTCTGAATAAAGTTTGTGACTGAAAAAGAGAGCCACGAAATTCAATTTAATTTGCTATCTTTTGCAATAATTTTAAAAGGAATTTCAACATTTCCCCTGCAAAAGAAAACCGTATAGAAAGACCTGTAAAAGCAATTTTGGGCATTTCGAGTACACACACAAAAAAGAGAGATGCTGATGCTTAAGTGAAATAATCTTTCAACGAAATGCACAATGTAAAAAGTACATGAGAGGAGGAACAAAAGAGAGCTCATTGAACAGAACTTTGCCATCACTTGGAGAATTCTTATTCACATTGACTTTTGATGGAGTCTGAAACGGGACTTTGTGCAGAGTTTGAAACGTTTTTCTCATTCAAGTTAGAACGGTGCTTTCCAGTGAAATATCTAAGCAAGCTAAGCAAGAATACCGAGAAGATTTCACGGATATTCGCATCAACATTCGTGTTGAGCATTTTCGAGGAAAAGTCATGAATTTCCGTCAAAATATTGCGCATGTCCCTGCATTCAATGCAGTTGAAGCGTGAGTTTGTAGATCAGCAGAAGATTCAGCATGGAGAATTGGGTGAACCACTATTCAAGTGGAAGAACCCGTATGGAGAGAAAATTGTGCAGAATAATCATATAAGAAAACGGCGAAGGGAGAAAAGAGAAAATGTGTCAATGCAGGCTCATAAATGTAACTCTGTGCCATTAATTTAAAATCACAACAGTAGAGAAAAATTACTTTTGTTGTGTGTAAAATATACACTGCACAAAAGAATTATACAAACATCAAGAGAATTTAGTTCAAAATTTTCATAATTCTATATTAACCATCTTAATGGTATCTCATTAAAACGACTGAAATGCTCAATGAAGCCAGAAAATACTAAACTTAACCTTCACAAAAAATTTTTACATTGTGAATGAAAACAATTTAGATATAATTACTATAACTCGATTGATTGAAGATTACAATAAAATTGCAATCTTACTAATTCATTCTTGCTGATGGGAATCAAAAAAAAACATAATCCATCTCCAAACAATGGAAGAAAATATATTCAATAGATTAATATTCAAGAGTACTTTGGACTTTCTTCAAATTCATTTAAGCTCTTTTATTCACTTTCCTCCCATTTTATCGCATTGTTTTGATGTAATCTCTTAACAATATTTTTCTTCCCACCTTCTCAGGTGACGATACATTAATTTTCTTCACTGTACACGCTCAACGGTGAGTCATTAAAGTCTGCTTGAAATGTATGGTGATAACACAAGACATGTGTATGTAATTGTTGGACAGAGAGACTCAATTTGATATTGAATGACACGGAAACACGATGCATTTGAAGACTTTTCCAACGCTCAAGATATGCAAGTAGTTAGACGATCCGGATGAATGCAGAGCAGTGGGCCAAATATAGATTAAAAGCAGACCTCCAAACGGGTTTAGGAAATCTTTTAAAACGAATACATCTGTGAAATTTCTCGTATGGCAGAACAGAAAATTAACCATTTTTGTCTCGTCTCATCTTTCAAGTTAAAGAGAAAGAAAAACACAACACGATGAGAAGAGAGGAAACCCACACGCTGAGTTTCAAACATACAAAATGTGAAATTCATATTCTCCCAACTGTACTGCAGGAAATACTGAGAATTCCCTGTCAATTATTATACACAGAGACGTTAATAAACTCCACTTTGTGACAAGAATTCATTACTCCTTTCTTTTCATAACGAAAAAAGAATCATAATCTCAAGTGCCTTCCCCGAATCAATTGTGATAAGATAAAGGTATGAACTTGTACATTTCATTCCAATGCGAACACACCACAAATGGATTTGGTGTTAATAAAAGAGGAAAAAGTTCACCGCAAGTGAATCTCCTATTTTGCATTTTGTGTGAGTCACACAACGTCGAAAAAAATGAAAGAGTGAAGCCTCAAGGGAACTTATTTGGTCGAAAAAAATGGTTTTTGTCTGGTCATTCAACCATGTTATAGACTTTTGCCCATTTGAATTCAATCACATGAAATTTATTGTGCCCAATAAACCGTACGTGTAATCAATTGAAATACGACATCAAATATATCGCATTATATCGCTATCTTTTTCTCAATTTCCTCCCAAAGTCTTTTGTGCCTCTCATGTCTTTCCAAAGAATTTCACGAAAGCACATTTTTCTGGGTTATTCGGTGCTACATTACTTAATTGTCTATTGTTTCGAGAAAATTTTTACCAATGTGCTTCAAAGCAAAGTGAATTTATTCTACCTACAATATTGAGCACTTTTCAACCATATTTCCACAGAAAGGCAAATTCAGCAAATTCATATGGAAATTTGTGAGTAAACTGCGGGTGTTCCAACAAAGAGAATTATTATTTTTGATGAAAGATGCTTTTTTCCTTTTAATTTGTAGCAAGTTTTTATGCCTGGTCTGACGTGTGAAGAAAAATACAGCGAGAGATGAATTTTCGGCACAACATGACATATAAGGAAAGCACTCAAATTTTTGCGGATGAAAATTAGTCAGAACATTATTCTGTGTTAAGTAAGATATCGATAAATACCTCTGAGTGGGTTCTTCATGACGAAATTACTGTCATGTTTAAACTGACGATAAAGCAAAGAAAAGAGTATAACCCAGCCTACACTCTCAACGCTCCCTATCAAGAAATAGCTGTAATTTTTGCAAATGGTCTACTAATCAGCTTCTGCTCTCATCCTAATTTCCAGTTTAGTAGTCAGTGTTGAAAAACCAGAAATATCGCCAACACTTCCTCCAATATGCAACTTAACAAAACGAAGCAAATCAAATGTGGTCTCGATTGGAGGAAGTTCATGAATAATTAATTCTCGAAAGTGTTCTTATTTCCACGAAATTCGTGCGAAACGATGAAACGTGAGTAGCAAAAGTGCCTTGTTTTGGAGGCTCACGAATTCCAAGTTCACTGCAGTGACAGGCGCACTCTTCCCGAACTGGCCGTGGGGTCAGTAAGTTGGAATATTCTGAATAGATGCCACTCATTAGGCTTTTTTTTTTGTCTTTTATCGCTGATTCGTGAAAAGAGGTAGGGGAGCCGCTGAGTTCCATTTTCTGGCCAGCAACAACTTCCTCTGGGCGAAGGCCCATATTGCTCACCGACAGGCCGCTGTTTTGCATGAATTCCTCGTGGAAATGTATGCAGATGGGGGCGTCATGTAGCCACCAATGTCTATCGCGACGAAATTGGCTGGATTTGTGGGGATTTATCGCGAAAAACAGTGTTTTTTACCTGTTGATCTAATTAGTTGATCACAACTACGGATGTAGACTGGCGTAAATCCCAAACGTTTCACTGGTGGAAGAACTTCACTGGCATTTCACTTTAACTCTCCGCCCGCTCAGCCACTCAATAGAATGCTGAGGCAGCTAATGAGGCAAAAATTGAGTGAAATTATCCACTTATTTCACGACTTGCGTCAATTTCCATCCGCGATCCGAGGACAAATGAATGAATTTTTGCTGCGACTCTGCTGTCATTTTCCGGCAAAGCTCGTGGAGGGGATTTCGAGCAATGCTGTCAGTGTTGCCATGCGTAGGGAAATTATGCAAATTATGATTGGAGTGTTGCCAGCTTGGTTACCATCAGTGACATTTCATGATTGTTTTTCTCACGATTTGCGTTGTTTTCACTGAAAATGTCGAGTTTAGCTTGTCTTCAGAGTTATGGGAGTGGAAGTGATACAGATTCTGATGCAGAGGATCCGAAGATGCCAGAAGTACCTGAAAAACCGGCTAGTGGAGAGTATTCCTTGGCAAAATCAATTGAAATCTGTGCCAATCCAAGTGTCATTCCCACGGTAAGTTTCTGTAAACACGGCACGTTTTTCTCTTATTTGTCTCTGAAAATAGAGAAATCCTACTAATTTTTAATGTATTTTTTTTTTCAGAGAGAGGCCACAGTGTCCAGAGTTGTTGATCCGTCAACAAAGGAGTTGGAATATAATCCAAAATTTGAGGAGCTGTTTGCTCCCGTGAAGGGTCCGGAAAACCCCTTTCTCACTGACCAGATGAAGGCCACAAAGAACATGCTGTGTGGCTTTGTGGAGAAGGCACACATCAGTGCCTTCCAGTTTGAGAATCAGCGCAGGACTTTTCACACTTTCGGCTACGCTTTGGATCCATCAGTGGATGGCGAGGGCTGTGATGGACAGAGTTACGTGGGTGATCTCCAGGCTGCCTACGACACAGATGGGAAGACAGTATTTGAGCCAGCCACCTTGCCCACGTCTCAGAGCAAGCGGAAGAGGAAAAAGAACGACAACCCGGAAGATATAGGAGGCTTTTTGGGACCATGGGGGAAGTTTGAAGATGAGAAGACTGTGGCTGTCCCAACAGAGCAGGAAAAGGCAGAATTGGAGGAGTTGCTGTCAAAAAAGCACAAGCGTGGAAAGCTGCTGGAGGAGAAGCCTGTGGAGGAGAAGTCTGTGCTGCACATCAAGGATGCCATCGATTATCAGGGACGCTCTTTTCTACACGCTCCGCACGATGTGGGTGTCAATTTGAGATCAGACGCTCCGCCATCGCAATGCTTCCTACCCAAGGCGCACATCCATACGTGGCAGGGACACACGAAGGGCATAGCGGCCATCAGACTCTTCCCACGCTCAGGACATCTCCTGTTGTCAGCAAGCATGGACACGAGGGTGAAACTGTGGGAGGTGTACGGCGAGAGACGCTGCGTACAGACCTATTCTGGGCATCGGCAAGCAGTGAGAGACATCTGCTTCAACAGCAAGGGCACTCACTTCCTCTCTGCCGCTTACGATCGCTATATCAAGCTTTGGGACACGGAAACTGGACAGGTGTTCTCACGCTTCACTTCTCGGAAGATTCCGTTCTGTGTGAAATTCTATCCCGACAACAGCAATCTCTTTGTGGCGGGCACATCGGACAAAAAGATTATCTGCTGGGACACTCGCAGTGGCGAAATTGTCCAGGAATATGACAGACACTTGGGAGCTGTTAATTCCATAACGTTTGTGGATGGAAATCGAAGATTTGTTACCACGTCCGATGACAAGAGTCTGCGTGTCTGGGAGTGGGACATTCCTGTGGATATGAAGTATATCGCTGATCCTACTATGCATTCAATGCCCTCAGTCACGCTGTCGCCAAACAACAAGTGGTTGGCGTGCCAGAGCTTGGATAACAAGATCGTCATCTTCTCAGCGCTGAATCGATTCAAGATGAACAGGAAGAAGACCTTCACGGGACACATGGTGGCAGGATATGCCTGTAGTTTGGATTTTTCACCTGACATGAGGTAAGAACATCTTGATTAATCCAATGTGTGCAAGATATCAATTAAGAAGTGACCAAGAATGGACGTGAGAAACTCTAGTTGCGTGATTATTGAAGTGAAACGAGAATTTTGCATATCTAAGTTTCTTAAGAATGCCGAGAATGATTTTTGAATATAAATGTCTCGTGTGTCACTGCAATTAGCTTTTTATATAAGATATTTAATTAGCCTAAAGAGTCATGCACTTACCATTAATACGTATTCTTGGTCTGTTTTAGCTTCCTCGTGTCGGGAGATGGCGATGGTAAATGCTATATTTGGGACTGGCGAACAACAAAGCTGTACAAGAAGTGGAAGGCGCACGATGGAGTCTGTATAAGTTGCTTGTGGCATCCTCATGAGCCCAGCAAACTTATCACAGCTGGATGGGATGGACTCATCAAATACTGGGATTAGGATTTTTGACCAGAGAAGTGAATAAATGTGGCAGAATAGCCAGAAGATAAAAATTGTGACCGTTGGAAGTTTGGTAAGGGAGTTCAATTTGAATGCAGAAGGGCGCAAGACAGGGACAAACAGTGGTTTTTCAGGGGAAAAGTCGGAAAATCGATATCGCTTCATGAGTCTCCACAGCTGATGTAGACGACAGGTTAGAAAGTCTTGGATTTTCACATTCTCTTCAAATTGTCGAGAAGTGGTAAGTAGGCTTATTTCGCATTTACTTTCCTGTTAATCCTTGTTGGAACTGTGTAATGGTAGTGGGTAAGATATTCTCTAGCAACCAGAAGTCTTCGTCTGATTCCGATAAACTCTGCATCATATCGTCTGTATTGCTTTTTTCAGAAAAGTGCATCGGAAGCGACGCAAAAGAGCTTCAACATATATAGAATGGATATCTCTCCACAAGTTTAAGCTGTAGATAAATTTTTCCAGAGAAAACTTCTTCACCCCGAGAGCAATGGATTCAATGGGCCTAGGTTACTCCTACCACCTTCCATCTGGTGGCTTTTTCCAGCGCGTCCGGAACTCGCTCTCGTTGGCTCAGTTTAGCGATCTCTTTAGCGAGTTCAACGAGTACATCGCTCCGGCCTACCATCATGACCGCTGTGAGAGATCCGTTCACATGCGCCTCTACTCCATGAATAAGCGGGAATTCGTGATGGTCTTCCTGGCTTTCTTCGCCTGCTTCGGCCTGGGCATTTTTATTGGACTTGCGGGTCCGCCAATCACCGCCACCACCGAAATCAGTGCTACTTCCATTCTACCCAATGCCTCCGTAGTGGAGAACAAGCTAATCATGGCCACGGGGCCTTTCAGCATGCGAAGTCCCCTCATGACCATGTACGCCCAGCAGCTCTGGCTAATTGCACAAATCTTCACTGATAACAGAGATGACGAAGCCTATGATAAAAGTTTCCAGGTGAGCCTCGTGATTGATGGACTCACGGCGGATCATAAGCCAGTGCCCATTCTTTACGGAGATAGCGTGAAGAATAGGTGAGAAATACATCTATTTGACCTGATAAGCACTATTCTTAAACTTCTTCTTGCTTTGAAGGACACGTCAACTGATCTGCCAGAGGAACACTTGCGAGGAATTTACAGTTCTTCATCTGGGCTTTCTGGATTATGCCCACTATATTGTCACCATTCGCTTCTCCGGATTAGAATCCGTTCATCGGCGGTACAACATTAAACAGATTAAGTTCTTCGTAAGTAAAACAATGGAAAAAGGGGACAAAGACTGAATTTTGAAGATTTAATGTATTTTGGGATGTTATTCACAGTTCAAAACATACAATCCAGCATTCACTCAGATTGAAATTTGGTTCAGATTCATTTTCCTGCTCTTCACATTCATAGTGACGGTGAGTTTTGGCTAAACTTTGTATAAGTTGTTTGAAGAATTATTTTTCTTACGACATTGATTTTTCAGTGCTGGTATGCTCATACGTTGCGGAAGTATTCGGTGAATCAATGGTCAATTGAGCAGAAATGGATCTCTGTGCTTCTTCCTCTGCTCCTCCTTTACGACAGTGATTAGTTCCTTTTTTCCCAACACTAGTGAGTTTATTTCATAGAATAAATTTCTTTTTCAGATCCCCTCTTTCCGTTGATCTTCCTGATGAACTCTTGGCTTCCGGGAATGGTGGATGCTCTCTTCCAAGCCACCTTTCTCTGCGCCTTGCTCATGTTCTGGCTGTGCATGTACCATAGCTTCAGGCAGAATGAGCGTCGCATTCTCACGTTCTACGTGCCGAAACTGATCGTTGTGGCGCCTATCTGGCTCTGTGCTATTGTCCTGGCCACGTGGGAAAAATGCAATGAGCTGAGAGATCCCACATACAGCCACTTCATCGACACAGGCAACTACTCCTCCTTCAAGATCTTCTTCTACCTCTCCAGTGGGGTTTATGTGCTGTACTTGGGACTCCTGATCCTCAGGGCATACAGCGAATTGCGGTCGATGCCCTACTTCGACATGAGGCTCAAGTTCCTCACTCTCTTGATGCTGTTTGTGGTCAGCATTTCACTGACAGTGACGATGTATCGCTTCGGCTTTGGAATATTGCAGGATAACTTCATGGCCACGCTAAAGACAACCTACAAGAGTTCGGCGCAATTTATGAGTTTCTACGGACTGCTGAACTTTTACCTCTTCACCATGGCGTATGTTTATTCGCCTCATGATCGTCCTGTTCATGGTGAGATTAACAAACTCACAGTTCCGTGTTGGCATATTAAGTGAATAATGTTTTTTTGCAGAGCCTGCCATCACAAAGGACAACCCCGCCTTCTCAATGATCAATGATTCGGACGAGGATGTGATCTATGGTTCCGATGACGATAGCAGAAGGCCCCTCAACTCCACAGGTGGCAAAGGGAATGACTACGACAGTGACTAAAATGTCCTTTTCCCGATGGATTTGGACAGTCGCCAGTTAACGCCAGGTGGAGTGAAGAATTTGAGATTTTGTCAGTGCTGAAGAACGAATTTTGTCTTGAATTAGACATTTGCGATGGAATTACTTCGCGTTAATTAAGTGTGAGTTACAATTAATTCAAGGGCCAGCCAAAACTTCTTATTTAATTGTCTGAAATTGGTGTAAAACAGTGGATAATTTATGTGAAAACTGATTTGGTGTTAAACATCATTGAACTTATCAAGTAAATTTGTATTCAATGTGAACCAATTAATGTACCTGTCTTTCATTTCAATCTGTCGTCAATAAAGATGTTTTATTGGTTTTGTTTAAAGTAGCTACAGAAGATTTAGTCTAGACAGACGAGTGGGAGATAAAATAAGGACGAAAAATAGAAGGTTCCACCGAGAGTTGAACTCGGATCGCTGGATTCAGAGTCCAGAGTGCTAACCATTACACCATGGAACCGTCGAATTGCAGGACGTCTCCAATTGTTGGCATATGCTTCACTCCCCCGCAACAGCAAATTATTGATTGATAACCTTGCTGATAACAGAATTCTGGCAAAAGTAAAGAAAACTCAAGAGTAAACTGGAATGTTGCATATGATATATGAAATTATTTCGTAAAAAATTTAAGTTGTGAATACGAATACCTGCACAAAATAAAATAATGGTGTTCGCATATGCGTGTGCCGATTTGGGATAGTGACGGCAGTTCATCGTGATAACAAATTGTGTGTGATTGATGAAAAAAGTGATGTCAACGGCACGCGGTGTTCCCAAGCGGTCCCCCATCCAAGTACTAACCGCGCCCGACGTCGCTTGACTTCGGTGATCGGACGAGAACCGGTACTTTCAACGTGGTATGGCCGTTGACGAGGGAAGTTTATCACTACTGTAGCATATTATGATTACAAAGGTAGTTTACCATGTGATGTAAATAAAAATTTCTATGTTAATTTTTATGTTAAGAAACGCCAATAAATAAAGCAAAAAATAATAATTTCAATATAAAAAAGGGATGCCAACGGCACGCGGTGTTCCCAAGCGGTCCCCCATCCAAGTACTAACCGCGCCCGACGTCGCTTGACTTCGGTGATCGGACGAGAACCGGTACTTTCAACGTGGTATGGCCGTTGACGAAAACACATCATTTTGATTCCTCTACACGCTTATAGTGAATACAATTTCATATAGTGAAATGAGAAAAAAAGATGTGCATCGGCCGGGAATCGAACCCGGGCCGCCCGCGTGGCAGGCGAGCATTCTACCACTGAACCACCGATGCTTCCTTCTTCTTCATCTTCCAATAAATCCCGGATCATTCGCGCGATCAAAGCGAATGTGGCGAAATTCCAGTACAGCTTCCCGCCCATTATTCAAAACTAACAGTCGTGTCCATGTGACGCCCGTCAATGGACCAATATTTCACATACCATTTACTCAATAGCAATTGTTTAACTTGCAATAAAGAACGTTTGGCAAATTACTCATCAATGGTGATAATTTGTTTGTCTAGAAATCTATTCTGAGAAAAATATACACTCACAAAAATTAGTAAACGAGGTCAAAACTTGAATAACAATGTTGATGAATCTGCGAAAATGTGTTCTTGCCACTCATATTTCATCGCTGCGGCTCTTGAGTGCATGAATGAGTGTGTCTAGAAATATGTGAATTATCTTAATGCGTTTTCTATTGGATAATTTCTGCTGGCTGTGATTTAACAAGCGAAAGTAAAAGTCTTTCTAAATGGGCCGCTATATGCCTTCAGAAGCGATGAGGCGACTTTGCCCGGAGAACATTGGAATTGATATAAATTGGATTTGCTGTTCGAGACACTTTATGAGTCATGCTGGAGCCACTTTGTTAAATTTTGTTGGCTTCCTTTTTGCTTAGAAATGTTCTTTCAATGAACATAATTTAGTTTTGAAAGGAAGTAGACAGGTTTATGAGATAATAGAGCGGACAGCCAGGGCCTATCTTGTGGAGACGTGCAGTGAATTTGGGGGTTTTATGTATAAGTGATTTCATTTCTGATAAGAATATTTTGATTTATTTTCGCGGGAAAGATTTTGGTTGTGTTGAAAATCTCACTGAATCATGCCTTGAGCTGGTCCGAGGTTATCAACCATCGATAACCAATTAGTGTTTTTATTTTATGCATTCGAGGAGCGCAAAACTTCGCGTATACTGGGGAAATTTCTCGATGACATCATTGCCTGGCTTCAACACAGAAGCACTTCTTGGAAGGAAAGGCACACAAAGAGAGCCTCCAGTCTGATACTGGTTCCCACTTCCAGCGCTAATCCGATAAATTGGATCAACAACGAGCGTTCAGTTAGTTGGTGAAGTGACTTCAGTGCGAACGGTTGCCTTTTAACGAGTGCTCAAGATTTGAGGTCAAGCCGAGTGTGATTGTAAGCAATGGCCAATCTGATTAAAGTTGCTCTTCTCCTCGCTTCCTGTCTCGTCATTTGCCATGGACACACTTACCACTCAGGACAGTGCCCCAATGTGGAACCTCAACCAGATTTTCAAATGAATCAGGTGAGTTTTTTTTCCCTACTTCTGAGCGCGAACAAGCCGTTCGTTGAATCACGGCGAAGTTTGCGCCGCATGTTTAGCGCTTATTTGTGATGCTAATTGCATTTAATACACGCAATTTGTGGTTTGGCGGTTTGTGACGCTCTTTCATCACGATCAGCAGCTGGGCGCTTTTACAACAGTTCAATCTGCAAGTGCTTGGTTTATCAATTTGTTCTGACCTTTCGAGTGATTCAATAGGGATCAAAAGTCAACTATCTTTCTCTCATTTCTGCACAGTTCTTTTTTTATTGTAATTTAATGACATTTGAGTTGACTTTGGGTTGTTTTTCAATTTATTGAATATGGAATTCCCGGAAATTTGTTTGTAAACTTCCGTTCGGGAATTAATGAAAATGTTAATACATATTTTTCAATTCAATATTATACATATAATTTTAACTCATGTATTTTCTTCAGTTCCTCGGTATCTGGTACGTTATCCAGAAGACCTCAACGGCCTCCACATGCATAATTTACAATGTCACGCGCGGAGAGGAGCCTGGCGAGTACAGGATTGAGCAGACCTCGCAGCACTTTGCACTGGGATTGACACGCCTGCGGCATGAATACAGCTACACAGGAACACTCACAGTGCCTGACAACGACGTTCCGGCCAAGATGAAGGTCAAATTCCCACTCAGCGTGGCAGGATCGTCCACTTTCACTGTCTTCATGACTGACTATCATCAGTACGCGGGTGTCTTCTCTTGCCAGAAAGTCACATTTGCCCACAGACGCAGTGCCACGATCTTATCTCGCACGAAGACTCTTGATAAGATCTATCTCGACAAGATCCGATCGCGTCTGGCAAACTTCGCTGTAGATCCATTCGATTTGAGCATCGTGAATCAAAATGACTGTCCCAAGAATGGAAGTGAGGGCTTCAACATTCACATCGATCCGGACACTTTCTCAGCCGCAAACATTGCGAGTGTGGTCAGGAGTGCTGGCGATAAGATCGCTTCCGGCGTCGAGACGGCAATCAATGCAGGCAAAAAGGTTGGAACGGTGCTTTTCTAATGTAACTACAGTCTTTTGGATTTGGGATCTAATTTTTTCACTATTCTTATATCTAATATGTTTTGTGTTCTTGGCTACAGGCTTACAATAAACTCACCACATCCAATGAAGATGCGGAGAAAGTGACCACTGAATCCACTGAGACGATGAATCTCAGAAAGAGTGAAAGAATGCAACATGATCCAAATGCAGAGTGGATCGCCTTCTAGAAATCTTGCAGCTGTTTTGGAGGTTTTATAAAGTCTCTCTCTCTCTCTTTAGTTTTAAGAATTTTCACTTGAACTGTGTAAGAAACGATTCTCAATATATTTTTAACTGATCGAATTTCACAAAGTCTTTCGTCTTCTCTTCAATTTAACTCTTTGAATTTCCGCAATTGATTATATCAGGAGGAAATTAATTAAAGTATCGCAGAACACAGATAAACACCATTAACATTTTTCCTCGTATATAATATCTTATTTATTTACAATATACAAAAGAAGAAAAGACAGACAAAACACGATTATAGGAGAAGCTCAAGTCCAAGAGGCAGTACACAATGTTAGGATGAGTGTGAAAATAGACTCTACGCCTCAGTTGTACCACTGTCATGATCGACACCATTTGCCGTGTCCCCATTCTCATTCTCCTGCTCCTCCTCGTAGATGACATCACAATTGGTCATTTTGCTCTTCAACTCGCTATTCCTATTCTTGCGAGCGGCATTCCTGCCCGGTTTCCGTGGCGGAGCCGATGGCGAGTCCTGCGGCAGCTGAGATATCTGCATCTCCCGCAGCACCTCAGTCAGACGATGGAGATCTCTCTCCTGCTCTTCCACCTTCTCCTTAAGCTCAGAAATCTGCCGCACATCTTCGGCACGTGGATCACGACGCTCGTAGCGCATACGCATCTCCTCAAATCTGAGAATAGAGAAAAAGAAAAGAAGAAAACATCATGAAAATCCCGTGAATATGTGGATAAATTGATAACAAAGACATGATCAGGACACTCACAATTTGGTCAGACAACGACACTTTCGGTGTAATGTATCGATTTCTTGGGCATGCTGGTTATCTCGCTGCTCATGAGTTGATTTCTCTATGCTGTAGTTGCGCTCCATGTCGCTCAAGTCGCGCTGATGCGATATTTCGAGTTCTCTGGTGTGGCGTGATAAGAAAAGGTTTGAGATTTGGTTGAATTGGGGGAAATATGATTAGATGAAATAATGACACACTCGAGTCTCTGCAAATACAAAATCCTCACGCAGAAGCACCGCAAGACAAACTACAAACGTTCAGCTTCAAAGCTCATTACTTAGTATTACATAGGATGTCCTCGTCGCAAAAAAAGTTCCCTACATATTCTCAATGCAGAGGATTAGAGCACATGTGATGAGGAGGCATGAGAGCGCATAGGACAGGGAATGACTCATATAGAGGGTGAACAGGGCTGGAATAACAGGACACGCCGCTTTTGCAAATGAGATAAACGACACAGGACGTGACGTGACTTCCATTCTTGAGCTTGCAACAGAACAGAAAAAAATGAGAAAAAGACAACAATTAGCATGGAAAAAAATTGCGAGAAAAACACTGAACAGTAATGATTCATTAATGGTGTGAGACACAATGAACATCCAACTTATTCTTCGTCTGTTTCACGCTCTTCATCTCTCATTTTGCTAGACAGGAAAAGTGCTAACGTCCCATTCGCATTTGCTGATCGTGTTCAGAGAAAATGTCGTGATCACTCTTGCCAGCCCATGATATGTTTTTTTTTTTCTCCTATGCTCAAAATACATTACATTTGCTTTGCCGTGAGGGTCACTTTGACTCACAAAAAGCTAATAACCGCGGAAGTTCTTTGTGTTCTTTTATTAGCATCCTTTTAAATAAAAGCATGGAGGAAGAGAAGCATGAGGATTTTGTACATGAGATCGAGAATGTACAGCGAAAGAGATTTATATCAAATTGTTATTTACATTCAGACAAGAGGAGAAGAACTTACTTCATCTTTGTCTCTAGACAGGTTATCTTGTGCTTGTGTTTTGCCTCAAGAGCCTGCAGAGCCTCATCCTTTTCAGCCAGCAATTGTTCATGTTGCACCTCTGAAAGACGTAATGCAGAAGACATTCTCAATTAATGCCATACGACACGCAATAGTATGGACGTTGTCTTTTAAGATAAATCTGCGCAGTGCCTTAATGTAATCATAGTTTCTATATTCAGATCTGTGGACGTCTAACATTGACTTTGAAAGTTATTTTCTGCCCAAAATTGTCTTTGTTTCTGCTCTCATGTAGATGACTAACATCGTAATTGTGAAGTAACCAGGAATTATTGACAGAATTGACACTTTATATAAATGTATAACAAAGAATTTTGAACAGTAAAACACCTTTGTTGTCAACAATCAGTCATGAGTAAGCAAGGAAAATTTTTATTCACTTACGTAAAGCTTTCTTGTGCTTCATCTCTAGTTCTTCAGTGGTGTTGCACAGTTCCTGTGCAAATTCCTCTGAAACTGACTGAAGACGCTCTGAAAATTGCGTCTGCATGTCTTCCCTTTCAGCCTCACGCTCCTCCTCGATTTTGGCTTGAAAATTGAGAACACGTGTAGGTATTTGCAGCATGAAACGCATATTTTATAAGAGAATAGCTTATAAAGTAAATATTAATGCTTACCTAAGACTTCCTCGCGGTATTGAATCTCACGATCTAAAATAAGCTGATTATTTCGATCGGAGCGATCAACATAAATCCTCGCATCGATGGCTTGTTTGTCACATTTCGCCGAGACATCTCTCAGTTCTTGGATACGCTCTTTCAGAGTCTCCTCGAGATCGGTGATCTACAAAAAAAGTAGAATTTTATTTTCCCAATATGAAGAAAAAATACTGTGAAAGATTAATTCACAACCTCTTTACGGAGAGCCTTCTCCACGTTGTTGTGTTTCTGCACGAGGTCGGAGAGCTCCTTCTCAAAGTCCTTCTTCAATTTATCCAGGGCCTCTTTTCTCTCATCCGTGTAGATCGACTCCAGTTCGTATTTCAGGCGCATCATTTCCTGCAGCAATTTATTCTCCCACTGAATGGAGATCTGCATCCGTGTCTCCTCGAGTTTCATTTGTGCATTTCTTCGCTCATCTATCAAGTCACTCTCACACTGAGCCTTGATCTTCTTGGCATTGCGGATCTCCTGTTCAGCTCTCGCCCTGGCCGCCTCCAACTCAGACTTCACCTCATTCAGCTGCACCGACACGGACATCAAACTGTCCCTCTGATCGGCAGTGAGCCCCCTGAGGGCGTTCACTTCCGACTCGATGCTCTTCAGTCGTTGCAGATCCTTCACATACTGCTCTGCCGTGGCCTTCAGCTTTGCATTAGTGTCCAATGCACTCTGGTGCTCCTTCGTGATGGCCTCCAGTCGCTCTTTGCACTTCTTCTGCATGCCTCGCATCTTCCACTCGCAGTCCTCCATAAGACGCTCCTCTCGTTCCTGATTCACATTTCTCAGCTGCTCAAATTTCGCCTCCAGTTGATCTCGCTGCTCCAGAGCCGCTTGCAAGGTATCCTGAACCAATTTGTGTTCCTCCACTCGTTCATCCTGCAGCTTATCTCGCTCCTTTCGTGCTGTTTCAGCGTGACTTTGCGCCTCCGCGAGTTGCACTTGAAGATTCCTCGTGAAACTCTGGATGTCCTTTAGCTTGATCTCTAGTTCGCTACGCGTCACTTCGAGATCACTGATCCGTTGCGTCAAATCATCCTCCTTATCGGCAGCCTTATTCTTCAGCACGCCCATCTCCACCTCGTGATGTTTCATTTTTCTCCGGACGCATTCATCCTCCTTCTGAGCCGACACTAATTCTGCCTGAAGTCCTACGGATGATATCAAGAGTGTATTTATAATTTCGCACTGTGGGAAAATCAGTAGATCACACTCACGCTCAATTGCCCAGGTCTTATTCGCGATTTCCCTCTCCAATTCATCTATTCTCAACTGAAGTTCAGTTATTTTGGACTGTGCATAGGTGACTTCTTTCTCCGCCGCATCCAATTGCGTGCTAAAATGTGCCTCCTGCGTAACCAGGCCTCTCCTGCAGACAGAGAGATAAAGAATTAGCGCGGCGAAATATTTATCTCGAGCTTTTCATCAAGATACAGCGGAAGTATAGAGGCAGAGTGCGTCATTGGCTTCCACATTCGCCATGATTTTTGGATTAAAATAATACCATGTGTCGTGAAATTACAGCTGAAATTATGTATGGTTCCAAGAGTCACGCAAGAAGAGCAAAAGAAAAAGTATATGAGACAATTTAACGCAATACCCTTGGTGCTTTCACTACACTAAAACATCTATTTATATACACGGGAGTCTTTTGAAAGAGTTATCTCTCCGCCAGAGTAGCATCACTTGCGGTTTCACAATGTCCAGGGCGCTCTTAAATACGAGGGAGGACGCCAATAAACTTGTCTTCAGCACTGGCCACTAATTTCCCAATTAATAAAATTATAAATAAATCTCTACAGTTGAGACAGCTACGATTTTAACTGATTTACAGTCAAGCAAAAAATGATCAGAGTGCGACATAATAATGCAAAGGAAATTCTAGATTGAGGGACTACACATAAAGGACCAAATTTCCTCCATTTTTCACCAATTCTGTCCTATATTTCTCTCCGTTTTTAATCTATAACGCGACCACTGAAATATCTCAAGTTCGTCCCGTGAACAAAGTGTAAACACGGGACAAAAAAACTGAGCGAGCATAAAAAAAAACAAACTCTCACGCACGCAATTTGTCTTGGACGTCGAATATAACACCAGTGCTGACTAGTGCTGAGAGGTCCGACATTATATTTTATGCGAAATTTGTGGTGCAATCGGGATCACGGTGCACTGTCGAAGGGTGTGGATGGTCGGAGAGATGCAGATAAAACCGGTCGAGGCTGTTTAAATTGAGATCATTTGCTTCAGGGAGGAACATAGCAGGAAATTTGAGACAGATAGGGAAGGGCATCTTAAGAGAAATCTATAGATTATAGTTACTTGTCCGACAGATTTGATTGAGCATTCCCCACAATGTCCGGCAAACAGGGTGGACTATCCCCATTTACATGTGGCATCATAGCATACTTTGGATTGCTGACACCTTTGCCATCATCGAATGCACTATTGACCCGGTCCGTATCACTTTTCACACTGTTGTCAGTGTACAATAAATTGCCATTGTAGATTGGATTGAAGTTGAAGGTGGTGTCTACACAGTGAAACACCTCAGTCTCCTCGGTCTCATCCTCAACATCCTCAGCAATGTCATTGTCCTCCCTCAGTCTCTCACTGAACTCACAACCACTGTCGTTGTCCGAGAGGGCGTGCGTTGGACTGATGGTGATCGCGGGCTCGTTGCTGCACTTAAAACTATCACAATGCGCTTCATAGTACTCCTCGGAATGGGGATCGTCGGGCTCGACTGGAGGCGTCGGCAGACCCAACTCTGATGGATTGGGTGACTTTCTGTGGGACTTGCCGGATCGCTTGGTGCTCTGTTGTTGCCCCATCATGCCATTCTCCACAAATGCCTCATCTCCAGACAAATTCACTACATTCCGCACATTGTCACGTTGCGTCTCGTCGCGATCTCTCCCCAATGGTTCCGCCGTGTAAGTGTGCTTCAAACTACTGGCCAGAGTATTTTCGGCACTCTGCCACAATTCACAACTACTCTTCGTGTTGATCTTGCAGCTAATAATATTAGTTCGTGTCGTTGTTCTATTTTCATCATCGGCATTGGATTCCCGTTGGAGTGACGTGCTGCGATCGCTCTCACGCGGACGCACATCATCCCGTGCCGCCTCGGGCTGTTCCTCATATTCGCACTCTTTGTCACTTTTCCCACACTTTGGCGTATTTTTAACGCCACCCAAAGGGTTGCCACCCACGCGCTTGCATTGTCCATCACTTGGAGACGCTTTGTGCCTGCTTCGGCGGTTTCTGCGCCGCGGCATTGCGCTCAGTGGGTGACAAATGTCCGAATGGAAAAAACCACGATGGCGCGATCACGCGTACCGACGATCGCGGAGCACCGTCCACGCCGTGACGACAGACTCTCGAGACGTTTGTGCACTGACTGAGGCGCGCACAATGTGGAGCTGATTAAAACATTATGCCAAGCAATTTTCTCACCGTCGAAAATAATCAAATGTGACCACCGCACACGCCTCAATATCAAACACATTTTCCACCACACCTCATCCTCCGTAATTTTCCGCGAATTTCCAAATTTCACCTCGACGGAGAAAAACAAACGCCCACTCGTGATAAATTTCACCAATTATAATTATTTAATTGCCTCCTCGTCTCACGGTTCGCAATTAAAATGCGAAATGGGTAAATTTTGGCACCTAACACAATTTTTCTGATTCACTCTCTTTCTCACCCTAAACCACGGGATTCTAAGATCACTGCGAACACACTTGGCAAAAATCACTGTCAATTGTGCGAAAACACCAAAATGAGACAATAACCAAATGTGACGAAGCTTTAATGTGACCATTGACACACTACAAATGCATTCTAAAAGTGATTAACCTTCTCTTCCTGGCGAACACTTGCATCCTCCCTTCTGGACTTTCGTTATTGATCCCACCAACTGTTGCGATTGCTTCACAGACATTACGAAATACCATTCACTCATTTCTATTTAAAAATATATTTTTCTCCTGTTCGTAGGAGATTTACTCGTAATATTTCAAGCGACTGCGTCAGAGTTGAAACACCGGAGTGGCGAATTTTCCAGATAACACAAGACCTTCAGTTTGAATTACGTAAAATTTATACGAAATGAAAACGCTTCATTGTTATTTAATCTTATGTTTTGACTTAACAGGATTGGATAATGAGTATCAAGTCGTATGTGCTAGACCAAAACAACATTCGATTGCTACTAGACTGATCAGTATTTTGGGTGTCTTCCAATTTTGAAAACTGTCCATCATGGTGTGTCATTACAAGACAGGAAATCTCAGCACTACATTCCCGGGAACACTTGTATCTTTTATACCAACAATCTTCTATCTATCTAATGTGCAGCTCTGTTTCTGTGCTGATATGTTTAGAACACATTTTGACTATCACATTTCCCAATAGTTGAAAAATATTTACCAATAGTTGTACAATTCGATGGGTGTTTGACCGTGAATTGGCTTCGTGTCCCTCGATGTCCAATTCAAATGAATCACAGCGTCAGATTCCTCAGCTATCCCACTGTCATCTTCCGTATCCGTCGTGTTGTCCTCCACATCTCTTTCGGTGTCAGTGAAGTAATTCAAATTCTCCACACTTGCCATATTTTCAACGCTTTCCGCTCAATTTCACCAAGTCACGATCATGGCTCAATAATTCACAGCACAAATCTACGATTTTTAGGGGAATATAGGCACAAATTATGAATAAATACTGGTAGTTTTGCACAGAAAACCACTAGCGCACAAGTCGTTCGATTGCGTACAGCACTCTGGTTAAGTTGTATTTCTGTACCACTAAAATGATCCCTTATTTATCGGCAGCGGGTGATTGTGCTGAGAAAACACTTCACTTTTCTCGCAGCAAAATGAGTTGCATTTTCCATTTCAATGCTCTTTGAGCGCCTGAAAAGATATTTAAAAAATTATAATTGAAATTTGTGAAAACTCAGTGGAATTCGAAGAATTTTCAACACTCACATAGAACACCCTGTGCCGAATAGTTGCACATTTGCGATTTTCAAGAGTCATTCTCTCAGAGATCAGTGATTCTCACTCGAGACTCGCTATCGCTTTGTTCTACGACAAATTTTATATTTCTTCCCATTCAATCTCGCGGCAATTATAAATAGATCTCTGCAGCATTCCTTATGTCCTTTGAGGTGTCTCTCTCTGCTGTTCAGACAATATCAGTGAGATAATTAATGGCTCTTTTGTCACATAATTTTCAGCAGAGAATTGTACTGAAAATATCAAACAGAATAATGTTAAGATTGCAATTAACTGCGTTTCAAATATAATGCAACTCTTTCTCGTGCAAATTTACAAAGACCACAGTGAAAATATGAAAATTTCTTCCTTTATATTTTGTTCCTCACACAATGTCTCTCTCTGTCACAGACTTCTTTTTTGTACAAAGACAAGAAAAATATTGATATATCATGAAATGACAAATAACAAAACAATTTGGTTATCATCTCAATAAAATAATTTCATTATGTAAAACTACGTCTGAAGACTATGTCTTTCGGCTGAAGGATATTTTGAGCACGCAGGAAAATTGAGGATAAAACAAGAACGTTTGCGATGATCACGGAATCATCAGAATTGACTGCTCCTGAGAAATGGCTGACAGCTCCTTCAGCCACTCATCGAGAACTACTGCACATATTGCCAGGTCTTTGGTGCGACCATTGCTTTTCGATGCTGTCGTCGTGGATGAAGAGTTCGATGATGACCACGAGTCCAGTGACTGAGGCTCTGCAGTCTCCTTCATCATGATGCTGTTCCCAGACGAATTACCTATAAAGAGATCAGAAAACCATTAAAGCTCTACTCATCACGATTATTGTATTAATTTTTCACACAAATATTGACTCTGTATTTACATAAATTGCATTATATATTCACATTTCAACAAGTTTTCCAACACATTTCATATCAAAACACCTACAAAACACAACTCATCAAATGTATTCCAAAAATGAATTAATAATGTGAATACGCTGCCGTAATATTGGCCATTTTAGCAATTGATGCAGTAAATTGATCTAAATGGTTGTACAAAAATACTCAAGTCATATCAATTAAACTCTCTGCAAAAACTCAGGTGAGGCAATTGAAAGTAATTTTCCAATGAATGGCTGTTAAACATTTCTTAATTATCACCAATTACCAGCTCAATTAGGCAAAAATTTGTCACTCATTCCGGAGAGAAAAAAAATTAGAAATTGTACAAGCATTTTCTGCAATAAGCTCACCAAATGTTTACACAGGCATTTGTTCTAAAAATAAATTTATTGTGTGGCATATAGAAATAAGACTATTTCATAAAAAGAGAAATCATGTAAACATGTTTCCAACAGCGCCACTGATTTAAGTAAAATATCTCTTTTTACGTGTTGAATAGTCGCGCAATTGGGAAAAAATTGATACACATTCGGGAGACGTACGATGTTAATTTTGAGATTGAAACCATGAAATTCTTGGGGAAACTCGAGGATTACAATAATAGATTACGCTTGAAATTCACTACATCTTTCCTCACATCATGGCAATTTCGCTTAAATTGCTAACTCTCTCATGAGAATTCCACTGGAGAATTCTCTAAATTCTATTAAACAGCTTTAGAAATAGACAGTGAAACTGTTATTTTATTTGATAAACCTTGAAGAATTCCAAGTGTGAGTTTAGTTTGAAGAATCAATTTATAGATTGTTCTCAATTTCACATCTGAGTGAAATTCTTCTTGTTTCCAAACTTCCTCCTTTAGACGAAAAAAAAACCCAAAAGAAATTTTATAGACTTCCGCTCGTCCCAAAAATAATACATTTTGCTTTTACAGTCAATCCAATTGCCTCACAGTGTATGTAAAATGAACTATAGGAAAAAAACACAAACTTTCAAAACAACGAAGATAAACGAGACTCTGAAGAACTCCTCAAGATATTTACAATGTTAGTATTTCTCTGATAAATTGGCGAAGGAAAATGATGAGGAAATATGCGAGAGTTGGAAGTTAGAACGATTAATTAGCGTAAAATCGGGGAAGAGATGTGTCTCATTTTCCCGAAAAAAAAACTACCAAGACTGTCAGAGAGACAGTCGAAGGAATAAATTAGTGGATTAATTGCAATCATTATTTTCTACTCTTCAACATGATCGTCATATAGTATGTATAAGATAGATGTATAGATCGTCATAATTCTTCTTCAATCTGACTCATGATTTTTGGCATGCTTCATCATCACCAGGAGAGAAAGTAGAGTATATAGAGGCACTTTTTACAGCATGCAGTCAAAAAGAAATGAGGAATAAGGAAGAGAAGACCGACTACAAAAAAATGTGAATTAATTAGACAACCAATGGTCTCAGGCTTGTTAGTGGTTCATAAATTGTAAGCAAGCCAACATGATATGTGGTGTATTTACCGAGGAAGAATGATTTTAGTTGAATTATGCCTGCGACGGCTAGATAGAATAAAAAAAGAGAAATTTTCTCATGAGACTCCAAACATTTTTTCTTCCATCTTTTTTTTCTTTTTTTCAAACACATCTGTATTAAAATGGGATCTCGAGCAAAGGGAATTAATATACGAATAAAAAATGTGGGTGGTTAAAACAGACTGAAGAGAGTATTAAATGGTAAACATCACCACACAATCTCAACTCACCTGAGGCACTGGGACGGCGAAAGATGCTGGAAAAACTCTGTCTTATGCTTTTCCGCGTGGAATCCTGCCTCTTGAATGGATCGTATAGGGAACTCAGAGGACTCACGGTCGTTGTGGCGGAAGTATTGTGACTGCCCTCCGTGGCTTGTGCATTCGAATCAATCGTGTTCTTCCTCTGGTTGACTAGACGATATTCACGCTCGAGCAGGAATGCTTTGGCATTCTCCACAATTTCCAACGTTTCGTTGTTCACCGGCAATTCAGCATCGAGTTGTTGCTTCAGTATCTGCAGCACTTGGTAGAAGGATGGAATATCAGTCGTTGTTGGTATGTCAAAGCGCAGAAATATGGACTGAATGAGCGGAAATGGATACCACGAGAGTCGACTTATCAAGCCACTCAAGTGAAGATTTATATACAAATTGTTGCTCGTGAATGTCTGCAGTTTGCCAAATATTGCACCTAAAAAGGAACCTGAAATACCACAGAATTATCTTCTTGAACCACAGAGAATTAAGTTGGAAAACCTTACCTAAATGAGCAGTTCCCTGAGTGAAAAGATCCTCTGAGAAATTCAACTCGACTTCTTGTTCACTGAAATTTCTCGACTCTTTCCACACTTTTCTCGTATTGCCAATCTCTGTATGATTATCACCATTCGCCACAATCGCTAAATCATCCTCTGGCCTCTCCCGGAAACTTTCATATCCACTGCTCTCCGCAAGCGACTGCAAACTGTCGTGCTTCACCTTCTCATCCGCGCAATTCTCAATTTTGAACTCCGTCACGTACTTCCTAATGATTTCAATGAGATGTTCTGTGTTCTGCGTCCTCTTGGGCGATGAAACATTTTGGTACTTGTAGCGATTCTCCCACTGATCACATGCATTTCTACACAGTGATATCTTGTGGCGCACGTCAAATAGATACGCATAGTAATTCGAATATAGGGTGTCATCCGTGTGCAAATTATAGTGATTCCACTGGTAATTGCTCATGGGCCGATTTGGTGACTCTGATGGGGCATTTGGATTAGATGAATTCTTGCCTTTATGACTGACATGCTTCATTATCTCTGGTGATAATTCCAGAAAGTTCTCCGCAGAGTCCGCCAAGGCGCTGAATTTGTTGATTGTATGACGATAAGATGTTGGAATATGTTGACAAGGTGTCAAGTACTTTAGGACCAGCTCCACCACGATATCTTCATTGTTGAGCGACAGCAGAGTATCAAACACAGACAGGGAGATCAAACACAGCTGTAAAGACAAAAACAAATTAAATTCTTGTTCACAATATACCAAGAATATACGCGATTATTACCCTCGTGTCCGTTGAATTGATCCTCTCCACGAGGATATCAATGATCCTCTGTCCGTCAAACTTCTCCTCGTCCAGGAGGAATTTTATGAAGATATTAAGAAGTCCAGGCTCCGTAACAGAGCGCAGAATTAAATCAAAATACGCCATTGTGGATATTTGTGCTTCGATATTTGTCTGCAAAGGACTGCCATTGAATATCTGCAAGTGACTTTGTCGTGTTAGTGATGGGCCAGGGGCGATTTCTGATGAGATCGTTAATTTAGAGACAATCAAACAATTCGATATACCGGCAAAAGTGAACTCTCCGTCTCCGCTCAATTAACTGTGCCAACGATGGACAGAGATATAAACCATTCACCATCAACAGTGATAATCCATCACCTTTACAAGAGACAAAACACACTACGTACTGAAAGATAAGTGTCACTGAAACATTGTAACTGTGGAGTAATTGACAAAATACATTATGAGTCTTTGAGTGTCAAAAGATTTGCATCAATGAGTGCGTGAATTACGACTTCTATGGCAAAACATGGTCTTCGAAGAGTTACAGTTTGATAATAATAAGAAGAATAGTAGATTAGAAAACTCAACTGATCAATCAATTTACTAGAAATTTTTATGAGATATGAAAGCGCTGCTAACAAGGCAGTTGATTGTATTTCATTGGCTGTAATGAATATTCACGATCATTAAATATGTAGATTTCTCTCACAATACATAAGCCAATTGATTGGATAACCATAATTATCTAAGTTTAGTGACTCGATTTGAGCCACATGGAAATTGATATTCCTTAATTGATGAAGAATCGTAAATTGGTCAATATCGTCAAATATTTTATTGCATCAGCGAGATAAAGGGAGCACTGAATATCTCTCGTCAGTGACTAATGCTTAGATAAATATTATTTCTCCTGACACTGAATTGAAAATTGAAGAGCAAAGTGCTCGCGTAACTCTTCAAAGACACCTCAAAGTGTGTGTTTTTTTGCACTGAGAGAGACTTTAGAGAAATTATATCGTCTCACACATGACTCAACAGGGTGACAAGCACATGAAGGAGAAAATTAGACTCACAGGAAGACAGAAATATACCCAGAAAGCGCCCAACAGCACCAACACAGAACGTGGAGAAAGTGAAAAAAAAACCGTGCATTACCTGCAAAAGTGTTGAACCCAGAACAGGCACAACGAAACCTTGATACATGAAATCCAATAGTTGATGCTTGATGAGATCATGTGCCACCTGCAATAAGAGAAAAATAGAATATAGCTAACAGTTTCCTCTACTTTCTCGTTGATAGAGAAGATTTACCGACCTGAACCACCGCATTGCAGAACTCCAGTGAGCTCATGAAGAGTGTCAACTCATTGATCTCGGCAACATCATCCGGCGTGATGCGATGCCAATCGCCCGCTGAGTTCGTTTCAATTGTCGTGGGCAGGAGGGAATAGAGACCACCGAGTCCAGTCACCAGAACCGGACACACTGATGAATGTTGTTCGATGTACGTGCGCACGTTTTCGTTCTTTTGCGATAGGGCCATGCAAAGATGGAGGGCATCGCGTGCTTTGTGGCCCAAAACACCCTCTCGATGAATGTACGGTATGAGAAGGGAGAAGATGATGAAGCTGCAAGAGATGATCGGAATTGCAGCGACACATTTCCGTGGTCTTTTTCATTCAACTCAACTCACCACGCCTGTCCATGCTCATGTGTCTGTCCTGAGACGAAGAATAGATCCAACAGATGGGCATTCTGCATGAGGATCACGCATAATTGATGCAGGAGAATGACAAAGCGCTTCGCGACGTCCGGGGGAAAGATTTCACCGTGGCTGGAGGCAAGAATTTTCAACAGAGGTCGCAGAAATGGCTCATGGACGAGCAATTGATGGCGTGAACGCTTCATGAGCTGCTCATAGAACTTCAGCTGCTCCAGAAGGACGGCATTTGCATATCTACCCGTGGATTTTCCCCACTCGAACAGTTTGTTGAGGATGTTCTTGCTGAGCAAGTACTCAAGGCAAGGCGCTGGTGGTTGGCTCTGACCCTGCTGGTTGTAGGGCTGTGGCATTGGCGTAAATAAACTATTGCTGTCCAACACCTCCACCAGCAGAAGCTGTGCCATCTGATCCAGGTGATTCACCACGCCGAGGATGTCGTCTTGCGACGGCACGCTGGTACCCTCGGAGCGCTGGATCAAATCGTTCGCCTGCTGCCAGTGCTTGCAGAAGCTGTCATAGCAGGCTCCCGGATCGAGCTCTGTGGCATTCTCCAGATTCATGCCTCCGGAACGGGTGGAGTTTGTGAAGCTCTGCCGAAGTGGACTCGATCGTAGCCAACTCATTCCTCCCTTCGACCTCTGCAACGTATCGTTTTGTGGTCAGAGGACTGCTTTAGTACACTTCAAATGACTTCAGGATTGCCTCTCACCTGACAAATAGGTCACAAATATGATCGTGGATGCCACCACACAACTAAACACCCACGGAACTGAAAAGAAAGCGGAACAAAGGAACTCAAGCTTCACCATCTATTCGTGTATCACAATTGCAAGAACACTTCTAGATAGAAATATACCTTTTCAACGCGGAAATTGTACAAAAATTGGAGAATTTCATGGAGCTCAAATGAAAATAAAATCACAAATGACAGACGCAATTGAGACCCTGTAAAATCGTGTCTGTGACGAGTCTGTAGAGTTTATTGGAACTTTCCGAGGAATGCCTTTGATAGGCTTCGATATGAATTTGAAGTAGCTGAAGGAGATTATAATAACCACAAAAAATAAGGTCGTGATTGAAAGACTGCACCTTTATAATTCACACGTGTAATTTCAAGTATAATTCACTTACGTCGTCTAGACATCAGAGCCATATCGGCGGTTATTAAAGTATTTAGAGAAATTAAAGGAAAAAGAGCTGGCGCTCGAGCAGATTGCTCGGCTCGCGGTGGATGTGCTGACCCACGAGCAGCGCCAGCTTCTGCGCGTACTGGCACACTGCCGGTACCTTCACGTTGCCACTCCAGTTGTAGTACAAGTGCGTCATCTTGTATGTCCACATCTGGATATGGTTGGCCGACAAGCCGCTCTCGTCGTAGATTACATTGTAGCTGGCCGGCGAGATGGTGCCCGTGCGCGTGCTCTGCGACACCAGATAGAAGTCATATCTCTCCGGCAGCGTGATCACGTCATCCACCACAGTTCCAGACGGTGGATTCTGCACAGCGTGACCGTTGCCCTTTTTGAAAAAGCGCGTGTTGATCCTCTTCGTCACCACAATGAAGGTCAACTTCGGCGCCCTGTCACCGAACATTGTCTTCAAATCAGCGGCCAGCTTCTTCACCTCGAACTCCATAACGTGCGAGATGTCACCCTCGCCGACACCATCGCGATAGAAGAAGATCCTGCTTGGTGGCTCCTTGTGAATATACTCAAATTGCTTCAGTGCCTTCATCATGTTCACCAGCAGAAAGTTACTCATCTCCTCGCCAAAGCGATGCTGTGACACGGCGCTGAAGTATGTGTTGCACTGCTTCAAGTCCATCGTGGCCACGAAAGCGCCATAAGACTTGGACTTATCGTTCGTGTCGAATGTCACGTCGAAGCCCACCGTCATCACGCCCTTGAGTGGAATACGCACAGTCCAGGGCGCATTGCCCAACTTACAGTTCATCTGTATCATCACTTTGGACGCAATGCCACCCAGAATCTTATCATTGGACATCGGCTTTGTCCACATGACTTGCGTGGGTACGGCTCTCTCCACGCACGACTTCTTCTTGATGGCCGAATAGCGTTCGGCACGTTGATTTGGCACCACACACATGACGATCTGCGTAGAATCATTGCACGCCTTCTCGATGGCATTCACGTACGACGTCGAGTAGTCGTTCGGGATGCGGATGTAGCTGGGCTGCGCCATCTGGAAGCCCGCCCTGTTCGCCGTGCTGATCAACATACTCACGAAGCGCATGGTCAAGTTATAGTCACGATCCGTGCACACGGCGTGCCAATTGCTCAGTCTGTCTGTCTCGAACAGGCGATTCCTCTTCAATGCACCCGTCCAGTCCGCATCGTTCGGCATCTCTAAGCGATCACCACCGAAGCGGATCTCCTCGCGCGGCAGCACGCGCCCAGGAACGTCCACCAGATTTCTGTCCAGCGCCATTTCCCACTTCTGCATTGTCTCCTTGGCGCGCGGCTCATTCTGGATGCGCCGATTCAGATCCAAATAGCGACGCACACGCAAATCCGGCCCGATGCGCGTGTGCTGCGCCATGTCACGCATCAGTCTATTGTTCGCACGCTGCTGCTCCGTGAGACCCGTGAGGCGGCACAACTCTGGCACGAGATTCACTATCTCCGGTCGTCCAGCCTTGATGTCTCTAGCCTTAGCGCGCGACACCAGCATCGGCTGCTTTGCGTCACGAATGTTGCAGTTGTAGCGCTCACGGAAGTATTGGATGAACGTGATCTTGTCGCCGTTCTGCTTCTGGAACGAGCTGCTCGGACTGAGAGTGAAGTCCACATCGTCGATTCTGTAGGTCAAGTTGTTGTACTCCGTCACGACGTGAGCTCCTGACAAAAGGAGGAGAGAAATAGAGAACAAGGTAAGTTTATAGGAATGACTTCCAGGTGGTGGAAAAGCACATTTTCCTCCCTATGAAATCTACAACACACTGTGAATGCCAAGGAAATACATTAATTTAATACTTTTCTACTTGTGACTTTTTGTATTTAAAGTACTTTTAAAGAACGAAATAATGTCCAATAGTTAACATTGAAATTGTTGGTATAAAAAAAAACGTGAAAAATGGGCATGAAGAGAAACCCTTCAGGCCTGGAAACTGAAAATTAGTCACTGAAGAATTTCAAAATACAGTTAAGAGTAAGGATTTTCTTTCGACTTCTTAAAAGAATCGACAAAACTAACTCGTTACGCAGTGAGCGAAATAATAATAGTTTATCAGAAAAATTTGATGATGTTGCAAGCAAGTGAAAAACAAAGCACAGACAGATCAGATTTCATCACGTGCGAAGAGAAATACCTTCGGAATGTTTTGAGTGGCAAAATGAAATTATCATCATCAACTCACCAATAAGCGCCTGCTTGATGGAATCTATATCCCTGCTTCTCTCCATCATCACCTTGTAGCAGCTCTCCATGCGGATGACTTTATGTGTCACTTCTGCACAGATCATGATGTCCGTCTCGTGCTGGCGAATGGACGTGGCGAATCCTGGCCACACTTGCAGCGCATGCTCGGGAATTTCGATCTGCAACAGAGAAACAGGAATCGTTATACAACCATTGCACTAGCGAATTCCTCAACACTATGTGCCTCTTACCTTCTGCACGGGATCGAAGTACTTGGTGCCCTTCGGTCCATAAGCGCGCTGCATGTTAAGGCTCTCGATAGCATTCCTCATAATCAGATTCAGCAGATGTGTGTAGTGCCCGTCCGTGGTCAGCAGTGTGCCCACGAAGCGAACAGTGATCTGCACAGCCTGCTCGCGCTCGTCCTTGTCTACGATGATTGTCGGATCGCTGGCGAATTTGTACGGTGAGAAGATCATCGTGCCGTCGAACTGGAAATTGCCCAGACGCGATACGTGGCGGCGCATCAGCGCTTTCCTATTGGCCAACAACTCGATGTCCGGTGAGAAGTCCACACGATACTTATACACATTCCACTCGGGCTTCTTCAGCACGCGAAAGTAGTTGGCCACGAGCATCAACACTTCACCCGCCTCGCCCTTCTTCGTGTTTAGCTGCGCCGGACGCGTGACTACAATGTCCGTAATGGCGCGATTCCCGCGACGTGCGCCGCGCGAAACATCTACGCTGCGGGCAGATGAACTTGAAGTGCCGGGAGCGTCAGCGAATCGGGCCATAGCGCCAGACTGAGCGCCATGTGCTGTGGCGCGTCCTGCCGCTTGAGGCGCTCCGGGGCGGATCTGCGGGAAGGCAGAGAAGGCTTGAGACACGGGAACGCCCTTGCCTGCACCTTGGCGCCTGCCCAAATCGCCGTTGCCATCCCTGCCGTGACTCGGTCCCGCTTGCGGCTGTTGCACCTGCTGGCCACGGCCACGTCCGCGCGCGCGTCCAGACATTACAGGAGTCTCGTCACTCATCTTCTGGCGCTTGTTGGTCGGCTAGTTTTTTGATCTGAAAGGGTCATACAGCACAGGATTAGCCGCAGGTAAATGATTTGAGTGTTCCTGAGCTCATTACACGCCACAGGCCAATAATTAGGGTGTGAAAGAGCACTACAGTTCACTTGAGCGATCCAATATTACACTTTGAGCAACACAAAATAAAGTTACGATACGATTAGAGAAAAAAAGACTGAATCTCACTTTTGCTGATAGTGCAATTTTATCTTCAGCTCTGAAATATTACTCCCTGACAATAAAACCTCAGCGAAATCTAGTCGCTTTGCAGGGATTTTGGTCATTTTTCTCTTTCTAACTCATTTACGACTTGATACACAGAGCAAAAAACTGCGCAAATCAATATTTACAAAGCTAGCTTGCAAATGCCAAAACCGTACAGTTTTGAAGATAAAGCGTATTCACAAAAACCGGAATGTTTGAATATGTCGGCACATGTTCGACGTATCGACAAAAAGAACGACGCCACGCAATTTCTTATACGCACTTTTCTCACATCTTTGCCAGAATGTATATATCAAAAATCATCATGCTAGATTAATTACATAGTAGATATTTATAATTAGATAATTACACGACAAAATAGCAGAAAATGCGGGAGATTTCAGGGCTTTTCTCAGCTAAAAAGGAGAATTCAAAATGGCGGCTTCGGTGAAAAAAAATTTCACAGTGAATTTTCTTACGCAATTGGAAAGGAAAATGGGAAATTCCTAGTTCAGGACGATCGCGAGAGGATGACAAATGTATTGAAAAGGGTTTCAACTTACAAGTTTTCTGATTTGATAATCAGTTGCTGAAATCTCTGCGGAGACTTGCGGAGAAACTCCTTTCACTTCAAAGGCACACGGTCGAATGTGGTTCGAGAGGTGCCGAGAACCGATCGAGGTTGGGGGCGAAACACTAGAAGCGCTGCTGTCGCTAAAATGATCTTTTGGAGGGGAATTTCCTCAAAATTCTCGGGCTTCTCGGGATTCCAGTATTCTCTCTTATTATTTTCCTTTTAAAAATCATTGCAAATCAATTAAAAGGTCGTTGAAAAATAATCACAAAATGCGAAGAATGGTTTCAATGAACTTCAGAAATGTATTCATCCAACTCAAAGAATTTTCTTGCTGATGGCCTTACCAATTAAATAATTCGGTATACAAGTATGATTTTCTAAAATGTAAAAATTTTTCCTCGCTAACGTCGCAGACGAGATAAGCATTCTTCGAAAGATAAGACATTTTCTCGGATATTTCTACAGAGTGCCAATTCAGCAAAACAAGTCAACAGCATCGTGATATGTGAACATTTGAAGTGTTGCAATGCCTTCAAAAGGTAACTGAACGCAGCAACTGATTTGGAAAATAAATTTACTTCAAATTTCTCCTTGAATTTCTTAAGAAACTTCTCACTATGCTGTTGGATTCCAATAATACAATTCCTAAAGCAGAAGCTCACAACTCATTCATCACCATCTTATCCAATGTAAGGGAAAAATAGAAATTTAAAAATTTAATAAGACTCCTTTTTTTGTAGGAAGATTGCTACGATGTCCATTATTATCCCAATCATCTCAAATGCACCTTCGTGCTCGACAATTCCGAATCATGTGGATCAAGAGAAACATTTATAAGGTACACATCGCAAATTTATTGCTTTGCAGTACTATCGGCTAGCTTGCACTCTGTCTGTGCGATAATTTTCATGGTAAATGCTTATCTTTATGGCTCTTGTATGTCACCACATCCTCCAATACATCTCAATTAATTCTTTTCCCCTCAGATTCTCGAGCTTGTAATACTCTTCCTCCTCATAGGCCTCATTGCCGACCGATTCTTCTTTCCCGTGATCAACATTGTCGCCTTCCGGATGGGCCTTAGCGAGTCACTGGCGGGAATAACTCTCATCGCTATTGGATCCGGACTTCCGGCTCTTTTCGACATCTTCCTGGACGATTTCTCAGAGAATGTGGACACGATTGTTGAGGAAATACTGGGATTTACGATCTTTAGTGTGGCAGTTATTCCAGCCTGCATTGTGATCCTCAAGCCCTTTTGTGTGATCAGTCGCCAATATCACAGAGATACAGTGTCACTGATTTTCAGCGTATCTCTCATTGCGATCATCGTGATGGACAGGAAGTTCTCGATGTTCGAGGGGATTTCACTCTATGCTGTCTACATTATTTACCTGACTGTGGTAATTGGGGATCATTTCTATCAGATACACAAAGCAAAGAGTGAGTAAAAATTCTATTCAAAATTATCCAGTTCCGAATGAAATTACTTTGAAATTAACTAAACAGAAAAGGAACTACAACGAGAAAGTGAAGAACCTCCTTCAGATGCTGAAACTGGCGAAGAAGCTATAGCGATGGAGGCAGAGGCTGTGGTGAGACGTCATAAAAGGAAGCACACGGGATGGAAGAAAATGAATAATAAGGAGCTTTTTCAGAATTTTCTGGAACACATCACTCCACTAGATGAGGAGATCTTTGCATTATCGTCCTCATGGTATGAAAGATTCTTGGAAATCTTCCAATCCCCTCTACTCTTCATTCTGATTTTCACCATCCCAAGTGTTGACTACTCCATTTCGACGAAGAAATGGTGCAAATTGCTGAATGTGATACATTGTATCACTTTTCCTCAATTAATAGCCTTTCTATTTCAAGGTGGGTATTTTAATATATTTTGCCATTAATTTGCATCAAAGATGTGAATTCTCGAGTAATATGAGTGCAGAAAATTGGGAGAGGAAATTGCTCATTGAGCAGATGATCAATAGAAGCACTTAGGAAGATTGACGATACGCGATTGGACGTATCAAAAATAAATGAGCGAAGAGATTGTGGTGCTTGCTAAAATTCTACTTGATCTCTATTGCCCTAAAGTTTAAAAATTCACATTAGAAGCTAATTAAAATTCAGAAATTCTCCCTTCTCAGAAAGTGTCTTGATTAATTGTTTGCGGAGAGAAAAATTAAGTTTATTCTATACTATTTAATTTATTCCCCTTTTGTAGCATACCCTCAATTAAAACATGTTCGTTTGAATTGCGTAATAAATGATATTTTGTGTAGAAATTCGTGAGTGTTAGGCAAAAAAAATTTACACGTGTTTTTGCTGCTCGATAGAGGCCAATTAAATTTACGATGATTTAGTATAGCGTAATCTGACGGAACGCGTAATTTTTATCAGAGATAAAATGAAGACATACTGCAATGAAATATTCTCTTGGCAGAAACCACACTCAACCTCTGGATATTTCTAGAAAGTATCACATTTATGATTGCAATATTTACCTTGTAAGGTACAGAAATAGCCAGACGAATAAATACTGTTACATTTTGCTACATCAAAACAAATAAATATCTCATGACGACTTTTATGAAGCGAGTGGACTTTTTTCGCAGAATTGCAAAAATTCACTCCTTAGTTCTGCCAAAAATGCTATGACACTTGAAATTGTGCAGATTTCTCTCAAATCATCAAATGATAATTTATTTGCCATTCTCCTTTCAGTGTCAGATGTGGAACTGTATGGGGTACAATTGTGGTTGATCGTCTTGGGTATTGGATTAATTGCCAGTGTGATCGTCTTTATAACGTCCGTGGTTGAGACTGAACCGCAATATCATGCAATCTACGTCGCAATGAGTTTATTGGGCTCCATGATTGGACTGCACTTCATCTCTGAGGAGATCGATAGTATTCTCTTCACTCTTGGCGTAGTCTCGAAGATCTCCATGGGCACACTGAAGCTCACTGTCTTGGCATGGGGAGGATCAGCCACGGAATTGGTGTCCAGTCTGGCGCTGACGAAGAAAGGATATCACCGAACGGGATTCGCCACGGCTTATGGAGTGCCCATGTTTTATCTCTTGGTTTTCACACCTACGACTTTTATATATGAAATGATCAGCAACGGAGAAACAAGCACTCCCTGCAAGTTTGGCCACATGGGAGTCACAGTGACCATCTTTCTGGTCATGATTTTGGCTCTTCAGATGATTGCAATCACTCTGGCCGGAAATTGTGCCAGAAGAAGTGCTGGAATTTATACTATAATGGTCTATGGAATCTTTCTGTTGTTCTGCATTCTTGCCGAAGGGGAAATAATTCACGATTACGGAACAAATCATGAGGATCTCAAGACATATTACTCCCAGGATACTCCAAATCTTAGCAGAAGTAAAGCTTTTTCACATGGTGACAATTGAAAGCAGGATTAAAACACATTTTGTGACTTCCACTTGACATTATTTATTTAATTGATAAAATAGGCTTTCTTGTATTAAACGTAGAGAAATAAAATAAATTAATTAAATAGAAATAGTGTAGAAATGCAATCAGTTTAGTGAAAAGTAAATATGAGGAAAAAAGAGTAAAGTGATCAGTTTTTAACACTTTCAACAGAAAGTCTTGTAGTAAAATAAAGATGAGAAGATTTCTTGATGAATTTATTCTCCTGTCATCATCTCCATGAATTCTGCAAAGAGAAAAGACATTTGTGAGAACTAATTTACAATGACGTGAGTGAAAAAAGACACTGTGTGGTTAGTAATATGCTAATAAGATATTCGGAAGTTTTTTCTCTATACAATTCCTCTTTTTATTCAATCCAGGTCTTTGTCCGATTGTGAGTGGAAATAATCAATAAACTGCTTTTTATCAGTATCTTCTCGCACATCTGGGCGATCGCGTGCGTGGGAAAAGGCAAATCAAGCAGTAATGTTGTCAGCAAATCGAGATTTTTTTTCCACTCATTGCAATAAATTTGGCATGGAAGAGATCAAAGGAGATGATGACGAAATGAATTGTGGAGAGTCGAGGCAACAAGTGAAAGACATGACTTTGATGGCGGGGCAAAAAACAAATAATTCATGAAAAGTGGGATTTCTCACCATCAAAGTCAACTGTTCCAGATCCATCGGAGTCAATCTCCTCTATCATGATGTCCAGCTCGTGTTCTGTGAGCTGGTCGTCCAATTCACGGAGGATCTCTCTGAGGCATGTTGTGGGAATATAGCCGTTGCCCTCCTTGTCGTACAGGCGGAAGGCCTCGCGAAGCTCCTTCTGCATCGCTTCTGCATCCTCCTCAACGATGAACTTGGCGGCGAGCTGGACGAATTCGTTGAACTCCAAACGGCCGGATTCTGGGTGATGAGGAGGGCGAAAAGATATTCATTACTTGTGTTACTAAAAATACCCATCGCTAATGTGCTCTTGTTTACTATATATTCTCTCGCATGTAGGCTTTAATTCGCTCCAATATCCATTATTCAAGTGAAAATTGTATTTTTAACCTTGTTTCACAGGCTGAGAGGCGGTTCTCTCATGGCAAAACAACTGCAATTTATACTCACTGTCCTCATCCACCTCATCAATGAGCTCCGCGAGGATTTTGCTGTTGAACGGCTGACCCATGAGTCTCAGGATTTCTGCCACAGTCTCCGTGGAAATGCTTCCAGTCTTCTGAGCATCGAAGCTGTTGAAGGCCTTCTGCAGCACTGGAGAGAAGAGACAAAAGCATTTCTCATTAGCCATGCAGCCCAACTAAATTCAACACTATATATCACTAGCCTAACTATATAGAATGGCCAAAGTAATAAATGTTGGTGTTAAAAAGTGAAATGTCTTATGGTCTCGCTGATTGACTTGGCTTTACTCCAATTTGACGGCTGGTTGATGATTGCAAAAATTAGCACGGAAAAAAGAGCTTGTAAAAGTGAATAGCCTGTCTTTCTAAACTAAAGCATATTGATGATCGCGCGAAGGAGGATGGCGTAAAAAAGATGATTGAGATGAAAGGAAACTATTGAGTAAAATTTTGTACGTCCGTCTCAAGGCGTCATTGAATCATCTGAGTAATTTGTCGCGATGGACTGATGCAACTTTAACTAGTTTTTCACGACAGTTATGAATAATTCTACAATAGAAACATTTTCCCATCCAACTGAATATTGCGAGTGGCTTTCTACGATAATGGTTTGTTTTAATTTTTAATACACCTCCTGAATATTGAGATTTTGAAAATTCTGCTCAAAGTCGCGATAAAATACAACCTCCTCAATTTCATCTGGGGGATATTGAAGGCACAATCTTCCAAAAATAATTCTGAAAGATCTGTGAGAATAACTTGGGAACACTCGATAGACCCGATTTATCTAACTCTTTGTTGCGCGTGTCGTAAATTGAGACAGATAATATTTTACTGAATAAAATCCTTTTGGCACAGAATCACAATATTTAAGTCTCTGAGTCTCGCGTGTCTATATCCAAAATCACTCGTTCAAGCTCTCTCTTCGGTGATGCTGTAGGAGAAGATTCCCAGCTTACATGACAGATTTTGGGAAGGAAAAAAGCGAGCAAAAATTCATAGCTTTCAATGAAATGGCTAAAGCCTAGTGCACTTGAGAAAGAAAAGAGTTTCTCCATCCAACAGACTCTAAATAGAGTGCCTCCATATATTTTATATTTGTATATTGGCCAAACACATATCAAATATTGTATTTATAACTGAGTTGTGTGTTAAATAAAATTTCTTCACCCACATAAAATTTCGTACAAATGATCGTTTGGCCAGAAAACCGGACACAAAATTATAACCGAAACTGAAAATAGATATTCTAGTATATTTTGTTCACAAATGAAGAAACGAAATATACCGTCTAGTTGTTTTTCCAACGAATTGTAAAGTAAGGCAAATTAATTTTGGCACGAGACAGATTGCCGTTTACTGCTGAATATTCAGCAAGAAAATCCACCATCGATTTCATCCGTTCTCAAAGTCAAGAGGAGAATTCTACAGTGCTCGAGGCTTCACATCCAAATCAATAAATAAATTCTATCCGCAGCCTTTATAGATTATAAAATTCACTCACCAGCAATCTGCTCTGGGGGTAGTTCATCGGACTATAAATACGATTTTTTTCGAGTAGATAAAGGGAAAAATCCACATTAGATGGCGATAATCTCTGGCTGTCCACAGTCAATCCTCTCAGCAGAAAATATACTTACAATATCCTCCATTTTAGGTGATCTGGTTTTTGGTTGCGAAAAAGTGCAAAGAAATAAAACTTGAGGTGCTTGAGGGTCAGTGGGAGGCAAAAAGTGTGGTTTTAAGAACAATCACTGCACAGAACTGTGGAGAGATGTGAACTGTCTGGCCCTGCTTCCGTAGCAACTCAACCGCAGACTATTTTCACCAATGATCGTCTTAAAACTGAATCCCAGAATTTTCATTATTGGAGTTATTACCCTCCGTCAGCGGCAGCAATTATAGCCGTTTGCCATCCGCGTGTGGCAGCGAATCCTAACGATCCAGAAATACACCACACGCAATGCAATGAAGGAAAAGCGAGAGGAAGAAAATAATATAAATGCGATTGTAAATGTGGAAAATTTAACTGTGCCGATGGTGCTGATTTTCATACAGACATCAAATTTTTATATTTAGAAGAGAAGATGCGAGAGGGATATATGTAGCACAGAATATTATTCTTTCGCGGAGGGGATTTTCACCGAGTCTTCTCCTTATAGTTGTCATACAGTGACTCTTCATTTTTACTCTAAGGCCTCTGATCTCGACTTCTGCAACGCAGACAATTTATTGCAACTCACTCGAAACTGTAACTGGCTGGTATGGATTGATTGTTTGATATTAAAATGAACAATTTGGCTAAAATAACACATTTAATCGTTGATTTTATTGTACATAAAATATTATATAATTATGTGAATAATAAATTTTGTACTGTCATTAAATCTAAAAATTGTTAAAATTGCGAATAGAAATTTGAAGAACATGAAAAATGTACAGCGTTCGGCTCAAGTCACGCATAAGCACTCTGCGAAGTGACTTGCTCTGACCCAGAATCTTCCCGCCAAAGGGCTTCTTACTCGGGATTCAGCTGAGAATTCCTCGAGCCCATAAATTCCCGGTGAATGACAATGACAACAGCAATGTAGTAGCTAAAACAGAATCCACTGAAGATATTGCGAGAAATCTCAGTGCAATTTAGCGATGAAATGACTGTAGTCATTGCAGTAAAGTAAATAGTTAATATGTCTCTAGGCTTCCTCGTGCGTCCATTTGGTCTGCGCACAGCGACTGAAATGTGCGGTGGCTGAAAGAATTTATTGGAAATTCGGAATTTTTTGATAACATGCAATAAAAATCGAAAAATTACAGCTCATTTCACCACGTAATTTACATACCTTCATTTAGACTTCTCTCATATGATTTTCTCGTGAGAAAAACAAGCAATAAATTGGTGAATTTTAACAAGAGCAGAGGAGATATTAATAGGAGAGGCGGACTGACGAAAGGAGCACACGAGATACCGAGAAACTCAATATCAGTTTCTATTGTTTATAAATTTTCTCATCTTACTTATAGTCACCAGTGAAACATGTGAAGGCGCGAAAAAATATGTATTTAATCTGAAATAGAATTCCTAGTGACTTATCAACACAATTAAGAAAGCAAATGGATTATTACTGCTGTTTTCTTTCGCATTCACACAATCTCGTGCGACCTCCACTTGTGCGATATCTATTGAGAAACAATTTCCACTCTTTTCCACCACGAGCATCAATACCCAAAATTATTCATCCTCATGAATATTTAACAAGACACCGACGGTGTTATACTAGACTTTAATGTCTTAATCGCGAAAAAATACGACATATTCTCATGACTACGGGAATATCGTTAGATTAATTTCCACGATATAACATTTAGCGCTCTGTTGTGTTTTCAATAAATATGTATAAATCTGGCGTGGCGAGGGAACAAAATATGACGAGGAGCGTTTAACGAATCACAAGATATGAACTTGATTTCAATAAAAACGTCTCTCGCCTCTGATGTGCCGAAAAAGAGAAATGAATTTTAAATTGGAGCATAAAAGACGGAGTTAATCCACTAAAGAGAGAAAGATCGTCAGAACTCCGACCGTACGCAATTCATTCCCAAATCACTTTACATATTCAAGGAATTTTTACGGCTGTTTCCCACTCAAAAGCATCGCCTTTTGCATACACCTGGGCGATATTGTACCAAATTAGGTCCTCTCGTCAGTCCACATGAATTTATCGATGCAGTATTTTTGGTATTTCACTTTTACCTCAATAAAAGTCTCTAGGCTGTCTTTTATTTCATCTCAATTGGCATACATGATACAACAGATTACACGATTTTGCGAATTTAACATATCTACAAACATTGCTCAAAGTGAATTTTGTGCATGGCTAAAATCGTAATTTATGATCACAACATTTATTTAATATTGCTTCTAAGTGCATTTGCGAATGAATTTACTCAAAATTGCACCACTTGTTGGGAATGTTGTGAAAGCGCACTATTTTTGTGGTCATTTGGTCATAAATATGCATTAGGCTCTGCATTAGTTTTATTACAACTAATTCTATTCAAAAATTTCCAAGGGAAGACATGTTGCATTTATGAGACATTTGGTTTTTTCACTCTTAATCAAGATTTACAAGATTCTCTTGTCAAAGGAATGAAACGAGCTACAAAAGGCGTCTCTGAGCAACAATTTAATAGTCTCCCCTTGGCAGGTGCTTTAGCACACCACAGATGGCAAATTGTGACTAAATGTTTCGGAATGTATTTGTGGTGTTTGTTTTAGAGTGGATCTTGAATGGTGGGATTTGAATTAATTACAGAAGAAACTCGGATGATGATTTCTTAATTAAAAAGTGCTACGCATATAAAAGTCTGTCAGAAAATGTAAAACACTGAAAAATTTTATCATGTCTATATATTTCACGAATAGAGTGTCTTATTATTACCACTATAATTGAAACTACTGGTTTTATTGCACAAAATAAATATATTCATAAAATGGTTGTATCAATGCTGGATTTGTCTACTTTGTTAAAAAAAATGTGTGCCATCATAAATTTTATGCTTCACTCTGTTTTAACCCCTTTCAATGGCTTGTATTTATTTATTATCCTATTTCACTCTGGAAAAATTCTTTTCATCCTCAACTAATAGAAATTCAGTATTGAGTGTCGAACTCGTTTCACAAGAGACACTTTTTCTCTCTGGGTATATGTACGTATAATACGACTTTGCAATAATTATCTTACTCTTCTCGGGCAGTTGCACAGTTCTAGACAGTGAGGGGGTGTCGGCGTCACAATTTTCATAATTTAAATACATGCTCCTAGACTTGTTTTCCACACTCAAGATAGGAAAATCTTCCCATGGTGGAGCACATTTTGCTTATGGTGAATCATCTTTCAGTCATACATACTCCGAGGGCACCGTTGAGCTCTCATTTATCGCCGCGAGGCGTGATGGTCGTTTCCCCTGTGAGAAGCCCTCATTACCATGATTGTCACTTGGCTCCCAGTTGGGAAGTGGTGCAGATATCACAGTTAAATCGACTACTTCGTACGTGCGTTCCGGTGGCATCGCCGTCACCGACAAGTCAGAGTAGTACGCGCTACTTGGCGCTGAGGACACCATTGGGACTTCTTGGTCCGCCTGCAAGAATATCTGCAATGCACACACAAGAGACCTCATGAGTGTTGTTTTACTTCAAACACATTTTTTTCTAGGGGGTTGTCATGTAATTGTGCTATGTATGTCCACAAAGTGTTTCTTGTTTATCAAGTAAATTAAAATATTCAGACTGTGTCTCCGTGATCACTCTGATTCATAATTGAAAATTCTCCCAGCATTTTTTGGCTCAACCTGAGAAACCCCTTTGGCGTGCACTCATCACTCTTACCTCGCCACAGCCACTGTAGGCCGTGTTCTGGTACGACGGCTGTCCGGATTGCACCGACTCGCGGTCCAGTTCCGCGTAGAGTGCTTCGTCCACCTCCACCGGGCTGTAGGCATCATTCATATGAGTGTAGTGATTCTCGGCCGGCGATGATTGTGTTTGCGTGAGCTGATCCGGCCCCACCGACACACGCCTTGTACTCAGCCATGTCCACAGTCCTGAATTGCTGTGAGAACCACGAACACTGTCCGCCGTGTGTTTGGCCAGCATACTTCTATTGGTTGCCACATTCTGTCGCGGTGCACGACACCACCATTGCAATTGACGACCACCTGGCAAATAGTGTAGTGTGTCTCTTTATTGTTGCAGCGAAGGAAAAAAAGTCACTCCATGCATCTCCTCATATTTCCCTCAACCATGGCATTTTTGCCATTCGCGAGCGCACACACATAGCCTAACCAAACAAATCAAATTGGAAATTGAAATAGGTGGAACGCGCACGATGGTAACAATTTAATAATACCAAGGAAAATTCCCTCTTTGTATATCCCCTTTGCTGTTGAATGATGGTATTTTGCCTCAATAAATGAAATTACCAACAGCACGAAATTGTAAATTAAGTTTGAAATGGATCCCAAGTTTATTGTGCACGGGCTAATTCAGGCAAAGTTTTAAATGCAAAATGAGACTTTCTCTTTCGACTCAGTATCTTATACTCCCTACAATTACTTAACGGTAACTGACATGTTAGTCATATGAGGGAAGACTATCTTGAGTGTAATCGCCAACCTAAAGCTCATACCACCTAGTGAAGCGCTCTATAGCATATTTGTGCACTTTCCGCAATTGCACTGATGACAGTGTTCAATGAAATTGTGCGATAATAAAATATCTTACATCAAATACTGTAAAATATTTTTACTATTTACTTTGCCCAGTTAGTCATTTTACACTTACCAGCGGCATTGGCAGCTTTAAGTCTGCAAAGAGAAGGCACACACCATGAGGAAACAGTAAATTACAAGATTTCAGATTATTATTTATATAATGTGTACATACAGGGGAAATATTGCCATATTGTCAATTATAACATCTTCAAATATAAATTTATGAACTTTATATGCCTACCCATGAAGCATTGCATACAATTAACGTTAGGTTCGATCAACAGGAAGCCACGCTTACCTCAGGACAAATTTCACGACAGGGTTGTAAAATTCACAATCAATTTTACACACGCCGAAATTTAATCGAAATTGTGTGCAAATTCAGCAATTATCCACCAATTTATGCTTAAGCACCCGAATTTATTGATTTCATTGTGACTCGCATATTTATTCACAAGGTGTGTCTCACACTGGGCACGGGTCTTTTGCAGAACTTCCTCGCCCCACAGCCACCAAAGTGGTGACTTTCTTTGTACGGAAACACTGGCGGTAACAAAAGACACACAGAGAGACGTCGCACGTCCAAATATACAAATTAAGTAATTAGTTTTAATGGGAATACTCGGGAATTTACACTTGTTTGACGATCTTCTGTAAGATCTGCTGGATTTCATGAAAATCGATGCTGGAAATTGATCCATCGACGGGGGAATTAAAATACACATTCCCAATTTTATTACTCAAAATGCGGAATCGGAGATTTAAATACATATTAATGAAGAGAAGACTACCAAATGGGAAGTAATGGGATTTGCATATAAGCATTGGGAGACAAAATAGATTTTTTGAGAAAGATTTCAGTAAAAAATTTCATGTTTATGTCTATATTGAATAGTTGAAAAACTTATTAATTTGAATGCAAATCATGCAAATTGAGATGTAAATTTTGTGAAATCAAACTTGAGGATTTTGGCTCGAATTTTGTTTTTGAAAAAAAAAACTCTAAAGATAAGAAAGTATTTTGAAGATGCGTAATGTGATAAATTCTGTAATCTTGCAATACGAAAAAGGAATCTTAATTACTTTATTGCTGACATGATAATTTGACACAACGCTACAGCATAATTCACACTTAATCTTCCTTGAGATATTTCTCTGATTGTCTACCCCGAAAAGGCCCAAGTGAATCTGATATCGCAAACCGCAGCCATTATGGAGATTCCACATGACAGTAAATTGTTGCAAAGTGAAAGGCAAAATGTCCTAATAGGGCTTGCAGAGGCTGCGAGTTGATTGTCCCCTGTCTTTTTTTTCGAATGCTGTAATTATAGCCAGTGTATCCTCTGGGAATATTTCTAATAATGGCGAAAATCTTGAATACCCATATAGAATGGTATTTATAGGCATACAGTATTCCCTTCACATACAAGAGTTCATTACTTGCGTAAGAATGATCGCAATATCAAATGGCCGCGCCTTATTATGTATACAGAAAGTATCTATCCTCTCCTTATTATATCCCAACGGTCGTCTGTGTTGACTGTACAAGAATATTGTAGCCACAAGTTTAATTTATGGTAACAATACTAAATGTGTGCATGGAATGCGCGTGAGTGTATCGAATGTTCAGGTAAAGGTTACACAAATTACCGCTAAGCCAAATCGATTAAGATCATTTCTAACATCATTCCATTGTGTAATTTCTCGCAGGAGAAGATACACCAGAACCCATGCAACATTAAGTAGCTTCGCGATAATGTTCCATTGATCTCTCCACTTGCTCGCATGGTATCCGACCGGTGATCGTTTTCAATTACCTCTCCTCAGTTACACATTTTACCCAGCGAGAGAAAAATTGCCCCATGAGATAGAGTGGACTTTTCAGAAAACACGAAAAGGAAAATTTTCACTCCATAACCGTATGCAAGACATGAGAATAATTATAGCCGGTTTGGTCGGACGACGAGGAGGAAGCCAGTGAAGGCTCCTATTGAAATCTAAAGGAGGGTATTTTGTTTCACTCCGAGTATATAACACTCTTTATCACACATTAAATTCTTAATCAAGAGGAGATGTGTCTGACATGTCGTAGGGTTTCCTCAATGCAAAACGTGTGCGACTTTCAAGTCAAAGGCTACCGAACGCTCAATATTTTATAGTCGCATGTAAATAAATATAATTGCGACATGGTTGGATGAGGAGAAGAAAAAATATTGAAATCTTGCAATTTGTTGTCGATTTTATACAGCATCCAGCGAGTGATTTGTTTCGTGAGGATATTCACTCTGCAATATTTTATTGACTCTCTCTCTACCTACAGGATATTGTATCTTCTCATGCCTTCGCCTCACTCTTTATTCAAACCACTTAGACATATTGTGCAAAATAAATAAGACGAGAATGGAACTGTTTTATTTGACAGCGAAAAAAATTGATGCATGCAGAAGATGAGGCATTTATGCCCCCGTGAAATTTATCCCGTGTGTGCTTCAAAATTTCACGGGAGAGACTTCCACAGAATGACCTCTGGGGTCTTCAAATATAAATTCTTCAGCACGGTTTTCAGTTACTTCTGCGAACTCAAGAGACACGGACAAATTAAGACTATGCGCGGCTTCACAGCGGAGATAATTTTCCAATATTAAGGCATAATATCACGAGCAGTAAAATTTTAGCATGTCTGCTGTGGGTCAAATTAATCTAACTAACTCTCCTCAAGCCTTAACGACCTTTGTATGCATACTTTACACTTTGAGCAATATGGCATAATGTGTTGTAGTAGCAAAAACTAATCATTTTCACTGCGTGTTGGATGAGAACAATATTGTGACATGTCTGATAAATAGGGGACTTTAGTAAATTAAAAATAGATGGTAACTTACCTTCTACATCTAAAGAATATAACCATCACAATAGCACCTATGAGGGCTGATAGAAGTGACACTGTTATTAAGGTGAGTGCCCATCCCAAATCACCGGATGATTCTGCAATTAGAGAAACAATTGTTGAATACCGAGATGCAGGAATTTCACGATTAAGTAAAGAGAGGAGCATTTTCCCTGGGAACAAGCTCACGGCGTTTTGAGAGATAAAGTTCAATACAAATAAAGGGCATATGGCAGATGAAAATTCATCAAAATTCCTTCATACATTATTCAGTCGAACTACATGCATTGCAAAAAGGGAGGGAAAAATAGGAATCAAGAAAGTGCAAATGTTTTCGCGAGTGTCCCCTTCAAAAAGATACATACACAATTGAGCTTTGAATGAGATTTTGGCTCAATGGTTTATGAGATGATCACGAATGCTGATTTTGCAATACCCACTCTGCGGCTTTTTCTGCTTATAATACACTTCTTATGCTCTTTTGTACCGGTGCAAATGTGAATTTAAAATAAATCTGCGCAGAGATTGGGAGGACGGGAGACAAAGTTTTACCTTGTGGTATTCTGGAATTCCCATTTTCCCTTTTGGCATTTTAGCATTTCAAGAAAAAAAGGTAGGTGAAAAAATTCCAACTATATATCTCGTGAATTCCCGGTCTTTTTTCCTTACCAAATCACCGCACACTCTACACCGAAATATTTTAAATAACATCGCAAAATTGCTTGGGAGGCAATTTTTCTGACTAATATTGTAAATTCCATCCAATTGAGTGGACACTCATTTGCAATTATTGCGCCTTTTTGGGTTGAACCAAATGAGATTTATTAATGGTGCAATAAATATCTTAACGATCTCTCTTGGGGCTAACAAGGAAAATTTAATGATCTCGGGGTTAATGCAATTTTTGGACAATATTGCAAAATATATACACTGCATGCGTTTCGTCGCGCCATTTCCAGCTCCAATGATATGTCAAATAATTGAAAATTCAAATGAAGATCAATAAAAATTCTGTAGCACAGCTACATTTGGCCATCTCGTCTCTCTGCATCCTTCCAGTGGATTTGCCTTGTGTCAATTAACTCACGAGTATGGAGGCAAAGTGACAGAATGTATAGTAAATAATAAGAGCTATTAAAATTGAAGGAAAGTAATATTAAAATTCAATTAAAATGTTTCCTCACTCGCAGATGGATCGACGTGGCTACAAAAAATCACTATAGAGTGCCCGATTCAAACAATTAGTACGTCTTTTATTGCCATTCATACCATACGATGTTGAGCAATAAAATGGGATTTTATTGTCATTCAATGAAATAGAGAGAATCATAAATTCTGTTCATTAAAAAGTCCCAACAACCGTTCGTTAGGGAAGGCATCAGCCTATTCTTTCTCATTATCTGGAAGAATTTTAATTAAATATTGTTCGAGCAGCAGCAAAAAATCGCGTGGCACGATGGACTAGTGCCGGTGTCCAACGTGTAAAAATTACATGCCTCCCGAAGTGTGCCCCTTAACATGGGAAATATAATGGGATGTGACAAGAAGTTGCAAGTGGTACACCTAAAATTGGCATCTCCGAGTGACCTGCTGGCTATTAATTCGCCTCTACACATTGGGAAATTTGTATACAACTGGCGGAGACGTATACTCAGGCGAATGTAGTTCTAAGTCAAGGAGTCACTCAATGACATTTTGAGATGTACTATGTATGAACAGAATAAAAATTAAAGGAAAACAATTTTTTCGGATATTTCGGAAGGAAATTATGTATTGGTTTCTTTCATTTCACTTTAAATTAAGTGCTATTTCGCAGGAATTCCAGCTTAAAAAGAGCTTAAAAATGCATCACTCAATAATTTCAACGGCCAAATTAAATTTGCGCATTCTTCTGAGTGTAGCGACCGCAATTCTTTTGGGCTCGCCACTGTGCATTGTGCTGAGAAATGCTCGTGGTTTGGCCTTGGACCACACAGCTGGTCACAAATCTCTGTGGCTGGAGAACAGTGCAATGGGAGAGACATCGGTTACATTCCAAAGTGCGCGAATTGATAAAAGTGGCTATATTTCTCGTGAATTTGTTAACAATCTCCAGTTGAAGATCAAATTACTCTCTTCTTTCTGCGGATTATCTCGCGATATTATTTATGTATTGTTTTGTGCGTAATCGCAAAGTGGAGGCTCCCCTTTTCTGAAATCACCTCACCAATTTGGGTGTCAGCAGAGACATTGAGGAAGACTGTAAGAGATAAATTCAGACCGTATAAATAAACATCGTCATGATATCTCCTATATCTCTGGTTTCTTTTTCTTTTTCTGCTGCCTTTGCGATGCTGTTCCTTCACCCCGCCTAACCATCTCTCGGTAGATACAATTAACGCTTTGTTCACACAAATTATCTCCAAATATCTGCATGACTTCTGAATAGTGCCACTTTAAATTCTTTCAAGCCAAATGGTAAATTGTTCATTTGGTGAAAAATGAAGGAATCACCAAGAGACCGAAAAAATGTCTACAAGCTGAATTTCCATTATAACAATAGGACATTAGTTCTCTCCGCCGGGTCCGATCTTCAGGGGCCTCTTTTTGCACGCAGGTCACACAAAAGAAATAAGCAGCATTATCGAAAACAATCGTGTGACTTCTTCTTCCCAATCAACACTCCGGCATTCATTCTTGCCTCTCTTGTATATATGGTGTTTCGGATTCAGTCACTATTGAGCTTCATAAATAATTTGTACTTGTCTTTTTTATTACCTTCTCTCTCTTTTCATCGTTTTCTCTTCATCTTTTTATATATTTCGCTTGCTATCTATACATTTAACCATTCTTCCAGAGATTCCTTCACGGGAATGCAATGATATTGCGATCTACCTCATTTGGCGATACCATCACATTGACTAATTCGGTAAATTGGCAAACTGAGACTTTGGTCAACTGAGCGAGCGATACTAACTCAACATAATGCAGATAGATTCTGGATAAATTAAGAATTATTATCTTAAAGTGTGGAATCAAGATTCGGCAAAATCTTTTTCGCACTATTAACAGAAGAATCTCTAGAATCACAGCAACCATTTGCTTCTGAAGGTTTATATCGGGAATTCTCCGCCATCTCCGTGGTGTCACAGCATCGTAAATAGCTTATTATGCATATGACTTGAATGAAAAACCTGTGATATTTGTGAAAAATTAATGCTATGATCCACAAACTTTTAATTTATGGTGATAACCAAAAAGACACAGCGTACTAAATGAGTTTCACAGCGGGCAATCGATGCTCGGTGGGCGCAAAATCCACATAGTCAAGGAATGTTATATAATACGAAGGAGAGATAAAAAATAATAAAATAAGAAATAGTTTGAACAAGTTTCCAATTTATGTCATATTGGCCTAAACACCAATTCAATAGTCGACTGTACATTATAACTCAGGAGGAATAATGCTTTCATATGATAATTAAAGATATGAATTTGAGTAAGTGTAATAAATTTCCCATCAAATCAATTGAACGGTCATAAAGAAGAATGTAAAATAACATGGTGTAAGGCAAATAGGTGTCTGCGAAGATGTGTTTTCATAATTTAGCAATTCATGTGCGATTGCAAAGATAGAGACAAGATATCGTGCGAGAGAAATTATATTTCCGTGGAATTGAAAATAATAATAAGTTTATTGGTAGTCGATAAAGTTGTCACAAGTGTTGTCTTAATTATACAGATGCCGGGCTTCTGCGACAATTTTAATGCAAATACTGCCGTGTCACTTTTCTGATTTATTCATTTCACTTCTCGAGCCAATAGATTAACCCTCAGGTGCCTCCAAGTTTCATATTTTCTTTTGCACTTGGAAAAAAGGCTAAGCTCATCGTGTGATGGATACAAGCCGTTGAGGATTACTCATAATATATGCCGATACTGTGAGACATTTCATCGACGACTAATTTTTACTAATTGATCCATCTACATTTGAGAATTATTCTGTTAAAAGAAATCATTAGCACTGGCGTGATCGACGTTCTTTTTACTCGAGCCTCGCGTCAATCACATTTCGAAGGTGTTTAGTGGTCATGATACTTTTACAATTTAATTCTAATCCCCCATTTTACTCACTCATACTCACACACACACACACTTCACTGGGCTAGTTTCTTTTTCGTCTTGTAGACTTTGTCTATGTACAAGATTTGCTATTCTGGCAGCAAGAAGAGCGACAGAGGCAGATAATCATTTTCACCTGACACACTTCCAACCAAGTGCATTCTTTTGGGAAGCAACGCGTCGTTAAAATTATTTATAGATAGTATTTTTGAAAAGTCAGAGATTTCATGATACACTTTATTGTTCCTTGAATGTCAGGATTCTACGGCTGTTCTTTATGTCTCGGCATAAATTTTCTTTGTGCGATTGAAGAAAATATATTATAGCTTGCTTATATTTCACATTAAAAACTCTTCAGGACATCACTCTGCCTTTCGCTGAAAATGATTAATTGGCCATAGAAGACCCAAAAACTACGAGAACATTTGAAATGGAGAATTTACTGTAGAAGGTTTTTACGGTCTTCAACTGTGATTAAGACGAAGGTATGAAATGGAAAATTGAAAAAATACAACTGCAAATATTGAGTGAAAAGTCTTGGGCGAGAGACTCTTTAAGTCATTACCCATGGAAGACAATTTATTCAGCTGATTATTCAGTGGTTGAGAGGAAGAAATAAAATTTACTGTAAAGCAATTTGAATATATTTTCTGTTCAAGATTCCGATAATGACTTCTTTATGAAGTAATCTGGGAATTAAGGCAAGTAAGGAGAGGAAGATAAATGATTTGCTTGGGAAAGAAATCATTTGCCCATTATACTAAATTAATTTGTTGTTCTTCGCGTTGATAAGTCTATCAGTGGCCATTCTTCTCCCAGTGTCAACTTTAAATTAGGTGAAAGCCCAAGCTCGTTTTTCACCATGCTTGTCATTCCTCCAGAGGTTTGGTGAAGAGTCAAAACATGTTCTTTTTTTTTACCGCAGCCAAGACTTAAGTTTTAATACATGCTAATAATTGTTAGAGGTGTAGTATGAAAATATTCCTCATTCTAGATGCAATTAACATACTTTCTGAATCCAGTTTAATTATATTTTATCATCTCAGTGGACTTTTCACGCTATTAAGAAGTCAAATCGGTCTCACTCTGCAGTGAATAACTTCATCAAATTGTAAATTTAAATAAGATTAGCCCGTCATCGTGCAGTGTGATCCTTCATCCTGGAATGAGATATGCTCTCTCTCTGTCTCCTCTCAGAATTGAGATATGAAGCAATTCGATGAAACTCATGGGCCAAAAATCGATCTTTTCGACACTTCATTTACATACCGATCACATACTTTATGCGTGTATGCAGAGTGTTGTTTGATAGGCAGTGCTGTTGCTATTATTTTTATGTTAATTTAATATTCTTTTGTCGATGCCGACAGCACTTGTCTTATTCACTGATGTTTCTTCGGGTATCTCAAATATCATGAAAATTCGAAACACTCGGCATAGAGTTTATTTTTCTTCACGCTATACCTTCATGTGAAATGCCACGGAGTTTGGTCTTCTATCTTTACCACGAAATTCTGTGGAATTTATGAAATAATAAAAAGCGTCGTTAAGAGAGACAGGAGGGCACCCATGTGAGAGTCATTTGGGCGGTAAAATGTGTATTAACGAGCTTTATTCCACTAATTTATAGTTCAAGTGCACATCTATTTCACCTGTTAATTGTCAATTATAAATTAGAATCGCTCATCCATTCCAACTGTCACTGTCTGTGAGGCATGGAAGATTTCTCTCTCTCTCTGAAATCTTCTCTCGCTTGTACTAAAAATTGTGCATAATAATTCAAAACTCAATAGATTTATAGATGACTTTGGTAAATATGTTTCACTCCTTTTCTGTGCATCTTCGCTTCAAGCGAGCCTCCATAACCTTCATAATGTGACTTTATGTATTGCAGTAATTAAGAACTGACTTCCTCTAGTTCCTACCACGCTCTATGTGCCATTATCTCAATACTTCACGAGATGTTATTGTGAAGAGAAGCTCAATGAATAGTGTTAATATTTCTCACAAGTTTGAGCATTTACCTTTGACTTATTATTGCCTCTTTATGTGCTGCTATTAGACAAATTATTCACTATTCAATGCGCTATTGAGTTGGGAAATGTGACTCATACACACTATTAAAATTTCATGACATGTAATTGCAAGATTCCTCTCCCAAGTGGAAAACCATTGGCCGATAAATAGCTAAACTGTGGACACCATTATCTCGGCGGACAGGGAAAATATTGCTGAAATATTGCTCACCATTTATTGGTCCATCCAATGAAAATGCATTTCGTTCTCGCCGTGCCCAACTGCATAAATCACATGTGGTCAGGCCGTCGGAGGACACAGTCTCCTCTAGGAAGGGTGGCCTAGGTGGCGGTGGGACGAATTTGCCATTCCACAGACCACCCTCACTCGCGTCGAAGGTCAGTGGCGAGTTCAGCAGGTTCTCCTCTATAACGTTGGACCAGAAGTCTATGTCGGTGGTGAGATTAATGGTGTCGTCGCCGCGGAAGGTTTCATGACTCGGTGTACTCGAAATTCCAGAAAACATGATGATTTCTGCAAAGAAAAGCAGATTTGTCGCTTAGGTGAATTATCCGTTGGAGGAGATGGTAAATACTGTCTCACATGACAATAGATGTGACTGGAGAATGGAACAAATTGTTCCTCACGCTGAACTGAGTGAAGAGGAAATCTCTTCTTAGCATAAGAGGGGCGCACAAGTGATGAGGCAAGAAGCATTTCAGTTCATTCGACCGAGCAGAAGGATTGCAAATTAAAATTCTGATTATTATCGCTCTAAAATCCTCTGGAGTGTGCTCTTCATCCGCATAGTTGTTCACCCCTTGAGAATGCTGTGCCAGCCTCAAAAGAATCCCTTTCAATGCGAATGAAGACATATTACACACGTATGTAAATTCGATTTGATCTCTTGAAACGTTTTCTTGTGAGTCAATTGGAGAGCCCTCAAGGCCTGACACGTGAGTAAATATCTACTTAATTTAATTCTGATTAAGATATTAATCTATGGTGTAAGAAATTTTCATGTACAAGAGGAAGTTATTCATGTATACACGCAAATGAAATTTTCAATTAATCGCCAAGACGCATTCCTGCCGCGCGTCGAGAGGGTGAAATGCATTCCCAGCACAAAATGCAGGCAAAATCAATGGCCAGGTGAAAAAGGTAAAATCGTCACTTTGACTGATGTGAATAAATATCAGCTTTGAATTGATCATGATGAACTATTCTTTTCACTCTGTGTCGCTGAACATCTTTCAACGCCGACGAAGGTATGCAGTTGCAAGAACTGATGAATATCGCAATTTGAATAAATTGATTAATCAGCCTTTAGTTGGAAATATATCATAATGTCATGTAAGGATTTGATTTTGTTCACATCCACTTTGCCTGTTCATATTTGCCATCGACGATGAATTAAAATGAATATATTGATTAACCGGTTCTCAAAATGTATTCATTTTTGTGCAAGGAGAGAAGACTCTGTGTATGACTGTATATATATATATATATATATATATGTATGAAATACGGTAAATATCCCTGTTGACTTGCTGTGGATGGGATTCTTGAGAAAGCCTCGTTGAAATCATAATGTTATAAATTTACATGCAGAGCCAAATATAATAATAATAATAATAATAATTGATATGGTAAATGTTGACTCCGCTGATTTTGGTTATTTGCCCTATAACCGATTGAAGTGATCCTTACAATAATTTTCATCAAAAGTATAGTTGGATATAGAAATAAGCAATACATATCAAATATCTAGCTGGAAACCCGTATAATATCCTTTATGACTTGTTAAATTCCTCAAACAGATTTTATAGACAGGGGTCTGCATCTCGTTTTTCTTACCCCCCCTTTTTGGGTGACTTGAGAGACGCTTGGGCACATGTATATAAATAAGTGATTCATCAGCATAATACAAATCAGATGCCAGACGGTAATGCCGATTGTTTCCTCGAAGAGTTACAATTTATCTTTGTGATCAACGTTTCAGCGCCTTTAGTCTACCTCTTTCAGCGGGTAAATAAACCTATAAGAAGTGATGTATTTTAAGAATATATCTGTTTTTATGGTCACTCACCAGTATCTTCATCATCAATTTATCTGGATTTATACATGTATAATTGAATACAGTGAATGTATGCAAAAGTGTTCTTATTCAGTTGAACCTGATCAATTCAGGGAGCCAGTGATCAATTTTAATAAATTGAATAATCAGGTAGATGTGATCGACAGAACTCATTAAGTCGACCCTGCATTTAATGGCACAACTCTTGAAAAGGTGTTTCAAGTCAATGTGCGATGGAACGCCTCATATCGTGTGGGTTCAGTGCCCCATCTCTCCTCACAAAACCGCCCAATAAATTAACCAGAGAGATACACTGACAAACAATTCATTATCTGACTTAGAATTAATCTCCGCATTGTGCCATTTCATCAATGTTTTCATGCACACCAGCCTCTATATGAGTGTTGGATTGGTTATAATTCCAGGTGAAGGAAGGGAGGAGGAAAAAGTCTTACATATTTTACTCTGGAGCTACAAGTGTTTCAACCCACACGAGCTTTTCACAGAAATTCATCCCTAGATTACCATCAGATAAACATCGAAAGCTCCGCAATAATACTATTCAAAATGTACATAATGTGGCACCATTCATTTCCCTTCGCATAACATTCTCTCTTGGGTACGCCAAATGACCGATTCTATGTCTTCTATTTTACTAAAACAAATATGTGAGAGAGGAAAAACAACATTTTTCATCTATACCAAACTATTCATTTTTAGGGATTTACTCCCAGTGAATACTATCATCATCATCAGCACAGTATTGAAGGCTGGAATCTATGTTTATGTGCCAAGGTTTTTATGTGCTTCTCCATTAACTTCCTCGACCTGTGTTTTAATATACACCAAAGATATGAGGAAGCATTCGGAATATCAATTCCTCATCAGACTAAATAAAACGGAGGGTGTGCATGAAAAACAGAACTCAATGTGAGTGATTACGTTGGGAGAAGGTGAGGTGATTAAAATAACATTTTCCTCACACCTCGTATATGGTGAGAGTACTTCTTAAATATTAATGAGTGGTTTAGGTTGGCTTATTAAAAATTCGATATTCAATCTCAGCAATGTCCATAGGCTGCAATCATTACAATGTAGAACAATTTGTACACAATTGCATTCTATGTGATAATTTCCCACTACTCTCCGATCTCATTACAATTGATAATGAAATCTGTACTCAGCTGGAATAATAAGAGTTTTGCAGTGGAAACTTTGTAATAATTGCCTTTGAAGTAGAAGAGTAAAATTATTAACATTACTGCGATCGGTAGATGAGTCTCCGTAATTGCCACACTTTTAGGAAACTCCATCAGTATTTTACACATCGATCTCCAGCTATGAAGACAAATGGAATTAATATGCAGGTCTCATGAGGACTCTGTGCAAGAGGCAGGTCGACTTTCAGTAGCTCAGAGCATGAAAACAAGTGAGTGAGAAGAATAATTAAAAATGCAGTCATGTAGACATAAATCGAAGTTGAAAAATAAAATATTACACTCTTTGTTAAATGCAATTATTCAACTTCAATAAAAGACTGCGCAGTCAGATATCGTGGAAAAAAGATATATGCACTTATTGATAATCTCTACAAATGGACGAACACTTCAAATGACCAGTTCATATTACCAATCACTTCCATTTAATGCCACATATGATTAATGATTGTACTTATGATCAAGAGCCACTGTGCATAAAAATGCTGACAAGTTGAAATCTCATTGCGGGCTTCATTATTAGAAGACATACCCAGTCAGACACACTGTGCATAGTTGTCAGAGGTCCGCAATTTTCTTCATCTTTACCATCTTCACAAAGAATTTTAACCATGTGAGAAGAGTGAAGAGAACAAGACGTGGCAGTGTCGTATCAGTTGAAAGTACAGTGACATGCAAAACTCACTCCACTATTTTCAATGTGATACAGGTAAAAATTGACGTAATCTTCACACCGGACGATTCTGCACGCAACTGTGTGGCACAACAATGTTATAACATGGAAGAATACGAATTATTACGTGATTGAGAAAGAATTTTGTATTAATTGAATGAAAGGGGCACGAAAATTGAATCCTCAAGCGAATTATACGCCCGGAAAGGTCATCATCATCCTCTTCGAAAGTGTTGAATTGAAAAGCATTCGCAGGACCACACTCTTGTGGAGTTTTTAGAAATCCATGCCATGGTTGTACATTTGAATCGAGGAATCACGTTATCTCGTAAAGCGTTCATTGTATCGAATTCTCCGATCGATGGAACAATGCATAATTAATCATTGATTTCTTATTTTTTCAGTCTTCCCCTTAATCGAGTCTCGCAAAGAGCATTTATTTCCAATATCCATGTGTGGTAAAATAATGGAAAGGAGGCGGCAATAACAACGGTGCGTGGGTGCAATATTACTGATCATCCCAGTTTCTCTCGCTGTTATCTCTTTTCCATACCAATATGACAGACCTCACAAATGCGAGCTGCTGGCCCCTTCACCAAAATACCTCTCTTCACGGTCTCTCGAGAGTGTTTTGGACGTTTTTCGTGGAGGAATGACAGGACGTCTGAGAGAAATAAAGATATATCAAAATCCTATAATTATCCGAGTACCAATTTTCTCTCTTGAGTTCCCTTCTTTTCGACCATTCACACAACATGTGTGTAAGAATGCTTCATGCTCACGTGAGTATATAGGAAAGGAGTTTTTAGAACATCATTTGCCTCTTTTTCACTCACCTGAACTTCCAGCCAGTATCCGACTAAATCCCCAATTTATTATTCATTAAAAAGTATTTGCCACCTGAAACAGAAAACATATTTTCATATATTATTTCTCTAGTAAATTGCGCACACATTAGGAATATGGCTTTTTTGCCCACTATGCGACTCCCTTAAAACACAATTGAGTCAAATTACGAGAAAAGTGGAGAAAAGTATCACCGCCACATGGTTAATGGAAAGAGGAACTTGAGTTTTTTTCCCAGGTAATTGCACGATGACTATTAGAAGTTCATAAACAGGGTGATTCAGGGGCAATTGACCTTTTTATCTGGCAAAAGTATATACGTTATCAATTGCTTATTCTTCTTTCCTGTGGTATTTGATCAACAATTAATCATCTATTAGTCTGCAAAAACGCTTTCGGGAGCTTAAAGTAAAATCATTTGTCGTCTCAGAAGTTGCGGAGACTTTAGATGAAATCCGCGATGAGGATCTCAGCCGAAAAGCCGTGTGAGCTGAGAATTCCACCGTCAATAGACTAAATGGAAAATTAATCTCGAAGAAATATTGCAAAATAACCCGATTAATACACCAATTAATAAACTCTTTAGCTGCGGCTTGTGCCATTGCACGTAATACAAATAGCACGGGGATTAGCATGTATTATGTCGGCCGCCAGACAACGAGATTCTAAATCATATGTATGAGGATTTATAGTAAAGAGCGAATTAACAATATAATATGTTTACGACACTGTAAATTTCGTTAAAGACCCACGAATAAATAACAATTAAGTTCCCTGATGGGCATAAAGCAAAATCCATCACTCCTATTATCACAGATTATGTGGGGGAAAACTACAAAATATGACACATTCAGCACTGTGTGTATGTTTGTCGGGTGAGAAGGAGGCATAAAAATACCTCCGCATGAATGGAAGGCATCGTCAGTGCGTATTAAGTTAATCCTACTTCACTTTCCTTGTATCTGGAGAGATTAGTCGCCGCGGACAGTGATACCTACACTCGAAAGACGCGATCAGTGCGACATACTGTTCATGCAACATGCATAAATATGATTCACGTTCCACTCGTAAAGGAGTCAGTGGTCTGTACCTGACCGTATTTCAGCTTGTCGTGAAAATAATAATTCATTAGCAATTTAATTGGATAATGCTGTGGTTAATCTTAAGCCGAGCACGCTCTACATCTCCAACTTACACATAATTTAGCAATATTGACCACATTTGGGCCTCTACTTGAGTCAATGCTCGCGGGAATGGTATTCTTTTATAGCGTTTTTTTCTTGCCTTTCTAGCGAACACTTCTCTCATCCACAGTGAGCGGTCGGTCGCATATAACTCTTTCTGTCCGACAATTAGAATAGAGCTGGACAAGTAGTAAAATTCACAACAACTTGTGTACATAATGTTTTGATTATTGACCGTTATTTTTATGCACATTTAATGTAAATATAAACGTCCGAATAATCAAAAGTATATTAAAATATAATTATTGAGCTTGTCGTCAAGTTAAAAGTTATTGTTTTCCAGCATGGAGTGGTTTTGTGTGTAGGGTAAAAAACATCATCATGAAATCCGATGAAAAGATTTCTTAATTGGTTAAATTATACCGTATAGCCCGAGAAAAAAGAGAGAGTTCTTATCGCTCCGTCGTCTGGACATAGATTTTCCATGCAATGCAGGAGAACACAAACTAATAACTTTATTCTCCTTCTCCACAAGCCAAATTGCTACAGAAGGGAGAAGAGTGAGGGCATATGATGGCTTTATAAGAGGGACTCACTCTCCGTTTGGGCAGCTCTAAGGTAGAATTTTAACCTCACGAGCCAGTTTTAAATGCAATGAAAAAGGGCATTTTACATAATGTGCATGTGTGTGCCCCAAGTAGACATTCAAAACAATTGTATGTAATTTATTTTGAGTGGATTCGTAAATACATGCCTTTTATACCGCTCGTAGTTGTATTTGCACTAACGCTCAATCCCACTAAAAGGGCAGAAATGTACAAAATTTGTATATAGGCACAGTAGCGCAGCCTCATAATATTTATGGCAATATTACTAATTGATGATTCTGATATGCACACACTAACACACAGTGGTGAACAATTTTTGCCATGAACAGAATCGCACATGAGAGTCGCCAAAGATGCCATCATGCATGTGAGTTAAAGTGCCAACTGTACAATTAATTGTAATTTTAATTGCATACATATTCCAACATCCCCCGTAATGAGTCACTCTCTTGCTAGAGGACTAACTATGAGTTCTGCATTTTGAACGTGCCTCCAAAAGGGTAATGATCCACATAGCACATATCGCTCCTTCCGTTTCTATACGTACATTTGCACTATCCCAGGAAGGTGACTTCCATCAGACTTGCACTGAATTTGCACGAGTTTGAGGAGTTTGGAGAAGGCTTATTATGCTGTGGAAAGCAGCAAACTGTCTGTCACGCTCAATTTTACCCTCCCTTCCTTGGATTCTAAGTTCATATTTAAGAGACGATATTAATGGCTTTTAAACTTGGGAACTCTTCAAAGTCTCTAGTTTATCAAACCCTGTTCTAAGTAACATGTCTCGAAAACATAATTTTTGCTTGAAGAGGCTCAATTTTCTATTTCTTGTGTGGCATGTTATTCTATTCGTTCAAATTTCATTTGGACTATGACAGAATGATAATGTATTCACAAAATGATTTGTTTTTCACATTTGACTCATTAGTCATAACATTTCAATTGAAAAGACAAATGTTGAAAAGACAATTTCGAACAACAGTTCATCTGAATGTATGACAAAGATTTGTCTTTTACAGTGAATAAACTAAAACACTTGCGAATGTTTGAAAAACCCGTGAAGTAGTTTGGCAAACAATTCAGTGAGTGTAACCCGAAACCTGTAAACACTGGGATCTATCGTTTCCCAGAAAAATGATGTATGATCGACAAGACTCCGGTAAACACCGTGGATTGTGTGAGATTTACGACGGAGAGGGCACCATGGGTGAAAAATCCCTCAATAGGTGAGAGATTGAGGCTTCTGATGCACGAATAATGAAATTAATTTGAACCGTGCTGAGACTCAAGATCACTTTGTGCTGAAGAACTTCATGTTGGGTCTCTAATAGAAGTTGGCACACAAGAGGAGGGGAGGTGAAGAAAATAGGCGAGAAGCTGCGACAGGCTGCACTAAAAAATAATGATGACGTACTGATTTTTCATCAACTTAACGGCACCCGTGTACCATATGCATTGTAATCCCTCCCGCTGCAATTACACGCACACAAGTAGAGACTTCCTCCGGAGCTTTGTCTGGCAAGGCGTGAGATACCTTGATGACAAACAATGGATGCTTGTAGCGCCAGAAAAAGTGCGAAAATAATATGTGCATGTGTGGAGCGAAAAACGATGTAAAGGGGGTGTTTCAAGAAGCGTCGCTGAAGGAGGTGTTGTGGAACAAAAAAGTCCCTATGTAGAATGGGGCAGACGTTCCTTTCTTTTTCATAATTTTCTCCCTTTATCACAATGTTGTTTACACGATGCATCGAGGTGTGGGGATGAATATTTGAAAGGCGCATGATATAGCGCGAGCACACTGTATACGCCGCACGTACACAATGGCGTGTGTGATATGGGTGGATGGAAAAAAAAGAGAACTCAGCCCACACTGTAATCTATACTCTTGTGGGCCTCTCTTGTTCTATACACACAGGCCCAGTGTGGAAAAGAAGACATAATATTCTGGGTAAGAAAAAAATCCAATTTACCTTTCTTATCACGCCTTCAGTGAAGCGTTACACACCTGTTATGAGCAATTACATTTTTGTCCATTAATTTGTGACACAGACCTCTATTGTAATTACTCATGTTACTCGCGTTGGGCATGATCAAAGGCTGATATATTCGGCATTCACTAAATTGAACGCCAAATTCCACCTCTTTCTAACCCCAAAAGCAACATGATTAATTGGATGGGAATTGAGTGACAAAGTGTGTTCCACGGCAATATCGCGAGTACATTTTTGACCAACGGAAACATCCACAAAACAATTCTCCTTTGAAGTGTAGAGGCTGGTAAGTACATTTTGAAAGAAATGAGAAAATTTCCTGTGGTATCACTATAGGATTTTTTGGTTACTTTAGCAGAAAATCATGCTTTACTTCAACTTCGAAGGTACATTGTCGGAAAAATTCCGGAGTATCCTCAGTAGCAATTATTCCGTCGTAAATGTACTATATCATACGATGCAAATATATTCGAAGAGCGAATAGTCATCTACTCGCCCCTGTGAATATTCCATGAAGCGTCTCGTCTGATATTCAAACGGCGTGTTTGTATATCCAAAAAATGGTCAACCGCATAAAATTGCCGTGGTCTCTGGAAGCTTCTCAATACCGCCAAAATTGCAGTGAATACAATGGATGGGATTATGTGTTGCGGGTTTGCGATGTCCATAGCGAAGTACACACACCGTAGGGAGGAAAAAAACGAGCAGAAAACAGGTGAAACATGTTGCTTCGCCATTCTCGATTGTTGGTGTAGAATTGAAAAAACATTTTCAAATTATGTTGCATCCGCGGGTTACATGAAAATGATACACGAAGCCTCATTGTTTTCGGAGGAAAGACGAGAGTGCACATCATGCCGTGGCATGTAAAATGTTCGACACCATGTCATCGCTACTAATAATATTATCAAGAGAGTACTAAATGTGAAATTGATTTCTTCCGCCACACGAGAATTTTAGAGAGAAGGTTTTCTCGGTCTCTTGGGGCACTTCTTATTCTTGTGAAGTGAAATTCCTTGCGGCTTTTTCACGCTTGGCTAAATGAGACGAAATACCTCAAGTCAGCAAATTCAGTTTCACGTGAGATTTGGTCTCGCTCGGAGCGAAACTATGATGTTTCAATTAGATTTTCTTTCTCCTTTTTTTGGTGTGCCTTCGCGCTTGCCCCCCTCGTCGGCACCTCGCCTTGTCACTCCCCTCATCTGGGTTCAGGTTCTTATTTCGATGGTGGTGTTGACATGTATGTAAATTTTATGTAGACATCAGCCCAACCACATAATCTACCGCAAAGGCATCCCAGGCAAAACAGAAGACACAATTAATGCGACTACACAACTATGGAGCGAAAGAGCCCAAAGAGTAAGATCAGTCTCTTCTCATTTATTTTGCACCAATGGCAATATAGCGCTGAGGCAATGTGAATTAAACCTGAATCCACCACCCATGTAGTTTCTGCCTCACTGTGTGTGTGGACTTTTTCTTATTCTCAGCCCCATTCCAGGGAAAAAAGCAGGCAGAAGAAACTGAACATTCTCTCGCCCAAGAATCGCGTTATATAGGATGCATACGGTCTTAAATAAATTGCAGCGCTGGACACTCACCGAATTGGCATAGGTTGCGAGAGATGAGACACTGTTCACACGGTCAGAATGTCCTAATCCCAATTACTAGGTGCTAATCCCGCAGGATTTGTATGCTGTCGATGCCACCATAAACACTCTGCTTGAGAGGAGCAACACTTGTGGATTCAAACATCAAAACACCATAATAAAGCAATTTCTTCGACGGCTCGTCTCTCTTCCCAGGTCCACTCACGAGGCACCAAAAGACGAAAAAATCACTTAATTAACCCTCGAAAACAGTCAAGAAACACAGAGAAATGTCGAAAAAGGAGAGGCGCTCTCGGAAAAGAGGTGCCTCTTGAGATATTCCACTGAGTTGTTTGATAATGGAATTAGTAATGTTTCTCTGGAGTCCCGTCTCCACGACCAAACGCTAGCACCAGCGCGAAGAGAGTGAAGAACGAGCAACGAACAATTTCAGCGCCGTGTGGAGAAAATGACGGAGCGGCGAGGCAAAGCCAGCGAGCAGTTAAGGTGAACTGAAGATTGCTGGTGAGCTGGAGGTCTTCAGGAGTGCTCAGTGGTGGCAACCATATAAATGTGGTGGAGGGAAAAGACAGAGAGCGTGATTATACTCATGGCAAAGTTTCCAGCCGGTTCTCGGGACCGATGTAAATGGTACCAACGATCGTTCCTGCATCGTATCTGCCTCAATTGCGTGGTGGTAAAAAGAACACCACAGATATAGTTGTCGGTGATTGAAGCATACGCAAGCGTAGGGAATCCATACAATTATAATGGTCGCGGCTGGTGAATAGATTGTGGAGTGACATGAATATATTTCCTGCCAAGAGAAGCCAAAGCGGGAAGCCAATACAATCAACTTTCTATATAGTTGGAATTGCATTGCGGGTTATTCGGGGCAAGAGAGACCGCGCGCGAGAGAGAGACGAGGACGAAACCAGAGAGATATTATATCTTTCCAGCTTGAGATTTCTGCTTTAATCTTCTTTATCATTTATAGAGAGGCGCGCGAGATTCACTCTCAACACTCAACCCCTCATCATCTCACCAGGGGTGGTCGATTTAACCCTTCTGCTTGACACTATCTCACGTGAAACTGGGCCCTATCACTTTCAATCTCCTTTGGACTGACAAGTTTATGCCACCTATAAATACTTAGATTTATCTCTATATGCTGTAATTGATAAAATGTATATTTATTAGAAAAATTAAAATAGAAATTGAGCAATAAAACAAGCTCGAAATATATATCCATGTTCATTATTCACCAGAAGACCTGCTTTGAGGTAGGAAAATTGATATTCCCAGCTTCTTCTTTTTCCTCTGGAATTAAAATGCATTGTTTTTGTGAATCTATATTATAAAGTTGTCAAATATGACGAAGTCAAAATTGAAAGACTACTTCAATCCACAAATCTTATTCCTTTTCATTCTCAAATCTCTTTAAATGTAAAATAGTTGGTAATAAACTTTTCCTGAACAAACGCTGAGCAACTATTTCGTCTTAATGCCAATATATAAAGGAATTTCACAGATTTTAAGTCTCAAAAGACGCACCACGAATTTGTGAGTGAATATTTAAACCTACACGTTTTTTATTCTCACAGTTAATCTGGATTTTTTCTCCATTAAGTATATTAATATCTGTTAATATTCTCAAATTCATTACCCCCTGCCAGAGTTGGTAGACAATTTTTGCAAATTTCTTGTGAATCAACATCTTGTAATAGATTTTTTTTCTTCCTCTCTCACAGATATTCACTCCACAGTTTTATTTGATAAATTTGAAATTAAAATACGTTAAATGATTTGCATGGATGAGACGAGATGAATTAGCATACAAGCTTAAATGTTCTAACGTGGGGAATCGCTGGTAGATCATAACCGACGGCATATGCATTTTTATGATAAGCGTCTCATTTCACTTTTAAAACAATCGAATATGCAGAAGGTGAGGTCTACAGAGGTGGCTGCAAACAAAGGCCGCCGTGTTGAGACGCACTCGAAGTTTGGGTGAGAACAAAAGAAGCATTTTGGTGAGAGAAAATACCCAGTAGTGCCACATTAGTCGCTCGAGAGGCGCACAGAAGAAAGAGATTAATTGCCCCTTCGTGTGAATGCAGACACTTGAGAGTGCACGTGAATAATTTTGTCATACAAACACATGGGCAGATACAATCAGTCACTTAATTTGGCCTTTTAATTTAATACCAGAATCAACTCGAGATAAGATAGTAATTTGCGAGATAACATTTTAACACATTTCACTCGCTCATATCCATCGAATGAGACAGGACAGGTAGGAGGAAATGAGCAGCATTAGATTGGACAGAAAAAACGCGCCCATCTATTCTTGTGGCATAGTGAGACTTTTGGGACATTTCGGCCACCCCAAGTGTTAGAACTAGGCAGCGTGGATATTAAATATCGAGGCAGGTATCAAACTTCATGGCAGGTATAAAAGTGGTGGCCGACCAATTATATTATCTGTTTTTGTCTCTGCGGGCGAGAGAGAAAGAAGAAGACTAAAAATAGGAATGGGTGTTCTCCGAATGAAATTTATTCAAAGCACGAGAGACAACGTAATCATGTGGCGTTTCTCTTGCCCTCGAGAGGGCAGCCACGGTGCAAGAAACTATTTCATAATATCCAACAAGTATTTCCTCAAATTGTCCGTACGCCGAGATATTACTCACATGCCATTCCAGTAATGCCGCATGTCACCTTATCGCGAACTATGGGAATAATTCGCGCAATTAAGTGCGTACGCAGTCAACAGAGGAAGCTGTGGCACTCTGCATGATATCCGAATTTATCGAGTATGCTGATGAAATATTGCGATATTCAACGGTCAGTTTGCTGCGAAGAAATCACACATATTGTAATCAATTAATAAGTGAATTAATGATTGATGTAGAAAAAATTACATGTTGATATTCAAATTAATGGAGAAAATCGTTCCCTCTGCCATTGACATAATACATATATGTATATTCTTCGATAGGAATCCCCAAAAAGTATGAGTGCAGATAAAAACTTTTAATTCCTTCTTGCATTATGTACTGACTTTTGGTAGAATCTCAATCACTGTAAGCTGCTTAAGCCACAACTGGTAATAAGTTCATTTTGCCCACGAAATTCTGTGTGTTGGAATTTCGCGAAAGAGTTTGTGAGTGACGATTACGAAGTGTGGACTTTCTTGAGGGAGTGCAGACTTGCGCAATAGTGCTTTTTTCTGTTGTAACTCACTTTGTCAGACTTGACATTGATTTCACCTTTAAGTTTGCCGGTATAAGTGAATCTCTTGGCAGTGAGTCGCCGGTACTCAAACATTTCAAACGCTCCAGGAGCTGCATTTAGTGAATTTCTCAGTCATTCTTGGTGCTTCCCACCACAAATTCGTCACAAGTGACTATTTATTGTGAGAGTGAACGTGAATTGGTCGAAGGTATCCCAGCTATTTCATTCTTGTCCCGCTAATTAACCATACGGTGCATGTGATTGGGAATAGTCTCTGCTGATATTTGGCCCTATTGGCATCCAATTAATGCTGGCACATGGTATTCGCTCTTTGTTCATCCGCACCCAATAAATTTTCTCATTGTACAAACAGAAGCATCGCCCATGCTTCGCTCTAAAATTCTCCATCTGCTCTCATTCTTAGCATATTCTGCTGTACTTGACTTTCATAGAAAGTGAAGCGGTGAAGGTCACTCAATTCTCCTCACATATGTACGTTATATGTTAACTCAGTCATAATTCTAATTTTACGTTCAGCCAGTGAAATTATATAGTGACGAAATTATACAGATCTACCGATATGCAAATCTAAATGAGCATGGGCGATAAAATAGACATCATTTACACAATTACATCACTATTTACATAAAAAAATACCACAATGAAGCTCTCTTTGCTCGCTAACGAGCCCCCATATTTTAAATGGCACTCTGGCATGTGAACTTGAAATTTATGAATTAGAGTCTTTATGCTTTTAATCCGTGAGTTCAAACGCACAATTTAATTTAATTGAACGGATTGCCAAATTCAAATTGAATGGCACACAATCCAAATAGAGAGAGAGAGAGAGCTTTCGAAAGTGGTTTCATGTTCGAGACATTCTTGTTTTTATGCTGGTACTGTGAGTTATAGTGAGTCAAAACAATTGAAAATATTTTACCGGTCTTGTACTGCCTTTCAGAGATACCAAAACAAATATCTTACTTTTATTATGCCGCAATTTATCACAAATACGCTTGCAAAAGGAACGGTGCTTTGGAATCGCAGTTTCACAGCTATTGAAAAATTTCAATGCTGACTGAAGCATAACGCAAAATTTTGGTCAGACCATAGAGGTAATACATTTCGAAATTTTCACCGATGAAATGTATGCTCTTTGGGGTAAAGCCAAATACATAGCAAACAAATCATATATTGTTACGATCCTTTCACTTTCATTTTCTTCATTCCTCTCCGTTTTTCTATTTGTCTGCTCCAAAATGCACTGCTATGAATTGGAAGAGGATGGATTTCGGGTAAATGATTAATACAATGGTTGTGGCACAAATGTCTCTTGCCATGAGAAATAGTTCGGTGAATAGTGAGAGAATTTCAACACCTTTTTTGTACCCCTTTCAGCACTGTCATCATGTCTGTGAAAGACCAATTAATGACCGAAGTCGCGGAGCCACTAAGTAGTTCCGGCAACAAGGTGACTATAGTGGGAATCGGTCAGGTGGGAATGGCCTGTGCCTTCAGCGTACTTACGCAGAGTGTCTCCAGTGAGGTTGTCCTCGTGGATGTAATGGAAGATAAATTGCGTGGAGAAATGTTGGATTTGCAACATGGTACGGCATTCATGAAAAATGCCCGCATAGACGCGAGTACAGGTAATGAGAATTTTGTGGGAAATTGCCATGTGTGCGCACTTTGATTTGGGCATACAAGGCACGGGAGAGGGAAGAGAGAAAGCCAAGAAGTGCATATGCCAATTTATTTACCGTGTGTCTCTCCGATAACTGAATCCAAATAGATTATTCCATTACGGCCGGATCACGATTGTGCGTCGTGACGGCGGGTGTACGTCAGCGAACTGGTGAAAGTCGCTTGGATTTGGTGCAGAGGAACACAGACATCTTCAAAGGCATCATACCAAAGCTCGTGGAGTACAGTCCCAATACCATCCTCCTGATTGTCTCCAATCCCGTCGACATACTGACATACGTGGCATGGAAGCTGAGCGGCCTCCCGAAAAACCGTGTCATCGGCTCGGGCACCAATTTGGATTCATCACGATTCCGTTTTCTGATGTCCCAGCGACTGGGTGTAGCCCCGACATCGTGTCACGGCTGGATTATAGGTGAACACGGTGACTCCTCTGTGCCTGTGTGGTCAGGAGTCAACATTGCCGGTGTTCGCCTGCGCGAGATTAATCCCAGCGTCGGACTTGAGGGTGATAAGGAGAATTGGATTGAGCTGCACAAGAAAGTCGTCGAGAGTGCCTACGAGGTGATTAAATTGAAGGGGTACACCTCATGGGCAATTGGACTGTCGGTCGCATCGCTGGCATCGGCACTTCTCCGCAACACCCACAACGTTCATGCCGTTTCGACTTTGGTCACGGTAGGAAATTCAATTGAATTTACAGAGGGCTAGTCATTCGGTGCACGCGAGTCACTTTTGAAATTAACTTGTCATGCCTGCAACAATACCTCCCGCCAATCAGTTTCAGCTCTTGACTCTTTTGTCCTCATAATTGAGCATCAAAAATGTAAAATGACATGGTTTCATTCTAATGACTGCCCCTCACTCGAGATCTGTTGCAAATTAAATTGATTCCCATTCCCGAATGCCTAACTGAAATCTCTCAATTTCTTTTCCAGGGCGAACATGGCGTAGATAAGGAAGTCTTTCTGTCTCTGCCGTGTGTTCTCGGCGCGACCGGAGTTAGTCACATTGTTCGTCAAATTCTAACCGACGACGAAACAAATCAACTTCAAAAGTCTGCCGAACTAATGAATGAGGTCCAAGCGGGCCTCAAATATTGATAAATTAAGGAATTTTCATACACGAAGAGAAAATGTATCGCTTCTAATCTTGTATCATTTGCATTTTTCCTAATGATGGCATTTTGTCAATATGTTGCGAATATCGACAATGAAGAATTCAAAATATACAGAATCTACCTCATGAGAGCGCGTTGAGAGTCGTATAATTGTTAAGTGACGTTGAAGATAAATATGTATTAAGTGGTTCTAAAATGGAATGTTCGATCACTATTGTGAATGTATTAAATTTGCACACATCATACATTATATTGAATGTTATGTAAAATTTACCGTTAGTGTGGTGTCTCTGCCGGGCGATGAAGATCCAAAATAAAAATTTCTATACCTCGAGGCGCTTCTCTTTCATTTTGTCTCCACTGCGATACAACGCGGTGGCATTGAGGTGGGTATTTTATGTGAGGAAAATGTCTTAATTGGCAACAGCGAATTAGTAACAATTGCAAGTAGATCTTCTGCATGGTTTCACAATCGTGCAGTAGATTTCCATTTTATGTTATCAGCACGATTGTCAGCTGTCCTGAGTCCTATATAAGTCAATACACTGCCTCTACTTCTCAACGTAGTTGAGGAACGAGCCGCAGCTATGTTGCGTTTGAGATTCGTTTTCGTGGCCGTTGCCACATACATGGCCCTAGCCAATGGCCTGGTCTTCGAGTGCCCATACTCTATCCAGTCCTACAACAACGAGGAGCTGCTGCGCTGTCTCCAGGACGGATGGGAGAGATTCTGTAAGTTAACTCGATCAGGAAATTAGACTCGGCAACTATTGTTAACGCAACCCTTTGTAGGCGAAGCCGATGTGGACACAACTGTTCTGAACTACTATCCATCAGTCGCCCTGCGTGACGTGAAAATCCTGCTCTTCGGCAAGGAGCACGTACACACTTACCACTTTGCCGATCTCTGCGATCTTTGCTCCAACCCTGACTTCCACCAGGGCCAGAAGACCGTTGTCTTTGTGTCCGGATTCCCACCCAGTGAGGATTACTCATCTGTTTCTCTGCTTTGGCAGCTGCGTCAAACCTACCATGACTGCAATCTCATTGCTGTTGATTTGGCAACATGCGTTGAGCAGACCTACAGCAGTTTGAATGCTAACTACGATCATCTCGCCACATCTGTGGCCAAATTGGTTCACTATTTGGTGGATCATTCATATGTGTTGGTTCAAGATCTCTACCTGGTTGGCTTCTCCATTGGTGCCCAGGTTGCCTCACACGCTGCTGCTATGCTGCGTGACGATTGTGATCTCCTCTTGTACCAACTTCTTCTGCTCGACCCATCGCTGACCTGCGACGGAGTTAACTACATCAACAAGGATTTGGCCAAGAAAGTCACGGCTCTGCACACCAACAGCGGTCACTACGGTGAGGCTGATGTCGATGTCCACGTGCAGCTCTTCCCCAATGGCAAAGTGCGTCTCCAACCATGCTGCAAGTCCAACGTCTGCTCTCACTACTTGTCCGTCGAACTCCTCGTGGAGGCTCTCTGCTATCCCAACAGGCTCCTCTTTGTCAACTGCAAGGACTGGAGTGCCTTCCAGAAGGGCAAATGCAACTACAAGGACGTTGTCGCACTGGATCTCGATGTCCCATCCACTGCCGAGGGTCTCTACTTCTGCGTCACTACAGAGCACTCTCCTTACGGTCTGGGCAATGCTGGTCTCAAGCCAGTCAAATAATTTTCTGCACCACTATAAAAACGTACACATTTCTGGGAAATAAAACTATGACATTTTCACCAGATTATTTTTTTCAATATCTGCTCACCATGGGTGTGTTTATCTTTAAACATAATAAAGCAAATCGAGTCACGAAATTTGGTGGGTATTGACTATCATTATGTGGCCTATTGTCAAGTGCATAGCATTTAGTGGTACACCCTCAGGGATTTTCAATATCACGCTGCACCTCCACGTTTGAGCAATCATAATCATTTAACACGGGATAAAAATTAATACAATGTGTTACTATGCAATATTTTCCGATTTTAGAAGTCTTGCCAAACACTGTTTATTATGGCTTGAGTATAAAAATTCTATTTCTTTGCTTCTATGTGTTATACATAGTTTTGGAGATAATTTTTGGCCGACCTTTTATCGAATTGAGACTCGAATCGCCACACCGTGATCATTCAGGTGAAATATCTCAGGTGTACTCGATAAATTACTGTAGTCAAGCCTCAGCATAACTCTAGCAGTTGCTATCGTACCTGCGAGCGCAACGCACACCTGAATACATGTAGCACGTTGAGTGGTGTTGGTCAGGTTGTCTGTCTGCCGTCGCATCCAAGTTGCTTGATTCTTGTTCTCGAATCAGTTCAGTTGGAGCCACATCGCGCGAACACGCAGTCAGTTGGAGCGCTCGCACTTTCCACTACCTCCAAGCCATTATCACAGTGAGGTTCAGTGATTAGAGACTTTTGGGCGAGCTGGTGCATTCCACGTGACAAAGTCCCCACGCACGGCCACATTGGCCAGAGGAGGGCTGCTCTCACCATTTCACCTTGTATCGCTTTTAGTGCTGTGATATTGGCGACTTCGGAGGTATTTTAATTCAACACAGCATCGCGTCGAGTGCAGATAATAGATTCAATATGTGAACAGACCTCGATAATTGAATGGAAAGAGTGAGTGAGAAAGAGGTGAAAAATATTGTCTCCACCTGTCTCTTGCCACATTTACTGTTTGAGAAGAACATCCAATATTGCCACTTTGTGCCACACAGGTGAAATGGATATGGAATTACAATAACTGCTGACAGTGCTCAAGTGCAAGAAGTTGGAGGAGAAAAAAAAATGCCCAAACCTCCTTGCTCAGTTTTGTAATTGGTGTGTTTGCATTGGGAGATTTATGGTTGCACTCACCGGACATTGATATTCATGTGACAGTGTCTCTCCTTTTTCCAATTCACTGTGGCTCTGGACCTCATGCGAAAGCTATTGTTAATTTCTAAATCACAAAAATACCTTGGAGTCGAGCTGTGTGTACATATTAAATGTGAAGAAATAAAAAGATAGTGCGCGAATGGACTTTAACAACGAATGCATAATTCTCGTTGAATATTTTAACACTATTTTGCACATAGATGTGCCTTGTGGTGTGTGCGTTTGCCAGATAAAGGTGTGCATTTCACATCAAATGAGTGTATGAAAGGCTGTAATTACCTTCTATATGTACATTGGATTGCATATCAATTCAATGCATACAGGTGAAGCGACCTGACTGATGCCAAGTCAATTCAATCACTTCAACGCCATGTTAATCTGGCCATTAATTGCCCATTCTCATTAGAACCGTGAATCAATAGGCTATTGAGAGAAAGAAAAAGTATCTATAGAGAATAGTCTGTGTGTTCCATTAATTAATGAGTGTATATATCGAGAGAATTACAAGGAATCGTGTGATACAAGTGAACCTGTTGCCTTTCAATATCATCGACCACCACCATGACAATTTCGTACACTAGCGAGGTACCAAATGGAAGTAGTTTTGGATGTTTTTGGCGAATTCTCAAGAAGTAAGTCTTATGCTGCGGTCACTACCCTCTCAAGAACGTCTCTCAAATTCTTTTTCACGGGTACTCTTTGCTCTCGACACATGCCAAAGGATTTTACGCGACACTCGAGCTTCATTCATTTGCAAAATTGCACTCACAATGCAGCTAGAGATGTGGTATCGCAACACGGAATCACATTTAATAATGGCTTCTTATAATGGGAATTTACGACTGTATATCATCAATGACGCTTTTGTTGTTAGAAAACAAGACAGGAGTGAGATTCCAAACTTCACGGAATACTTGGAATTCGACGAGATATTTGGGAAAGCTTTTCAAAATGCTAGGTCAGCTGCATTGTAATTGAAGATCACGCTATCGTGCGGTATGTCCGAAGATCCCTGAAAATACCCTTGTTACTATTTGGATGTGAAAACATTTCGTTTTCACACAGCTCTGTAACTAATTCAGAATATCTTCAACAAAGGTGTAGTTTTTTTTCTTAGCATACATCTAATCTATCAACAATTATTGTTTTACGTCATGCATAGCGTTCAGCTGCCGAAGATGTTTTGATTGTTTTTGTTAATGGGTATGATAAATGAAGTATATAAGAATATAAACTTAAATTTCGAAATAAATATCATACGTAGTTTCTAGAAACTGGACAATCGCACGATATCACATCTCGGGCAGCGTGACTAGCGAAGTAGGTACAATCAATAAGAAATATCCGTCCATTATTATATGCCGTACATAAATTCCAAGTCATTTGCAATTACCAGGTAATGTGAAGAAATGTATATTTCTGTGAAATACTTGCTACCACCGAACCTTTTCTGTGACTGGCGTTTTCTGCTGAAAATTCAATGCCACTTCGATATCACCAGTGGAGAATGGCAAATCTTCAATTAACGTGCAGCAAAAAATTATGGAGATATTCGCTGTTTTTTTTCACTATACAGACACTAAATATATCATTAGTGGAAATAGTTTTGCTTTTTGTGATGATATCAATCGTATTTGCTATTTTGAGGGAAGCACGTAAAGTTGATGGACAGTATTTCCGGAAATGTTCTTCATACACATGAAAACTGTATGAATTTCCATTCACAAACACTGTCATACCTCAGTAGATTATTCTAAGCGAGCAGTTCAAACATGCCGAGTGGATTGTATTGAAATTGAAAGAGGTAGCGAGCCAGCAAATTGATTCGCTTTTGAAATTTTCGTATTGTATCACGTATGAAAGCTGAATAGGCAAGAGTTGAATTTCAGTAATGGCTGTAGGGGGAGTGAAAAACTGTGACATGCACTAAGTAGAGCAGCGAAATTTCAATAAATTGTATTTCAGTAATGTCTCAACATTGCTGAATGGCGAGTGATCGTCAGCCTTGAATAAATTGTCTGATAAAGTGTAATTCATATGAAAAGCTCGAAGAGAAGCTCTCGAAGTTTGCACGGAAAATTTTACTGTTACTTGCGATCACCAATTACTCTTGAAAATGCTCTAGGAAAAACGATAGTGAGATAGATTACATGTTTACGTCCGATTAGATTGTCAGCTGTCCAAAAACCGACCTCAAAAAAGACTATTGAAGTCTTTCGTATGCTTTTTGCACATTGACCCACAACATCGTGCAAAACTTTATGTGAATTGCAAATTAATTTGAAATAAATCAGGGATTATAATAGCAATACTGGGACAAAAACACCTAAATTGCTTTTTATATTTCATACCACATTAGGTTAATGTAATTTAATCGTGAATGAAATACATAAACTCGCGGAGTTTTTGCTGGAAATTTCATCTGTGACTCGAAAAAAGAGAGATATTTATTGCCCCTTTTTCTATTTATATTTTCACTCTTACATAAAAATGGTTTCTGTTGAGAAATTTATAGCGGGAAATATTTTTTTTTGTATACCTAGTCAGTGCAATTTTTTGTACCACCACAAAAGCAATCAAACAATGCAAACTCTGCGAGAATAATAGGGGAAATTGTGACAATATCGGAGGCACAAAGGATGAGAAGTTCTTATCTCGGTTAAAGAATTTTGTTTTGCAGTTGGTAGAAAAATTCGCATTTGCAGAGAGCGTTTGTATGCAATAAATAAACATTCATTTAAATTTAAATTTATGCATTAGGGATCTTGAAATTAATAACACAGTTCTGATAGCTATTAATGTTCGGCATGATGGTGATTTGCTAGTTTGCAAAGAGTACCGAGGAAAATTGAGTTTCTTTATATATTATTAATTTTTTATCTTCTCACTGAGATTGAAATTGAAAATAAAGTGCGACTCTTATTTTCCACGTTCCAGATGGCGAGGCAGCGTGTACAAATTGGTGTGGCGTGAGTTACTTGCATATCTATCAATTTATTATGCAATTAATCTCCTGTATAGATTTGGTCTGAATGATGATCAGAAGAGGTAAATATGTTTCTGCTAAAATGTACAAATTATTTTGGGCGAAAAGTGAAAGGACTTTGCTTTTAAACTGCCATTAACCATGTTTTCTCCTAAAAATATTTATATGCTATGCTATACCTACTGCATGCCTGCGAGATTACTTACATTTCTCAGGAGGATGGCACAACAGTGATGACCTCACTGTTTGAAAAGACAGAGCTACTTGAGAAATAGACGCTTTCTCCAGTCATAACTATTATTGGTTCTTAATAATTTCAGCACGATGCGAAAAATTCAGGTGTACTTCTATCATAATTTTAGGTATGCCTCCCTCTTTAACGAAAAAGTCATATATTACATATATTTGGAGCACATTTTAGCCAATCTCCTCTAGATTTTGCTCAGTGTTGCCTTCTGAGGTGTAGAAAATGCATTTCATTTTGTGCACAGATTTGATAGATGTGAGTATATTTCACAAGTAGCTTAATGATGTCTTGTACTTTTCACCTGAAAATATTTTCGTTGATTAATAACATTTGCCACGCCACTGCAACAACACTATCTGGAATCCCATGACTAATGTTCATTTAATTAACTTCCAACTATGTTGGGGAGAATTTTCAACCTAATCCCATACAAAAGTGTGTTGTGTGCACTGAGACGAATTGAGGAAAACACTTTGCAAACTTGAGTGTGGTCAAGAAAACACAGTGTCGTGCCGAAAATATCAGCACACACTGCTGTCAAATGAGATTGTGCTCACTGAATGGCGGGAGGTGCAACTAAATTTGAGACACGACACTGAGCCAAGAAGCACTGTGGTTGATTCATATAAATAAGTGCACATTAAAATGTTGAAAAGCGACACAACCTGAATGTACATATGTTAATTGTCCACATTCATATTAACATTACTGTATCTCCATTATGTCATATTTATTCGTAATTAAATGCATTGCAAGCTCTATTGTCTGTGTTTCTCGATGCGCCATGTCGCACCGATGGTGGTGTTTAGCATATAATTGAGATAATTCTGTATAAATGTGTCATTGTAGGATATTTGAGAAAGTGCGACAGTACTTTGGAGCGCAGAGTGAGAGTATTCCAATGTCATTCGTACTGGGATTTTACGTGAGTCTCGTGGTGAAGCGATGGTGGGAGCAGTACAAATTGCTCCCCTGGCCCGACACTCTTGCACTCTTCATAAGTGCCGCCATTCCAGGAAATGCAAGTATTGCGGAATGCTTGGGAAATTCTCCCCCTTATTCACGAAGTCTCATTCTGATGCAGGCTGAGCATGGTCGAATAATGAGGCGGAATATCATGAGATATGCCTGCCTGGCGTATGTGATAACACTGCAGAGGATTTCGCTGAGGGTGAAGAGGAGATTTCCAACACTGCAGCACATCGTGGACGCTGGTCTGATGTTAGAGAGCGAGAAGAAGATCTTCGAGATTATGAACCAGAAGAGTCCCATGTCCAAGTACTGGATGCCACTGGTCTGGGCCACAAACATCATCAATCGCGCCCGCAAGGAGAGCTTCATCCAGTCAGATCACATCGTACAGACGCTCCTGGTTGAGCTGTCGGACATCAGAAGACGCCTGGGCGCTCTAATTGGATACGACACCGTCTGCGTGCCACTAGTCTATACCCAGGTATTAGCACTCTTTCTCTTGACACTTACCATTTGGGTTAGATTGGCAAATATCTCACCTCTTTCGCAGAAAATAAGATGATGAGTGAGGGAAAAACGCGTGTTTCGGTGGCATTGAATCGGCTAACAGATGATTGCTTTACAAAGTTATCAAACGTGGTACTCCCCAGCTCTCTCCCTCCACACTGTTTCATGGTGTTGTGTAATTTAATACCTGCTAACTCGTCTTGCCTAACTTTCTCACATTCATTATTTTGAATGGCAAGAGTCTCTATATATAGAAAATTAATCATGCGATTGTTATAATTCATGTACTAGTGACTCTGTCTTTGGGTCAAACCACAACCATTTGTAAAACGGAAAGCCATGCTATTAATTGAATTATCAAAGATGAGGTGTTGGATTAGACAAATTGATGTGCAGTTGCAGTGATGAGCATTTTTAATGATAAATTTGCACTTTTTCAAGGTCGTTACGCTCGTGCTGTACTCTTACTTCATAGCAGCCCTCATGGGACGTCAGATGGTGCCACACGTTGATGGATTTGTGGGAAAGTACGAAGATCCCGACCTGTATTTCCCACTCTTTACAGCTCTACAGGTAAATCATTGATTGCAATATTCGCTGATCGTTTTTGCGGTTATATTGCAAATTTGGGTTGTTTTCATAGGCACGTGTCACGTGCATGACTTTATGTATTCACAGTGCGTAGCATTTGAGGACTTTACTGTTAAAACCTAGGCAGACATCTTTCATGGAGGGAATTTTTATAATTTTGGCACTTTGTCATTCAGAAAGTCGTTAGGAAAGTACATAAAACTGAGAAAAACAATAGATATTCTGTTATATTTAGCAATATAGTCGCGTCGCTGGAAAATTTTCCAGGATTTGGTGATAATAGATATAACGAGATGTTCACATAAAACAAGAATGTACATATTTTGAAGCACCTATTAAGCTCCATTGTATCACATATCATAGAGTCAAGGTGTCTGTTCCTCAGTGAGTGTCAAATTAACTGTTCTCGACTCATTAATCTTCTAATGGACAGCTATTCGCGTATTAAAATGCCTCTTTAGCACTGTGAAGTGTGCAGAAAAATTTTTGGTAACATGAACAAAAAAAACCGACTCGAGTGATGGGCATTTTGTAACCTTTCCACTAAATACACTTTGTGGGTGATAAAAAATTGTATAATAAAATTTTTGCACGTTCTACCGATCATCACCTCTCAACGGAATACTAAGTCATTTCTCTTCGACCACTTATACCCCGCAATTAAAATTGCTCAGACGTAATAAATATTGTGCGGACCGTGAGGTTCTCCTTTTTTCTCCCAACGACAGCCACATATTGGCATTTTAATGGCAATTCTCAAAGTCTGACCAATGCTCTATATGCTGATTTTTTCTCATAGATAACATTTTCAGATCAGGTGATTGTCTGAAAGAAATTTCATTGTGGTTTTTCCCTGATATTTTTTGCAGTTTTGCTTCTACGTCGGCTGGCTGAAAGTTGCCGAAGTTTTAATTAATCCCTTTGGCGAGGATGACGATGACATTGAGCTGAACTGGTTGATCGATAGACACATCAAGGTAAATGAGAAATCGCCTTAAACATTTCTTGTCATCTCTCAAAATATGAGTTGTGAAAGGTGCCGAAAAAAGTCAACGTTTTTCTCTCAATATCAACTTCTGTGCAAACATTTCTGCGAAGCAATTAGTGAATTCAATTAAAATAATTTCTGCGTCATTATCTCTAATGATGTTCAATGGCTTTCTCAATTTAATGTGATTCATACGCTATTAATGAGCTATTTTGTGAATATTTAATGAAAACATACTCAATGTGGCACTGAAACTACTCGAAAATGACTTTATATTGTTCACACTAACGAGACTCTTGGTAAAAACCCCGAAAATGATGAAATGAAAGCGAAAGGAATAAAATCGAAAATAATATGCAAATACAATTCGTAAATTAAATACTTCTCTCGAACCTGCTGATGAAGCAAATCGATTGTATCCAACACGAATTGATAGAATCGAGAGATTTGACACAGAGAAAAAACATATCTCAGAATCTTCCAGCTGTGTTTTCGTCATGATCCCCAATAAAAAATATCTGCACGTGTTTTCCTAATCCCGAAATATATATAAATATTTATAGACTAATGTTTTGCTTCGCGTGAATTCACTCAGAACCCAATTTTTCTTCGGAAAATTGCTACATGGCGTTTTTGCTATAAGCTGCAGAATTTGAATCGACGTCACGTGTAAATAAAATCTGTCAATGTCAAAGTTGGAAATAGTTCAGATGGAAGATCGCGAAGTTCAACGCGAAGTGTGTTGAGTTTTTTCGCAGATCGCGTTTTTTTCGCTAATCAAGCTTTTTTGAAGTCATCCAAATAGCGACAAAAAGTTAAGAACGCGTGTGCGATTCTGTCGAAATGCCGACTTCAGGTTTAGGGTATAATAAAATTCTAATTTAAATAAGATCAAAACAAATTAAATAAACTTACCTTGTCACTCCACGATCTGTGTTTTATACACGTCTGTCACGACTGAAAAGAAAATTATTCATTTTATTTTCGACTTTTCTTTTTTATTTGCCTATTAAATTTCTTTTTACTATGAAGGTTGTTGAATTCTTGAAATAAGCAGAAGTGAGAATCAATTTGAAATTTTTGTATTTAATGAAAATTTTGTGATGAATCCATGTGGATAAACACGTTTTCATCACTCAATGTGCGTCTTATTTGTTTTATCTAAGGATTTCGCTGATATTCACGAGAATTCCACACAAATATTGAATTTATCTTTGAATACAACGTCGTATTTCTTATGTGATTTCTTATATTGTGCTAATATTTCGTGTGTTCAGAATTCCTCATAATTCTATTAAACAGATAGAGTGGTAAATGAGTAGAAAATCTAACAAGTTAAGGCATGATTTTGGTAATCAGCTGATTTTTACAGAAAATAGTGGCACTCTCTCTGTCTCCCACTCAATAAAGTAGTGTTAAAACAATTCTAGATTCAACTTTTCACATTGTTATCGAAAAAGCTGCTCGTAAAAGCTGAACAGCAATAAAAAAATGTAATGTGTTAACGTCAAGACTGAAAATAATGCTTGCATTGGAATTATGTGGCACAAATAAGAACAGTGTGCAATGTGTACTCAATTGCTAGGCATTCCATTAACTGAGATCGCAACTTGTTATTTTCCAGGCGTCTTACATGATTGTTGATGAAATGCACGAAGAGCATCCGGAGCTGCTCAAGGATCAGTACTGGGAGGAAGTGGTGCCCAAAGAGTTGCCCTATACTCAAGCCTCCGAACACTATCGTCGTCACGAACCGAAAGGATCGGCCGAAAATTACAAAGTCAAACCCCAAGATGCTCTCTATGCCAACATTGTGCCCTCCAAGAATCGTCACTTGCCCGACGATGTCTATGCAGACTACGAGAGCGTCGATACGCCCATGGTGGAGCGTCGAAAGAATTGGTTCACCCGTCAGATCACGAGGATGGGATCTGCAAGGAGCTCAAGTACAGCGTACTCCTCTGGCGGACTGGTGTCCAGAAATAGACACAATTCCGTGTATTCGAGTCCAGAAGCTGCCCTTGGACAGCAAATTCAGCAAGGTGCAGCTCCACCCCAGCAAAAGATGAGTTTCTACGACAAACTTGTGGGTAGAAAATCAGGTCGAAACAGTCGTCAGCTTATTAAACAAAGTAAGTACGATAAGAAAGCTTTGTACGCTTTCTGAGAAGTTATAAATTTTTTTCCTATAAATTTCTTTGTCGTCTTTCATCTCGGACGTGATTAAGGAACAAAAGTTACTTAATTACAAAACAGTGAACAATATTTTGGACACTAACTTTTTGATTCCTCCCTGGATTTTAAATACATTGACGGGAACTTTTTCACACTTGTGTCACAGGATGATTTGCCTATAATCCATCAATTTCCTGCTAGTGTAGTAAAATTGACTGTCTACGGATAAATCAATGGACCATGCGCAAACATGTGACTTTCAATTGACCACTGATTGGCGAATATCCGCTTAAATCTCTGACAGTGAACCGTGGCAAAAAAGGCGAACTGTGTGCAGAGGAAGATTTCACATTTATCATTACATGATCGCATTTGATGATTTTTACTATACTCAGCGTCTTTTTTTGCCAAAACAGTGATAAATTAAATCCATGACTACACATTGGAATTTTTCGTGCAATTCATTATTACTAAACCTGTTCCCATCCGCTAAAGGCATATGCTTTTTGGACTGTCTGAGAGACACAATCATTTGAATTCCAGTTGGGCAACATTTCTACATAGTACGCCGAAAAAATTTAGCATCACTTGACAAACAGCCTCTAATTAGTTTGGCGTAATCTCTTCCTGATCTTTTATCTTTTAGGTTCTAAGCTGAGTCTTAACGGTGTTGTTGCATCAAATGTACCCCTGAGGAACAGACCGCGCATCCCAACGCCTGATGTAACGAAAGAAGTGATGGACAGAGAGAATCGTCTCTCCTTTGCAATGACTCCAGCCTCATCTAACAATCAGACGTCGGTAGCATCAGGAGTGGCTATAATGGCTCAACAGGTTGCACTCTATTCTCAATGCAGTTGGAAAACAGATTTAATTAAACTTGTTTGCTACTATTTCAGCTTGCCACAACTCCATCGATGTATTCTCCGGCAATGAATTCTGATGTTCCTGTTTTCGGAACTCTTCTGCTCTCACCTATTAAGGAACAGGAAGCAGCCTCGGTTAATAACAGTCTCAAAACTAACAATATCGCAACAGCAGCTCTGGCCAAGTCCATTCTACCCTCGAATCTGCAACAATCAGGTTGGTATAGTCAGCCTGAAGACTGGGATGAAGGTGATTGATAGAGAAAAATGATAGCCTCAGATTTGCATGTTTTAGTCATTTCAGCAACATCTCCCTACAACAATACAAACGTGAGCAGTATACAAGAGATCACTGGATTAAGTCCTGACGATGATCCTAGCACGACTGAAGCGGCTCTTCCCACTGCCGTGGTCTTTCCCTCAAGTCTGGCTGTCGGCGATAATAATGTGACTTTGCCAAGAAGTCTCGCGAATAGCGCATCAAATATGACTATCACTGAACTGGTGGATGAAAAGGACAACGTTGATTCTACGTCTACAAGAGGCACCCTCTCCCGTGAGAGTAGCAATGCCACGACTAATTCAACGCATTCGGCCACGGACGCTTTCAGAAGAAGCATTAGGGGAATGTTCAAAACGCAGGATAGCATTCAGTCCGCGGGCAAGAAGTCAGACAGTAAGACTAAAGAAGTATATGTTTAGCTCAAGACAAGATTTGTATATAGAGCTTTAGTGGAACTTTTCCCTAAACAATATTTTATTATATCTATATGTAATAGGAATTTTCACAAATAAACAATGAAGTAAAATTATTCAAGTGATCAAATAGTCTTCCCATGGGTAGCTAATTAAGCCAAACAGGATCATTTATTATTCTCACACTTCTACTAATGACTTCAAGCATCCCATAGAAACAAAGGTAAAAACATTTTAGCAGATGACATGGAATATTTAATCAGTTAAACAAAATCTCATAACATATTTACTTTTCCATTTCTCATTCTTGTTATTGTCAAAACATTTCAAACTTCAAAGCCGATCATTATACCCATTTCTTTTCCAATGATTCTCAGAAAATCTGTCACTAAATTCCTATGAATTGGCGTTTTTTTTTTAGGTTGGAAAAACTTGTGTAGTCGGTTTTCTTATGCAAATGATCATCCCTGTAATTTCTCGTGCTTTGTATAATTGCTTCGTCACCCAATCAGTTGAATTGTATCAGTATTCATAACAATCGTATCTTTAGGTGGATCGTGCCATGGCAATTAGCGCTTATCATGATCTACCATCGTGTATTCCGGTAATTCTATTCAACTGGGAATATCCCATTGAGAGCAAAACTCGCGGAACTTTTTCTCCCCCAAGTGATGTACAGTCATGCAAGAGAGGTGACTTCAAGAAGCTCTCACATCTGACTCACTGGCTTCTAACTAACTGAAATACACTTTTAATGCAAAGTTCATTGAGGTGGTTTTCCGGCAGTAAAAAGTAGAACGGACCTTGTGAATCACAAAAATGGGCAAATCTCAATTTCACTCTTTACAGATGGTCCAATTATCATAGTTTAAATCTATTTCAATAAAAAGAGGCTGCGTAAAATCAGAGGTCGACGTTTTCCAGCGAATAATTCAGCTAATGTGCTTATTTCCGTTTCTTCTGTGTCGCATTTTCACAGTTAAACAGCCGTTCAATCGGGAATTCAAACACAGTTAAGAGACTCGAGTCTCCGCTAAGCAGAACTCTTAGTGTTAAGAGACACCTTTTCTGTGGCATCAAAGTTGTCCGTAAACTTGTTTTCACACCAGAATCCATCGATCTCTGGTGGAGTTAGTGAAATTCCATAAACAACATGAAATATCCGCAATTTGTGGCCACATTTCGTCCATGCAATTGCCACGTCAGGTTAATTATTCAATTAACTTTTAAATAGCCAATAGAACAAGATATCTTTGCGGGGGGAATTGTCTGAAGCGGAGTAACCGAGACCAATAATTTTACTCATTCGTGTGTCTCGATGTTTGTTTTAAGGCATAGAATTGCGGGAACGACATACGAGAAAATGCAGAAAATATTGCCATTTTCACGTGAGACAGCACTTTATTGGTCACTGTCACTTTGGATTTCATTTATGAGATGGAGAAAGAAAAAGATCAGCCCGATAGAGTGAGTTATCGGTGTTAGATAAAGTAAAAGGGTGGAGTCGCTGGTCGTTGTCCTTACTCTACATTCAAATTCAATGTCTTCGCGACCACATCAATAATTTTTCAGCAATTATTTCTTACATAATATTGCGTGCATTTAAACTTTAAAGACAGATAACCACCTTTGCAAAAAGCAGCACGTTGAGAATAGATGTTTTCTCAAAGACTCATTGAATTTTCCAACGAGACGTGCCAAAACATTCACTGATATTGCCATGAAAGTTGATTGGCATTTTGCAGATTAAATTGTGGCTTTATGCGATCGTTTATTTTATTGTTGCACTCTGCAAAAAAGTTCCATGCAAGATGACTAAATCAATGTTCTGCAGTCGCAGACAAATGGGTGCATGAAATGTGCATATTGTGAGAAATTGAGCGACTCGAGCCAGCATGTGGTTTTCTCTAATTGAACACAAGACTTGCCCCTTTTTGTCGCCAATCTCAATTGGACTCTTGTGCACTATTATTCCCTGTATTATTTATTATTATTGGTGTAACCAAAAAAAAGTGCATAAAACACCGCGCGGTCCAGTCTCTCAGCTTCAAAGTGCATGAACATGAGGTGGTTCTGTTTGTTAGATTGAGAAAACTGATAAAGTCATAGATTTTTGATAAAAGAAGTGAGGCAAGTTTCAATTTTAGAATCGATAACTAGGGAAAGCCTCAGCCTAATGTCATTAGTAACAAGGTTCTGCAGAAGTAATTGAATTTAACCACAGTTATATTGTAAATTATTGTAGTAATCACAATCAAAATACCTAAATTCAATAAATTCACTATAGAAAAAGAAACTCCTAATTGCTCCTAATTCAGTGAAACGTGATACACTCCACTCTTATCGTACGATTAATCTACAGAGAACTTCTCTTGATGCCAACAACTCAGATGCCGATTAAGAATAATGGATAAACTGGAGGTATACTGCATTTTGATTTAGTGAAAGTATAATTTGATATTTTGTGCGTTGCGTGCCGCTATTTCACTCCATATAAATTAGGCATTAAGCCATAGTTGCAGAAAAAGGCACTTTGGGGTGAGAACTGTCCGTTTGTTGGCTCACAAGTGTCACTCTACGGACGGAGGAAATGACGCCCAAGATTTTCGTTTATGCAATATTGTGCAACATGCATTTCGGGGTCACATTTTCGTTTGCAGAAGACCTTCACCCGAACTCTTTCGCTTCTGTTTGCTGGTTCTTGACTCTTGCGACTCTTTCGCCGCGAAATTGGCGGCTTCTCGTCTACCTGGGCGATCAGGCGTGAAGCTCACACTCCGTTGAAATGCGATTCAGGGTCCATCGAATACGCACAGAAACCAGTTGGGAATATTTTCGGAGTGCTCTCGCGAAAACACCACCTTTTCTGCTAATTGTCTTTCCTCTTAATTACCCGAGATCAACTCGCATGACATGTCACTTTGTCATATCATAATAGTTTTTATTAATGGTACTCCTGCGGACGGTAGTGTGGCGGAGATAAATGCTAAGCGGAACCCACATTCTATTCCCATGGCGTGCAATTTTTCAATCAGCGAAAAATTATAAAGCCAGCGCTCACTAAGCCGCCATCAATCTCTCGGCTCTCTGATAGCAACATGTCTATCTGTCCTACCAGTTCTTTGTTGCTGCTGCTCGAAATTCAGCAAATCCGCGCCTCAATGTGTGTTGACTTGGCGAAAGTCAGGAGGGAGGCGAATCGATTGAGAAAAAACGCCGGTATATACGATTGTGTCACCATTGGACCAGCCCATAAGTCCACTTTTAGCAAAAACCATGGTCAGAATGAAACACTTGCACTTGCCGACCGGCTACAATTAAAGTGCAGAATCATTTCACTTAATCGCCGTCGAGGATTTTCAAGGCGATCAAGAGCATTTTTCGGAAAAGCCATTGATCTTTTCACTACCAAAACAATAGGGGCAATTTCAGCGAAATAATTTCACATCTTTAAGATACCATTTTATGATTGCTCTCATCGTAAATGCCAACAGTTTAATGTTAATCGCTAAGTGCACAGATCAGTTCAGCTTACTTTACGTGCTCTTTATGGTATATTAATCTTTATTCAACATTATAGTTCAAGTTTTTATTGATCTTGATAATAAATTTACTGAATTTCGGGAAACTCCTTCAATTCCTTCGGCTCGATTTATTTCTAAATTAGTGGGAAATATTCAAGACTAGTTACAGTTACCATAATATCTTCTTTCTGTGTTGAATTTCATCAATTAGATATTGTGTAAGAATATTGCTCTGAGGCTTGTCAACTGATACGATGAAAGTTTATATACTAAACTTGGTGCTTCGGCTGCGATTTTATCAATATGTTTTACCGACCAAACACACTATGGCCAGCTCAATGGCGCTCTCGATCGCCACCAAAAACTTGTCTTCGTAATTACCTAGACGGAATCAATAAATATATCACTAGCAGTTCAGCAAGAAACTGCAATTACTAATTAATAGTGCGCCATTCATTTCTCAGACTGCATTTTTGTCACTCGAGATGGTCTTCGCGCGTGAATGCCACGTGGAGGGTGTCTCAATGAGGCACTTTAATTACCCTCTGGACTCTCATCAATGCCCGGATGCTGGGCAGTTCTGCATCTCGTCAGACGGCCAGTGCTCTTGAATTGAATGAGATGACCCATTTTTCTGCCCTTCCACACAGTCCTTGCACTCAATCTTGGTCAAGTTTGTCCTTATACTCAATCACCCTCATGGCATTCAGAAGAGATTTCTTTCTTCAGCCACTTTCCCAGGCGACTGCACCATCAAAAGACCGACGACTCACCCACAGAAGGTGAAATGAAGCAATTACCTCTACAATAGCGCACAGTGCACCATACATTATCTTCTGTTGGCAGCGCTGTAATTACTATTATACATAATCGTGTGTTTAATTTAATCGGTGTCCCATATATTGAACTCACAGAAGGCAATTAGTCTTTCTTTGCGAAGGAGACATTCAAAAAGAAAAAAAAGCGCGGCGCGATGGTAAAAAAAAGAGTGGCGGCAAACACTTTACTCTAAATTCAATGCAAAATCTCGTTAGAGATTCATTAATTCAGAGCCTCTCATGTGTGATTATATTTTCAACGATTATGAAATTGCAAGACGCGAACATTGCAAATTTTTCAATTTTCAATACCCATGAGACAAGTATTGTAACGCCCATCTCGCGGGGAATTCATTATTATTTAAATAAATTTTTCGCTCTAGTCCCTGTCTCACTCTCTCTCTCTCTCTCACTCTCTCGCCATGCTTGAAAATTTTCATATGCAAAATTGCCCATAAATTGTGAGGAGAGATATCTCACAACTTCTATGAGGCGATTATTGCTAAATGTCGCTGCAAGAAAGACACCTCAAAATATTCAATCTATGCAAGGCTCTACATGATTCACTATTATTCAAATTGATTACTTTATAATTTAGAACCCAATTACATTCATTGCACCTTTGGTGCGTTCTCGATTCTGAACTACAGCATGAAAAAACTGGGAAAATTTACCTCGAGACACAGACATGGACTAGAAGTTATGCACAAAGTCTTCTAAGCACTTTTCATTAGAATTAAGACAACATTATAGCAACTTAAAAAGAGATTTAGTTTATGGGCAGTTGAACACCGTTTTGAGAAAATGAGGCAATTTTTAACACTTTATTGAGATGAAATAAATTTCCTATTGCTGATGGTATTTTTTGATTCAAAGTGAAAAAAAAGCTCATGCAGAGAATATTTATAGTTCTTGGAATTATTTTTGAATGAAGCAGAAAGATCATTTCATCTTCTTAAAACTATTCTAAATACGTCAATATTACCTTCAAAATTACCTTCAAACAACAGCTCAATTAGCAATAATGCGGCACTTCTCTCCACAGTGGATCACATCTTCATTCTACCGTGAGATTTAAATATAGTCACTACTTCCAGCCATACCGGCATCCGGAATGCGAACGCAAGACAATAAGTCGTGCGAGTGCAGTTGTATAGCCCACCTCTGTGTTCGTTATGGCATTCTGCATATCTTAATTGAGTTCAACAATCCGTCAGCCAGCAATTAATGCATATAATCCACGAATAAATGTCAAGTATGCTCTGCATGGCACTTTGCACTCTTATCACGGGTGATTTGGGCGGCGGGGGAAGACCTCGCGACTTTCCCTTTCATCTCTCCACCCAGTCGTTCTCGGGCGGTGCAAGAGCTGCATTGCTCTACGCATATCATAAATCTCTGCGGCGCAGCGAGACCATGTCTGGGCACTTCACACAGGTGCAAAAAGTGCCTGAAAATTGTCATAAGCTGGATCATACACTTGATCTCCCACTCGTGAACTTCCATCTCTCCGGCGTGGCAATACAGACGCAGCACCATGGCGAGAGCCATGTGGTAAAGGGAAAATGACATAATTTCGGATCTGCGTGCAATTTTGCCGGATTGCAATATAAAAGGCCCCGATTGATCGGAACGCCACACAGTTTTCTCAGCACCTTCTATCAGCAACTATCCATTCTCTTAGAAGTATCCGCAACCACAATGTTCAGGGTATGTTGAAAGTGCAACGAAGCAGTGGATTCAGTGTTCAGTGATAACCGCCAGTGATGCCCTAATCACTTGTGTGATCTATCCCCCCAGATTGTGCTTCTCTTCGCCGCCGTGGCTCTCGCCCAGGCCATCGTCCCCGTCCCAGCCGCCTACCCAGCCTACGGTGGACACGGACTCGTGACCCCCGCCGTTACGAGCCAGCACTCCAACATCCTCAGGTCATACGGAAACTTGGGACAGGTTCGCACCCTAGAGATCCCAAAACGCAAGTCCCTTGCTAATTGCCAGTCTCTCGTTGCCAGATCTCCACCTATTCCAAGACCATCGACACACCCTACTCCTCAGTGAGCAAGTCTGATGTTCGTGTGAGCAATCCTGGCTACGCTGTGGCTGCCCATGCCGCCTACCCGGCCGCCTACCACTCTCCCCTCGCCCACACCTATGCCGCTCCCCTGGCCCACGCCGCCTACGCTCCCGCTGTCGCCCACGCTGCCTACGCCCCTGCCGTCGCCCATGCCGCCTACGCCCCTGCCGTCGCCCATCATGCCTACGCCCCTGCCGTCGCTCATGCCGCTTACGCTCACGCTCCCGTCGTGGCTAAGGGTAATTCCTTCCACCTAGTCGAACCACTTCATCTCAAACTAACTCATCTGTCTTCCTTGCAGCCGTCGCCCCAGCTGGCGGACTCCTCGGAGTCGCCTACTCCGCCGCTCCCGCTGTCGCCCACATGAGCTACTCCAGCGGTCTGGGCTACAACTACGCTTGGTAAACGCACCGAGTCTGCCTCGAAGGACCCCCGAAGCACAGCACACGACCTTACAGCCCCTCTTGTAAATACTCTATCTGACTCCTGTCCGAAACACCTCTGTATTTATTACCTCTCAATTCTCAATCTTGCGGCCTGCAGTCTTTATACGATAATAATTTATTTGAATAAAGTTTAGTTACAAAAAAGCGCGGACTTTGAACTTGTTAAGAAATTGTGGCGAAAAGTTAGAGGTTGATTTGAAATAAAGGCTTTTTGAAGATATATGTTGAATGTTTTCTAAAGGATGGACTTCACCAGGAGGGATTATCAATTAGCCGTCTGTTCTTGATAGAATATGGAAAATTGGCATTTTTTGTTGTAAAATTTATGCACCAACGGTCAGCATCAGCATGTGATGCCCTTCTAATTTGAAAAACCAACAATCGAGGGGTCCCAAAGATGATTCTATTGAATGCTCACCGGCACCGAATTACTTTTCTGGAGTTTATTGACTGTAATATACCTTATTACATGTTCTTGTCGATCGCACAGGTCTCGACGGGGATCCCGATGAGCACACCGCTTACAACTTTAGCTTCGTGCGCCTCCAGTGACGCCTCTTAGCGTTGTACCTGCAATCCGGGAAACAAAGAGAGGTTATGTTTACAGTTCACCACATCACAACCAAAAACACGTATTTTTTGCGCAAATTGCACTGCGATTCTATCAGACATGAAGAAAACGAAGGTTCTGGGAGGAGTTCTACTCACCGGATAGTGTTTCCAGTCCTCATCCGGATCCAATGCGGAATCGGTCTGTTTTGCTTCAGCTTCTTAGCCAATTTTTGCTTCACCCTGAAGGTTTTATGCGCCGCCTGCAAAATATAACAACAATTAACGATATATTGACATGTCGACCGTAGGATTATGGAAGAATTTCACAAATAAATCGAGAGATGACTAGAATTTTTGCAGAAAAATAAAATCGTACCATCTTTCCTCAGGAAATCTTGACGAAAAGAGAGAGAAACGTCAAACCACGAAGCACAGCCCAACGAAAAAATGTTGTCCCAAAATTTTGCCACCTCGCGGGAAAAAATAGCAACAGAGAGTCTATGTTTTGTCAGCTGACTGACGTTTTTATTGTGTTCTGCAAGTTTTCCTCTCTCTAATTTCCTCGAAATCATGAAAAATACATGATAGTAGATCTGTTTGGACGCTGGTACAGTTGATAAGACAGAGTCATGGATGAGATCGACAACATTATCATACATTCTCTTCGACAAATCGGATGGTTGGTGCTCAATGGCGATATCCGGTCATTTTGCAGTCCTCAATTGATTCTGCCTTCTCTTTCACAGTGATATCGACGAGGAGATTTACTCCCTGTCCTCATTCACGCCCGAGATGTTGGTATCGTCCGTCTCAAAGTGTCTCACCCTCATCAGGCCGACGCTGGAAGTGCCCCAATCGCTCCCGCCCGGAATGGCTCAGCGGTTCGGTGTCACGACGAATCTCGCGGAGGCCTGCAAGGTTCGTTGGCTTTGGACTGGGCGTTTGCGTTCACTAGCTGATAATGGCTTCTTCATTCACAGAGTGTAGGATTTCGCGGTGATATCGGTTATCAGACGTTTTTGTACACAAATGTAACTGAAGTTAGGCGAGTGTTTATGTTTCTCATCGAGCATCTGCCCAAGGAAGCGGAAAAGGCGCAAGCCAACCAGTCACTTGGTGAGTAATTCATCCTAGTCGTGCTGAAATAGGGGTAATTGTCTAATTTATGAAACTCTTTGCAGATTATCCCTCTTCTGTGAAGCAAGAGATTGCGAGGAATATTCAACAGAATCTCAGCGCACGCTGGCTTCCGCCACCATGCAGAATCTTGCTTCAAGAGAGAAACACTTTCTCTCCGAGATATCTAAACATTCCTTGGGGTGAGTTGGAGGATAATCAGGAGCACAAAAATAGTGAAAAGCCTCTAACGGAGGAAGCTTTTGTGAGTCTGTTTGACCAGACGTCTTCTGAGACACTCTTTCCTTCGGTGATTGCCAAGAACGACGAGGAACTGTTTGTTGATCAGGGAATCGCTCTGTCAAGAGTTCTCGATTGGCAGAAAGAACCGCTTATCAATCGAAATGCAATATCTGAAGTTCAGGAGCTTCACAATTCAGTATCAGCCACGGAAGAAGTTGGAGAGATCGTGAAAAACAATACTCTGAAAGTGAGAACGCCACTGGAGTCTCTTCAGGAAGAGATTGAGGAGCTCAGGCGGAGGATTGAAGAATCTGTGGGTGAGCGACAAGGGATCCTCGAAGAGATTGAGGGCAGTAAAAGCACAATTTCCCAACACGAAGAGAGATTGTCGGGTCTCAGGAAGGAGAAGCGCATCCGCGAGAGGACTAACATTGTTCTTGAGAATCCAGAGGAGAATGTGGCCAAATTGGAAGCCATGGTGGCCAATTCGAAAGAGAAATTGAAAAAGTTGGAGCTGCAGTGGCAGGAACACGAGGCTCCGCTTCTGGAAGCGCTCAATAGTGCTCAAAAGAAGAACTCTAAAGAAATGGTAATAAAAATCCTTGATTTCTGGCAGTTTCCTATGATTTGCTAATATTTTTTTCTGTTTGCTCTTTCAGTCCAAGACAAAGCATTTAGTGGATCAGATCACTTCGATTCGGAAGAAAGCCGAAGAGATTACTCTGGAGTTCAAGCAGAAGAGCTCAACGCATTCCCAGTTAACGGCCGAACTGGCCAAACTCAGTAGAACTATTAATCGCAATGCATACACGTCGCGCATCCTGGAGATTATCGGCAATATTCGGAAGCAGAAGAACGACATCGACAGAGTGTTGAGGGACACCAGAGAGCTGCAGAAGACGATCAACACGGTGACTGGACAGCTGGACAGGCAGTTCACCGTGACGGACGATCTTATCTATCGCACGGCGAAGCGGGACGAAAACTCACGGAAGGCCTATAAACTCCTGGCCACTCTTCATGCAGACTGTGCCGAACTAATCAATTACGTCCAGGAGACCGGAGCCACAGCTCGTGAGATACGCGATCTGGAGGATCAGATAGAAACGGAGAAGATGCGAAATGTGTCAGCGAATTTAGAGCGAATAACATCAGATCTGCATCAGATGCAGAAGGAGAGCCAAGTGTTAGAGGAGAAGCTGCGTTCCGCCCTTCAGAATGAGGAATCAGGGGAGTGAGACCTGCATTGTTTTTGCCGACTGTTTAATTTAATACAAATCTGGAAGAATCCAACTAGACAAACTACCTGACTATCAGTTTTTCACGATCTCAGGAGGAACGTAGTTCACGTCCTGGACGCGAGGCTTCTTCTTCTTGCCGAACCACCTCTTGGGATAGAATTTCCTCTTCTTCTCGATCTGCAGATCGATCTGGTCTTCGTTCTCGAAGAACCATAGCTTTTGCTCCTCCGTCTCCATGTCTTTGGTCATCTTCTCGATGTCCTTCACGGTTTGTGCTCGACGCAGTCTCAGAAGTTCCTCATTCAGGCGATCTTCTCGCTCTTGACACCACTTTTCGTAGATCTGAGGAAAAATTAATTGAATTAATTTACACATTGCACTATTAAAGTCTCTTATCTTACCTGATGTTGAGACGCAATGTCTTCCTTTTCACACTTGGCGATCGCATGAGACAGCATCTTCAAGATTTCCTCCTCGAATTTAGCCTCATTCGCCTTTAACTTCGACTTTTTAGCTTCAAGAGCTACAATGAACTCCTGCAAGCCTTTCTTTTCTTCGGGTGTCTCAATTCCCTTCAAGGTGTCCAAACTCTTTGCCAAGACTTCTGAGTAAACTTCTTCGCCATCCTTGAGATTGTTCACAAAATTCGTCCCTTCTTCGAATTTCCCGAAGAGAGACAGTCCAAGGATCTGTATGCTTCTTCCCACAGCATTGGGAAGATTCAATCCCAAGTAGTATAGAGTTTTCCCCACTAAATGCTGATGATCTCTCAAGTCAAAGTGATCGTCGAAGAAAGCATTCCTCAAATATTTCACACGGATTCTCACTTCTTCAGGTTTCTTCTTCCGTTTCTTTTCTCCCTCAGCGGGAGCTATCTCTGCTTCTTCGCTCTTCTCAAAAGGCTCTGGATTCTCCAGGTATTTCCAGCAGCCGAGCAGAGAAAGGGATTTCGTGATGTCATTGCCAAAATCCTCCTGAAGCATCAACATGGAAGCCACTTTTGCGGCAAATGTAAAGTTCTGCGCCTCTATGAAAGTGTCCAGTGCGAGATTGGCCGAAAAATTATCCAGGAATATGCCAAAATTAAGAGGATCATTGAGAATCTGCAGCAACTCTTCGTACTTCCTCAGGGAAATCAAGTTCCGGACGACTGCGTGGTGAGTTGAATCCATCGTGTTGGAGGTTTCCTCAGACATCCGCAATTTGTGCAGTATATCAAACAGTTCATCGATATGTTCCTCATTCTGTAGCTTATTGCAGCAAATATCAATGTCGATGCTGCTGAATTTGCCATGTTGCTGATACTTTTGATCCAATTCAAAGAGATAATTCTCGAATTCGATCTTCTCCAGAATCGGTGTCTTCAACCGCGCATTCCAGGCTTCTGAACACTGATAGGCTTGTGAGAGGTAAGTTCTTGTGCACATTTTGTGCAAGTGCTGTAGACTTCTGAGCTGTTTCCACATATTTGAAACGGGAAAGAGAGAAAAACCACCGGAAAATGCACCTTTTGTTGTTCTCTATTTAGGTTATCTCACAAATTCACTTTGCTATTTCGCCGCGAGAGTGTGCTGAATGTCTTCGTTAAGTTTCCGCACGTGACTCTTCGGGCGACTTCGTACAGACATCGGGTCGCTGGAGAATTGCGCCAATTGCGCCACTCTGCGGCGACGCAGCAAATCAGTGTGTCCGGTCGCGAAGAAACGAGGCGTTTTGTGGTGGTGGAAAATTTCCATTAAATTAAATAGAAATACCCCTCAATTGACTACCATACCGTATAAAGAGGCAAGTTTGATCGAACGGCAGTGCAATGAGTTCGGAACCAGCAACGAAGAAAGCCAAAATGACGTGCCTCGATCAACTCAAGTCGATGACCGTGATTGTGGCGGACACTGGAGATTTTGAAGGTAATTCTCTCACTCTATTTTCCATCAACTCTCACGCGCTGATTATCGCCTCTGTGCTCGCTACTCACTCACCACCTGAACTAACAAAGTGTCGCTGTGAGGTGAACGGCCCACACATTGCGCAACAGCCCCGAAAAAGAAGATGCTGTGAATTTGCCGGTGAAATCTCTCCGGGTGAGATTTCAAGGACTTCCTGGGTGGCGAATTTATTGACTTTTCGATGAAGTAATGTGGCTAAAAATTGTTCACAAAATGTGCAATTCACCGACCAAGGTGACCCCGCGAGTCAGTGTTTATCAATTCACTTGCGCGCCCCAGTTTTGCGGTGCTTTGCAGCCTTTCACTCACCAACTGAGCTTCTCAAGACCTCCCGAGGCGCTCTTTGCCGTGCTGGAGCGCCCTTGGGGTGTCTCTTGACCGTGACTGTGCTCTCTATTAATTGTCCAATCGGCGCGAATTTTTCCTCCCGTAATCGCACGTTTGGCGATAACACGTCGGCTGATAACGAGGTGACTTGGAAATGTCTTCCCGGAATCACTGAACATTTTATCATGAAAGATTCATCGGCCAGATTCTCCGCAATCTGAATAATTCATTGTAATTCAGGTAATCCAGAAGGATTTTTCCACTCTACGAAAATCTTCGACAAAGTCTCAAAATTGGATTTTCGTGATAACACGGAAAGTCACTCATAAGAATCGAACAAGAACTAGATTTCATATTTTTACTACTCCTCAAAGTGCTGAGAAATAAAAGGGATTTACCGTTAACTTGCGGTCACATTTTCATTTGAATTGTTCTCTGGTAATAATCTGCCCAGCAACAACCAAATCGTCGCTTTGGAAGATGTAATGAAAGCAATTCAGAAGATCATGTGACAGTTTTTCTTGTTGCTTTTCAGCCTATACAAATTAATAATCAATCGTTTGATACATGGTAAAATTCGATTGATATTCGCTCTAAGTCGAGGAGCAGTTTTAAGATAAATTTGATGAAAAATACAACAAATAAGTGGTTTTATTGTTCCAAAAATAGCAAGAGGAATTGCTTTAAAATATGTTTACATCCGGTCGTTTGCTTGACAAAAAAAAACACTGTTTTTTGCAGAAATATAATTTTAGCAATATGAAACAAGAGCGACTGAATATGACAAAATTGCTTGACACGCAGAGTTAATTTGTTCTCGTTTGTATTCCATAAATCCATGCAAAGCATTTCTTTATCATTTTCTCACATTTATTTGATCTCATTTTATGGGAAATTCCATGTAAAATGCACTCTCTTTTGCAAAAGCGTGTCATAAGCCGATTTTGATGATAACGGAGGTAAACACAAAATTGCTACACACCCATTCGTATTCTGAACTGTAGAATTAATTAAATGTGCTTCGACCTTCGCTGTTGCGTGGATATTTCGAGCAAATCAGGCACTTTTACTGAAAGTTTTCATTGCATCTGTTGAGTTATTTACTTGCCTTATGTGCTTTGCGGAAAATAAGCTTCGAGCTGTGTAAACTAACCGGCGGAGCGCGCTTTGCTGATAAAATGCGCCCTCCAGGGTCACAGAGCGCTGTTGAACTGATTTATGCACTTGTATTGCAGCCATGAAGGCTTACAAGCCCACCGATGCCACCACAAATCCTTCGTTGATCCTGTCGGCCGCCGGCATGGATCAGTATCAGCACCTGATTGACAAGGCGGTGAAGAGGGCGTCGGAGAGCGGAGGGAGTCAGGATGAGAAGGTGGCTGAAGCCATGGATGTGCTCTGCGTGCTGTTCGGTTGCGAGATCCTGAAGATCATCCCAGGGAGAGTGTCGACCGAGGTTGACGCTAGGCTGTCCTTTGACCGTGACGCCAGCGTGGCCAAGGCTCTGAAGCTGATCAAGCTGTACGAAGAGCAAGGAATCGACAAGAAGAGGATCCTGATTAAGCTTGCTTCCACTTGGGAGGGCATCCAGGCAGCCAAGTGAGTTCTTCTTTGTACATTGCAATGTTACTGAAACTGATAGAGATATTGTGTTGCAGGATTTTGGAGGAAGAACACGGTGTGCAGTGCAACCTGACCCTGCTTTTCTCCTTTTGCCAGGCTGTTGCCTGCGCTGAGGCCGGCGTGACTCTAATCTCACCCTTTGTGGGCAGAATTCTGGACTGGTACGTCGCGAACACGGAGAACAAGTCGTATCCGGCAGAAAAAGACCCTGGCGTCGTGTCAGTGACCAAGATCTACAACTACTACAAGAAGTTCGGCTACAAGACCGTCGTCATGGGCGCTTCGTTTAGGAATGTTGGCGAAATCAAGGCTCTGGCTGGCTGTGATTTGCTGACCATCAGTCCCAAGTTGCTTGGAGAGCTGGGCGCCAGCACAGATGCTGTGCCGCGAAAGCTCAATCTCGACTCTGCCAAGGAGGCGACACTGGAGCAGGTGTTCCTCGATGAGGCCTCATTCCGGTGGATGCTGAATGAGGATCAAATGGCCACGGAAAAACTGTCTGAAGGCATCAGAAAGTTCGCCGTGGACTCGCGTAAGTTGGAAACCATGTTGAGGAACTTGCTCCACGCATCGAAGTGAGGAGAGTTCAAATTTGAAGGAATTACACGTTCTTTTGGGGTTTTTGATGGTCATTCTGTTTTATAATCCTTGATCTGTTTTATACCACTTAATAAAAAGTTCTTATTGCCATAATTAAATACTACTCATCTGTCGGCGGCCACTTGCTCGATACTTCCATGGAAGCTTTACTCGGGAGCCACTGCTGATACTCACTGAGAAGATCTGTTGAGTGGAGAGATTAAAATTGCATTAAACATCTCATCATATTTCCACTAAAGCACCTTACATTTTGGATCCTTTTGCCAAATTTCCATCAATTTGGGCTTCGAAGTTATTTGTCGGTTCACCAGAGCTTTGATAAATGCCGTTACTCTAGGGATAATGTTGCTATAACTCCTGATCATTGAAGCTGGCGTGGACAAGAGTTGAGGGGTGTATTTAGCTAGAGTGGGAAAAACCTCTCCGGACAACAGGATCATTCCGAAGTGTCTGAAAAGAAAGTGTTCTCATAAGTCAAAGAACTAACAGAGCATTAATGGTGACATACTTGCAAGCCTCCACTCCAAATGGCATGTCCACGTCTGCGTCCGGAAGTGGCCACGCTGCCCGTCCAAATGTCACCCTCATCTTCCTCCGGACAGTTCCTGTTTTTCTGTTGTACTTCGGCTTCTCATCTGCAATCTCCTGGAAATTGCACATTGTGGGAACATATATTGGCAGCCACTGTGGTTCGATTTCCGTAATGCCTCTAATGAACATCTTGGGCTCAGGCTGAAGGACTTCGTAGACCTCCTGATAGATCACCCACTCAGGGAGCTCCGAAGCCAGGACAGATGAGGAGTTCAGGAAGACAGGATCGATCATTTCTGGAGTATTGTAAGCTCTCTTCAACCTGATTCTCTCTCGAGGATTAGAGATGTCTTCCATAGGCACTCGACGAGCCACACGATCTCCCATTCCTGCCAGAAGGATCTGCCGCAGGAGTTTTGCTTGATCATCTGTTGGAGGCCCCAGCTTCGGATCCACACAAACATCCACGTTTGGGATATTGAGATTGAGCTGATTCGTCAGCTGAACTCTTAATTTCCGAATCTCTGTTACTGCTTTCAGCCTTAGACCATTCTTGCGACAGAAGTCAGGCAGTTTGTTCTCAGATCCCGCATATTCGGCTCCTCCAACGGCTCGCAGGAGCACCATAGGATCTCCGAGACTAAGAAAATGCCCAGAACCGGCCCAGGCTTTGCGTCTCTTCGCCCATTTTCCTGCATCCTCAGCATTGTTGGCATCTCTCGTGGCTGGTGTGTTCTCGAGGAGAACCTGCTGCACACTCAACGCGGAGACTATGCAGATCGTGTATGACATGAGATTGTGTTGGTTGCTCAGCGCCAGCATCTTCCCGAAGCGTGGAGCAATGGAAAAGAGGGAGATTGTATTACCCAATTCGGTGACTTTCAATCCCTTTGAGGATTCCTCGAGAGCACCCAGGATTTTCAAGCGTGTCTCCGCCATTTGCAGCTGTTCACTCTCTGGAGACGTTGGGAATGGGAAGTTCACAACTTTAGTGATTCCCATGCACTTCATTTGCAGCACTATATCATCTACAGGTCGCTTCAGGATGTCCGGCACTGAGAAATCAGGGAACTCATTGTTATAAACAGCACTAGAGTAGATCCTGTAGCAGTGTCCAGGACCCGTTCTTCCTGCTCTTCCGCTTCGCTGATTCGCCGATGCTTTGCTGGTGAACTTCACCACGTAAGCTTCCACTCCGGTCACAGGATCATACAGACGAACCTTCTGCCTCCCACAATCTATGACGTACTTAATGTTGGGAATTGTCAAGGAGGTTTCAGCGACATTCGTGGCCACAACACAGAGTCTGGTTCCCTCGGGAGGAGGCTGAAAGACCCGCTCCTGCGCGGCGGATGAGAGCAGAGAATAGAGAGGTAGAGTCCAGAGAGGCTGACTTGTGGCCATTCCCAGAGCTTCCTCATCATAAGGATCCTCTTCATCTTCCGACAAATTCTCATCCACAGTCTCAGTGTCAATCAAGTCCGCTTCAGTGTCGTCGCCAGGAAGTTTGTAAGTATCCAAATTGATTTTGGGTAGAGAAAGTTCCTTGGCAAACTTCTTCCTGGCCTTCTTCATCCGTCTAATTGCTCTCTCCATGTCGAATTCCTCATCAGAATCAGCCTTTCCCGCCTCTTCTGTCTCCTCCTTATCTGCTAGTGAATCGTCTTTCTCTGGTTCGGTTTTCTTATCTCCTTTAGGAAATTTCATTCTTAGTTTTTTCACCAAATAATTCACTTCCTGCTGTCCCGTGAGGAAGATCAGAATTCCTCCATCTGGCAGTTTTGAGTGAATTTTCACGGCTTTCCGAAAGGCTTCCTTCACATAGTCGCTGTCTGTGACCTTGTTGAAGTGCACAGTCACCGGAAACTGTCTCGCTTCCACCTTTATAACAGGAGGAGGTGTTTTAAAAAGTCTCTCATTTTCCGTGAAATCAGACACTCTCAAAGTCGCTGACATGATCACTAATTTGAGTGGGTTTCCCTTCTTCTTCCGCAGCGGAACCACTCTGGACAGCAATCCTAGGAGAATATCTGTATATACACTTCTCTCGTGTGCCTCATCCAGGATTATCACTGAGTACTTGCTGAGCTCAAAGTCCATCTCCATCTCCTTCAGCAGCACGCCATCCGTCATGAACTTCACCTTCGTCTGAGTCGTGGTGTTTCCTTCGAAGCGTATCAGATACGACACAACGTCCTGACTCAGATTCATCTCTTCAGCCACTCTCTTGGACATGGAGATCGCTGCCACTCTCCTTGGCTCTGTGATTCCTATCAGCTTGTCTACCGCATAGCCGGCTTCGTAGAGAAACTGGGGAACTTGAGTGGTCTTCCCACTGCCAGTCTCTCCAGCGATAATCACAACGTCATTCTCGTTTATTGCCTCCATCACGATTTGCTCCTCACCCAGGATGGGAAGCTTCAGCCGAGCTGCCTGGATTTCTGGCTTTCTCTCGACGTGAACGTAAACGGCGGGCTTCGAAGGAGGCCTAGGCTTCGCTGGAGCTTCCACATCCGACACTTTGAAGGAGTTCTCAGTAGAATGGATTTCATTTGCCGGGATTTGTCCATTTTCCTTAAGATCTTCCACTGTAAAGCTTAAATCTTTAGAAACATGCAGTGTTTCTATTTCTGCGGGCTTCCTAGTCTCCTCAGTTTCAGCTTCACTCTCTGAAGATGAATAGAATCCATCTGGATGAGGACAGGGCATTTTGGGATGCTCAGATTCTTCCTCAGAAGAGTCTTCAGATTCTTCAGCGGCACTTCTCTCAAGAACCTTCCTTTTTCTGCTTCCAGCAATGCTGTTAGGCTTCTTGGAAGTCGTTTGTCCATTCTCAGAATACACTTTGTCTCCAGCACTAGAGAATTTCCTAATGCCACTCGTCTGGACAGCTGTTATGGACACAAGTTGATTGACTTTGTCCGCAGGAAGTTGAACACTCAGCAAATTATCCAAAAGCGTTGATCTCTAGAGAATATCAGAAGGTCAGAATGTGGAAAAGCTTATAATGCAACGAAGATCTTACATTTTCCTTTTTCAGCTTCTTATCAACAATTTTCTCCAAGTTTTTCCTCTGCTTTTTCGAAAGAATTCTTGTGACTTTCTTCTCTTTGACCAGCGCTTTTGTATGTCGTTTCCTTGATGGAATAACCAGAGCATTGCTTTCATCGTATTTCTTAAGATGTTCCACGTTTCCTCCAAGATCAATTTTTATCTGAAATATAGGTAAAATTATAATTAACACAGTTTGTTTACATAAAGTAAGGTTAAAATCTGAAATCTTAATTATCAAGAATTTTTAGTTATTTACCTTCTTGATTTCACTATTATCCGTAACATACTGTATATCCTGCTTCCTTCTTGCGTTGATTTTCTTCTTCCCCATTGCAAAATATTTTATTTTCCACAGAAAAAGTTGAAAGAAAAGCACGCCGAACACGCCGTAGGAGCAAAACACGCTGTTCGTCAAGTCCCAATGTTTTCTATGTTTTTTTGACGAGGATTTCCCCTCCAGTCAGCTGTTTATTGGAGCCCCGATGTGGACGCATTTTCTCACGACGAACCAATTATTTTACTTTTCCGGGCATTTTTAAGTGATAATGGCAACTGGTGATAGTAAATCAGGAGGCATAAAGGTGAAGCAGGAGCCGGGAGTGCTGGGAATGAGACCCGATGGAGGAATCCGAGCAATCAAGACTGAGAGACTGACTTCCTTCAAAATGCCACGTGATCTCACTCTTGGAGGTCCTGGGCCAGGAAGAACCTCGAGAGGCGGTGCCACGAAGAAAGTCTACACACCCAATTTGAACGCCGTGCGGAATAAGAACACGTGAGTTGAGAGGAAGTAAAAAAGTGATGAGAAACTGAAGGTTTTCCTTTGTAGAGATGTCAAGACTTCACGGGATACGCAGCAGAGGAAGCTGGTTCGGACTCCGCGCAATGAGAGAGGAGGAAAGAATACCCGCAATAACCTAATCCAGACAATGGGAGTGTTTTCAGAGGGCGCAGGGAAGTCCATAGTTAAACGATATTCAGAACCTCGATACTCTTCTGGCGACAGGGAAAGCATTTCCAGCAGACGCTCTGGCGCCTCGAAGAGAGATTCCAATCGTCCGATGAGCGATGCTCAGGCCCTGAAGGAGATGCTGGCAAGCAGTGATGAAGACGAGGGCGCAATGGATGATGATGCAATGATGCCAGTGATGCTTCAAGCAGGTATTTTTCCAATTGACTTAGCTATTTCACCCGGATTAATCTCTTTTTCATTTCATACTGTTTTAATTTTCTTCCTGTCCTCCCTGTAATTCCACTTATCCTTCCAATGGTGTTATGTTTGTGTCCCCTTCTCTAGCACAAACCGATAGAAATGTGCTAGATGTAGCCAAAGACTTAGTTAAAGTCAAAGTAGAACCTGCAGGTAAATAATATTAAGTACAAGATCATTATTCCAATACAGTTGTCCTTAGTAAGCTGTTTATTGGGATAATCCTTCAGCGACTTCCTGGGCTAACATCCTCTTGGTTTTGAATGCTATTCGCAGATGAAACCTCCTCGAATGCACCAACAGTCTCCACAACGGTTCCGTTTGCGCCAAAAGTCAAATCAGATCCGGAAGGGGAAAAGATTCCGCGATCTCTGGAGGAAATCTTTGGCACACAGTCTTCTCATCTGTTCCTCCTTCAGTTGCCGGACACATTACCAGGCCGAATTCAAGAGATCTCAGCGGAAGAGACGACAAAAGATGAAGACGGACAGGGAAATCCAAATTCGGTGAGATCTGAAATATTGCCTACACATCTGCCAGATTGCTTGACATTCACTGGACCTCCTTCGTGCAGGCCTCTCAATTGAATTCGCTGAAGCAGCAGGACGAAGGTGTCATAGGGAAGTTCGTCCGTTATAAGTCCGGGAAGACAAAATTGATGCTGGGAAATAGTCAATTTGACGTGGATGTGGGCATCAACACGGACTTCCTGCAGCAACTCGTGGCAATTGATGCCAATCCCGAAAGACGGTCTGGCAACATGTACAATCTGGGAAAGATCCAGACTAAGCTAACTGCCACTCCAGACTGGGAGCACATGTTCAGGAATATGATATAAATAGAATTTCTACGGATTTATTTTACTTTTCTCTATTGCTGCTGCATCTCTGATTCCCGGGAAAGCTTCTCCGTCGGCGTGGCCGTGGTCTTCCCCCTGTAGATGTTCAGATTGAGGTCAATGGCGAAGTTGAAGTCTACGGGATTGTCCAGAGCTTTCTCAATAGCACTCTCCAGATTCTCGCGCTTGATGAAGTGCTTAGATCTCTCGATTTCATGCTGCACTCTTTCGTCTGCCCACCGGCGACGCTCCTCATCGCGGAGCTTCTTCGCTTCTATGCGCTCCAGGACGTCTTCTGTTTTGGCATTCCGCCGCTTTTCCAGCCTCTGGTCTCTAATCATGACAATTTCTTTGTTCCACTCATCATTGATGGCAATGGCGTTCCTCATGTCATCTTCCTCCTCCTCTGGAGATTGCGACAGGATTGTGTTCTGTGTCTCCTTAGACGCCACTTCAGCGAAGAGGAACTTCCGGACGCTCCTGTATTGCGTGCGATACATGTTGTAGAGCCGTAACATTTCTTCTTTTTCCTCAACATCCACTGGTTTTCGCACTGGTTCCTTGTTATAGCGAGTCTTTGCCATTGGCACCCACCGAGGCTTCCGGTGCCATCGTACGGCCTGCAGTCCTGCCCAGGAATTCACCGGGATTCCTTCCGGAAGAGTACTCAAAACCACCCGCAACATCTTATTACATAACCTCAAACTGTCACCGCAACCCAGCTGAATAGTTCTTAACGAAAGTGTGCGAATAGTACTACCCGTACTACCATAGTAAGGAAAATTGAATATTAAATTCAATTAGCTTATATTATTTTTCTATAGAAATTGGCAAATGCCCGAATACAAAATTCCGTGGGACAATTACTTTTGGTCATTAAAGCCCCTGATCAGCGTTTTATTGATAAATTCTTAGAGTTTTCTGGATGGCTTCGCGGCAAAGTGGACACTCCTTCAGTGTTGCAGCGCAAATTCCACAGACGACTGTTCAAAAGAGCAAAAATATAGCATTATTTCCAAATGTTATTCTCTCAAATTACCATAAATACTCACTGTAATGTCCACAAGGAACGAATGCCATCGAAATATCTTCGGTGAGACAAATCTTGCATAGTTTGTTCTCTTTCTGCGTCTCTCTCAAAATCTCTGCTTGATCGAGCAAGTCCCTGGCGAGAGTTCCTGCAGTGTCTTCATCAATAGAGTTGTTTCCCTGTTCGGCGATATTCCAGTTCTCAGCACTGCCGATGAGCTGCTAATGATAAGATTAGCGTTAATTGCGCTATTTGACGTCATACAGAAATTACTGAAATTTCTCGTAAGATTGCTCACCACTCCTTCCTCCTTGGCTTTAATCTTGAGCGCCTTAAGATCATTCTTGACCTCATCCACAATGAGCGATTGAGAGTTTGACAGCCGTTTCTTGATAACACTCTTGACGGAATTTTCGGTGTGATTCTCGAGAAGTTCCTTTCCATCCTCTGAATTGAGAAAGTTCCTCATTGCGTGAAGCTGATCACTCTCGCGAGACTCACACAACAAAGAGAACGTGTTGTGAGCTTTGATGGCATTGGAGGGCTCGAAGTTGACGAAGGAGAGCCCAAAACCACAAGCGTAGCATTTGATGTGATCCCACGCCTTGTCAAAGTAGAAACCATTGGATGCCATTTCCTCAGCTCCCGTCAGGTCCTCAAACATGGGATATTTCAGGAAAGTCTCCAGGCGGTAAGTCTCAGACGCAAGATCCTCGTTAGGTGTGATGCAAGGTGACGGAATTGGAATGTTAATGTCCTCCCAGGAGCTGCTGGCCGAAGCAGCTCCACATTGATGCTCCAAAGTAGCCTGAAAGGCGATTACAATAAGTTTCTTTGGTTTGTTCAAAGCCCACAGTTCCTCAACATACATTGAAGCACTCAAAATTGAAGGAATCTCGGCACTTTATGCACACTATTGAGCTGGTGGACGATCGGTAGAAGTATGCTTCCCTGGAGAGAGTGCATTTCTCTGCCGGAGTGAGTCTAAAGGGACAGAAATCAAAGCTTCGCAGACGAGCCACTTGCTGATAAAAATTTTCACAGTCTTCCATCCTCAATCACTCTCACAGCTTGATTATAGATTGTAGAACACTAGAGGTAGTGAGGTATCACTCAATTTTTAGAATTCTTTGGTGAAGAGACGCGCTGCTTATCACACAATATACCACTGCAGAAATGCCACCCAAAAGCGCTTTGTATCGCAAATCATGTGAGTTTGACAAGATTTGACACACAAACTTGACGAAACGCCACAAGTGATGGCGCTGATGTTAGTGAGTATGTTTTCGTCGTTTTCGTTCAGTGGGGGGGTCAATTTTAATTGATAAACGGGATAAACGGTTTCGGAGAATACTTCAATGAAACTTCCGAGCAATGACTTACTGCTTCTATATTATTTTTGATTCCAATTTATTATTTGGTAAACGACATACAAAATCACAATATGCTAAAGCAGCGATAAGCTTCCCTCGTCAACGGCCATACCACGTTGAAAGTACCGGTTCTCGTCCGATCACCGAAGTCAAGCGACGTCGGGCGCGGTTAGTACTTGGATGGGGGACCGCTTGGGAACACCGCGTGCCGTTGGCATCCTTTTTTTTATGTTTTATCCTTCATTTAAAAGGAACTATTCATATTAATTTTGTTTACAGCTATAAAATTTGTTAAACTGTGCAAATAATCAAAAATTGGAAATTGAAAGATAAAGAATATTCTCTTGTTTAGCCTGTTGCCGAACCAAAGCATTAATTTTTCTGCAGAACGAATGACAGAGGGAAAATGAAGAAAATCCATGCATGTGTAATTGTGATGAATTCTCAAGAAGCGTGCAATTTTCTCGAATTTCTCTGTAGTCTCTGCATAGGGTAAAAATAAAAATGTCAAATTTTCCTCTTCACGAAAATGCTCGCGATGGAAACACCGGAGGAACGGAGAAAAGATTTTACATTTTCTTCTTTTGGAGAAATGCAAGAGGAACGCTGAACGAGATGAAAGAGGATTCTTTTGTCGGTGTACTTGAAGTTTATAACAAAAATACAAAAAGATTCTCCCCCAACTTTGGTCACTCTTGAGAATCTCTTGGCCCGGCTTTTTTGCATTCACTCCTGGGGAGAAAGTCCTGTTGAAAATCCACATGCTTTTCACCCCTATGAAGTGGCCACTTAAAATCCATTTCTGCACGGTAACAAAAGCATGACCACACCAATCCATCAGTGGTTTTCATCGATTACAAGCGGGAGAACACTGAATAATCTCTTGCCCACGCTTCTTTCCCTTCCTCACGTCCTCTGGAGCCACCCTTTGCCCAACCCAACTCCTGCTCCTCAAGGAAAATGCTGTGCTCACACTTTTTCCCAGCTATCCGGCGAGTGAAGGTTTTTCACGAGCAATTTGAGGTAAAAGCGGACACTCGAGTGGGTTTAAACCAGGGGGAAGAGTTTAATGTGTTGAATTCAATTTTGCTCTTTAACGAAATTAACTCCATATCGAAATGCCCTTCAATTGAGATATTCAACTCTTAACTAGCAGAAGAAATTTATAGAAAAGCAGTAAATGAAAAGCTCATGAGTAATTAATAAATTAGTGCGTCATTCAAACTTGCATCTCCTCCCTCAATTGCATTTCCCTAATGTTTGAGGATTGCAAATGAATGTGCAAATAACCCGGGAAATTCTTTCTGTGTGAATTGAAAATAGAGATGTTGTCTATTCATATGATGCACTTTTTGTTTGAATAATGGCAAAATTATGGTCTAATTGCCATGCAGAAACGCATCAATGCTGAGGGTTTGGCTCTCTCTCGTTTGAGATAACAATGCCAAAATAAACGCAATTCCCTCCACATTGTAATTAATTATGAATTTGAAAAATGATTTATGATTTTGAATGCATTCTACGAGGGAGGCCATTGCAATTTGTGTACATCTTGTTGACATTCAGCCTAATTACACTGAAAATCACTGGGATTTTTCCTCAACTCTCTCATTTTCCCCATTTTCGTGCTCTCGAGCACCATCTCTCAGTCCGAGAGATTTTTTGAGGGGCCTGAAAGCGTCTGAAGGCCCTCTTGTGTTGAGGATTTTTTGCTACATAATATGGCATCCATTAGTGACCACTCTTAATGAGGCAAATGCTGAAGACTTTCAACCCTTTGGATAAGAATGAATGGCGAAAGTTCTCAGTGTTCGCTGTATATAGCAAAATTCATAATTGTTTTCATTCTTTTGTACAGAGATTTGCCAGAATTCGAAGGTAAAGGGAGTGATTAAACTGATATATTCTGTTTTATGTAATTAATAAGCCACGCCTTATCAATATGGAAATAGTTTATCCCATTTTATCACCTCATACAGGTATATATTGTATTTTGGAAACTACCGTAAAACGTGAAATATTATTTTCTTCCTATTCCTTGTAACATTCTCACATATTAGAGGCTAGATTATTACACTTCGACTTGTTAATAAATACTCAGTGAAAAAAAATTGACGAAAATTACACAAATTAAGAATTTATTCTAAAATATGCTAATGAAATGTGCTATCTTCAGCAGAGTTAAAAGCAATGGGTAAATAAAAAAAAAGGATGCCAACGGCACGCGGTGTTCCCAAGCGGTCCCCCATCCAAGTACTAACCGCGCCCGACGTCGCTTGACTTCGGTGATCGGACGAGAACCGGTACTTTCAACGTGGTATGGCCGTTGACGAGGGAAGTTTATCGCTGCTTTAGCATATTGTGATTTTGAAGGTCTCTTGCCAAGTGATGTAATCAAGCTTTTTTATATATATCTCATATATTTCACATGTATAAATGAAAACAACCAATCAATTTGAACAAAAAAAACTACGAAAAATCGGAATGAGAATGAAGTGGAATTGATGTGTTTTTGTCAACGGCCATACCACGTTGAAAGTACCGGTTCTCGTCCGATCACCGAAGTCAAGCGACGTCGGGCGCGGTTAGTACTTGGATGGGGGACCGCTTGGGAACACCGCGTGCCGTTGGCATCCTTTTTTTTATATTGAAAAATTTTTTCGTAAATTTTTCGGCATTCCTCAACTTTAGGGCAATGGTTAGTGAAATCTCAATGAGAATCTAATTTAAACAATTACGGTGTTGGATAAGCACAATGCAATTGAATCACATCTCGCTGATTCTGATGCGTAATTATTTCAGTACGAAAGAATTCTTTCTTGACATGACAATTCTCTGCTTTTCTCATAAATAAGTCAGCGTATCGAATGTGTCAATAGGTTATTGACGATGGGGAATTTTTCATTAGGCTAAATGTTGCAATACGAGAAGGCTGGAATGTCGGTTGATTGTTCTTTTCCGCCTACCCTCAACTTCCCTTTCGATGCTCAGCTAAAGTGATGCATTCCAAATGATTTGGGAGACACAATAATTCGCCGAATGGCATGTGGACGCAAAGAGGCATAATATTAATTTTTCCTTGACATCGCCCTCCAAATTGAGATCGAATATCTCGATGTCCATTATGGTCAACCCCTGCGAACGCCTTCCGTGCAGAATTCAGCTCCAATCAATTAGTTTGAGAGGCTCGGACATCGGCTCTGTTCAAGTAAATCGCTATGATTTATGAAGTTCTTGACAAATGTATCCAAGCATGGGATGAAATTCAAGTGTTTAATGATTGTGTGACCGTGGCAAGAACAATTTGGCTTTAGATATTAATGCAGAGATATGGGGATTTATCTCGAGTAGCGTTTTGATGTAGACTCACGCTAAATTACTTTTCCAACCACTCTTATCGCTTGACAAAAGTGTGAAGAAGTCATTTATCATTTTGTTCATATGAATATGCTTTTAAAATTAATTTCTTTGTTTAATTCAGCAAAAGTGTTATTCATTACACTTCACACGTTAAATTCCTTCTTTCACGGCATTTACGAATAAATTCTTAAATAAATCCCTCAACCTTTCATTTGATATTTTAATTGGGGTGTGATATGAAATATCACATATTCCCCTCCTTCTCAGCTTCTATTTTAACACATTTCATCCCTTTTCACACATGCCGTAAAGTCCTGAAAATGGGCATTGTAAAGTGTTGGAAAATTATCATTATCAATGAATAAAATTAGCAAGTGAACGAATTTCTAAAATACACGCAAACACACATTAATTTTAAGTGCTATTTTGTGTTCATAAACATGGGGAATTTATTAAAATAGCTAGAATATGAATTCTGTATCATATTCTCGCGCTCACTTGGAAAAATAAATTCCCAACTAACGCTCAAAATTGGTATTTATCTGTGAAAACCCATTAGGACATTCTGAAACTGGGAAATTTTTGCATTTTAGTTTATGTGTCTGTTGATTATTATTAGAGACGGACATTTATAGCCGCCACTGCGAGCTTCTCTCCTCCACATCCGTCCATCCGGTCTGCAAACACACACTAGCCAATTCGTCCTCACTCCCCAAAAGAGAGATTTTCCCCGACACAATCAGAGTTAATTCGCATGGGCATTGATTAATGGTCTCACATATTTGCCCTTTCTTCTGCAATTGCATCAACAAATTCTTTTTTCTCATTCAGTTTGCCCGTCTTTGTTTCGGGCAAATGAAAACCATGCATGGACACTTGCATTATTTCTGGGGTTGTTGGCTCCACGAGAAAGCGAAGAAAATACAACATTTTGCCTAGTAATGGCTTTAAAAATGATGAATCCAACCCTTCTCATCTCACTCCTCTACAACAATTAATTACTCACCCAAGGACCAGATTCACCCTTGTACTTCCATCCTCTTCAGCCACTCTCGCAGTCTCCTTCATGAATATTGTAAGCTAGATTAGAGCTTCGACTGTTGAACTCTGGGAGAGAAAAAGAGGAAAAAAATAACCCTCAAACACATCATCAGCTCGATATGGAACTTGCCTTGGTAGAAAAAAAAATAGGTCAATCCGATAAACATCCCTTCTTAGAGAAATAATTCATGTAATAGTTTCTACTTCTGTCCCCTTGCTAATTAATTTCTCAATGTACTTCCGACAATTTGACAGCAATATCTCCAATCAAGGAGAAGAAACATAAAATATAGTGTCACGTTGCCGGTATCAGTGACATTGGAAGATTTAGGAAAAAATGTTAAGTCATTTTGCCATTAACACTGTCCATGTACATAAGTGAATCTTGTCACTGACACTCAGTATTTAGTGTTGATCTTTCTCACAAGTAATCATGAAAGATTAATTGGTGTTCCGTGTAAAAACCTAAATGCGCAGCCGGCGATACATATAAAAACCGCGGCATTATGGTAAAAAACAAACAATTCACCTTTGGGAATGTGAAAATCATTAACAAGAAAATACTTTCGTGTCACTCAGTAAAGAGGATTGATTGAAGATTACTTTTTCTTGAACCAAAGAAAACCTAAGCAAAGATAAAATAACAGCTATTTTTTAAATTTATATTTTATGTGATTAAAAATTTTCACATGGAGCAAAAAAGGATGCCAACGGCACGCGGTGTTCCCAAGCGGTCCCCCATCCAAGTACTAACCGCGCCCGACGTCGCTTGACTTCGGTGATCGGACGAGAACCGGTACTTTCAACGTGGTATGGCCGTTGACAAAAACACATCAATTCCACTTCATTCTCATTCCGATTTTTCGTAGTTTTTTTTGTTCAAATTGATTGGTTGTTTTCATTTATACATGTGAAATATATGAGATATATATAAAAAAGCTTGATTACATCACTTGGCAAGAGACCTTCAAAATCACAATATGCTAAAGCAGCGATAAGCTTCCCTCGTCAACGGCCATACCACGTTGAAAGTACCGGTTCTCGTCCGATCACCGAAGTCAAGCGACGTCGGGCGCGGTTAGTACTTGGATGGGGGACCGCTTGGGAACACCGCGTGCCGTTGGCATCCTTTTTATGTTTCTTTTTAAGAGTCTCTTTCGTCATTTAAATACATATTGGTGAAAAGTTTTGTTTCTAAATTGAGGTGATTTTTTTTAAGCACGACGAAGACTATATTTTCTGTGTATTGTTCTAATTACATTTGTGCATGCATTCACAGAAATTTTGCTTTAAAATTTATGCGAAAATTATAATTTAATTCGTAGTTGGCGTAATTGTCTGTGCATTCTAGATTATGAGAAAGTTTCCTTTTCGATAAACAATTCAATTACTTAATGAGGTGTCGGGAGAGCGGCCTCCAGATTATTTTATTCTAGTGAAGTGACGCGCCTTCCTGAATGCTTCTGCTGAAGTATCAATTAACCGCGAATTGCATTATTACCCTGGTAGATTACAATGTATTTGTAGTAATAAACTGTGGGATTTCAGCCTTAAGTCTGTCGTTCATAATTTAGTAGTCATTTGGCAGTTCAGCGTTGCTGATCACGAAGCTTACAAGCAAAATGGATACAACAAAATTATTCGGAGGCGATTGTGTGGCATACGAAGTTTCCAGTGAGACACAAACAACAATTATAGGCCAATTTTTGATCACAATCAAGTGCTTCTTCAGAATGTTTACATGCGTAGCAGGCGATTTTCTATTGTACATATTTTGGCGAGCATTTAAATGCCGCTCGGCGAAGGATATCAGTGATCAAGTTGCACTTGTCACTGGAGGAGGAAATGGATTGGGAAGAGCTATAGCTCTAAGATTGGCTAAAGAAAAGTGCCATCTGGCGATTGTGGACATGGACATTGAGGCTGCCGAGAAGACTGCCGCTGATGTGCTATCTCTTGGGGTGAAGGCAAAAGCTTACAAGGTTCAGATGTTTTCAAAATAAATATTGGACATTATTATTCTAAATTGACGTGGTTTCTTGCAGGTTGATGTGTCTAATTATGAGCATTTAGTGAACCTCAAGAGTGAAATTACAAAAGATCTCGGATGCGTCAGTATTCTGGTGAACAATGCTGCCCTTGTGGCTTTAGTTCCCATGTGCAACACTCCCAAGGATCGCATTCAACGATTGATCGATGTGAACATCTCCTCGCAGATCTGGACCATTAAAATATTCCTAGATAACATGATTGATCGAGGAAAAGGTCACATAGTTCAAATATGCTCTATTTATGGATTAATTCAGGGCAAAAGCACAATGTATTCCATGTCTAAACACGCAATTCATGCCTTCGTGTCTTGTTTGAGAGAAGAAATCTATTCAAATAAGTGGCAGGACAAGATTAAAATAACATGCGTTTATCCATTCTTCATCGCAACCCGGAAAGAGCTCACAGATCTATTTCAAAAGTATGGTTTATTGATATATGTATAAATTCACCCTATATGCTTGAATTATATTTTATTTACAGAGATTCTGTGATTATTAACTCACCAGATTATGCAGCAGATGAGATTGTACGCGCAATTAAGAATGAAGAAGAATGCATCTCTATTCCGAAAGGATATTATACTCTCATGAGAATGTTTTCGTGAGTAATTTACACCCAGACAGAGATTAGATCATTTGGAAATCTTTTCTTTCAGATTGTTTCCTTCAAGATCTATAAGGAAATTCTACTCAAGTACTTTTGGAGAGGGAAACTCTGTATTTTAATGGGCGAGACAAGTCAAGACAATCAGCAGTATCATTTTTTATTGTTTAAATACACATGTGCAACTTGATATGTCAAATGATTGGTCCAATCATTCGTCGATAATTAAAATAGCAAATAAAAAATAGATATTGTTTAATTCAGAGTATTAGTATAATATCAGAGAATTTATTATTGATATTAAATATCAATAATGATTGATAATAATGTTCAATAATGAATAAGATCAATAATTGATATTAAATATCAATAATGAGGTGGGAATTATCATAATTTTCCTAAGTAATTCACTGAGTGGCTCAAAATGTATTTGTTTTTTTATGTAAATATTGCGAATTTTGTGACTTTCACATGATTTTGGCAATATTTACAAGGTCACACCATCTTCAGCTATAATATATAATTAACATTGCAATGACATGTCCATAGCCTTGCGTCATTCGTCTTATTTTAAATCATTGATAACTCTCATGTCAGTTACATATATATTTAGAAAACATCTTATTCCTTATATACAATACATTGAAGTTCATTTATTTTCTTTTAATGCACTCAAGCAAAAATTTCCAACATTGCGTGGTAATGGTTATAATCGAAAAGAAGTATCATATTTTTGTCCCGTAGCGAGTTTAGTATTTTTTACACTTCGATTCCATAATACATTCTGAAGTGAACAATCCTCTTATAAAAGCGAAGGCTAGTGTGAGAAACGATCTCAGTTGTGAATGATCTGTGCTCGCGTCAAAGTCAATGTACTTTGTGTTAGAAAAATGGAAAGTGTACTTAATGTGGGAAGTGAAGAATATAAGGCAAGCACAGAACCGGGTCAGAGTCCATTGAAAGTTCACTTGAAGAGTTTGTGGTACTTTTATCACTTTTGGTTAGCAGTTGTGTTGGGAACTTTTCAGACCATCTTTGAATTTTTCACCGATTGGCATAGTGAAAAGAAGTTTGATGGACAAGTAGTGTTAGTTACAGGTGGTGGAAATGGTCTGGGAAGGGCAATTTGTATGGAATTAGTGAAAGAAAAGTGCAAAATTGCCATTGCTGATGTTGATATTAAGGCGGCCGAGAAAACAGCAATTGAACTCCAGTCATTGGGAATTATAGCCAAGGCTTACAAAGTGGGTTTTTATTTAAGATGCCTATTCAAAAAATTCAGTATTGTTTGTGTATGACGTTATTTTCCAGGCGGATGTTTCGATTTATGATGAGGTTCTTGATCTACGGTCCCAAATTCAGAATGACTTTGGAACTGTTGATGTGCTTATTAACAATGCAGGACTTGTGTGCAAAATCTCACTGTCCGAAGGAACCCCTCAGGACATTCAGAAAGTGATAAATGTAAATATTGCGTCTAATTTTTGGACCACGAGGATCTTTCTTAAAGACATGATAGCTCGGAAACGAGGTCACATCGTGGGAGTGTCATCAATGTTCGGCATACTCCCTAGTGGACGATCAATTCTCTACAACACCACAAAGTACGCTGTTCGGGGATTCATGTCGTGTCTGAATGAGGAAATTCGCATGAATAAATTGTCTAGACAGATAAAAACCACAACAGTTTACCCACTATTCATCACCACACGTGATGATCTTATAAGAACCTTAGCTCATATCAAGTGAGTGATGTTTAGTGATTGTGTACTTTAGAGTGAAGAGTTAATATTTTGTCAATCCATGCAGAATGCTGGACAAAACCGTGGTCATGCCGTCCGAATATGCAGCCACACTGATCGTCAAAGCGATTAAGCAAGAGAAGCTTCACGCATCAATTCCTCATGGATTTTACACAATGTCGGGCATACTTGCGTGAGTAAACCGCTGTTAAGTATATAAAATGCCCATAAAAATGAATGTTGACTTCTTTCGATTTTCTATATTACAGAATTCTACCAAGGCGAATTCTTGAAAAATATTTTGACGCAGTAATTGGTGATATTCCACAGACTTTTTGAGAATATTGTATAATAGGCACTAAATGCAAAAGTTAGGTCTGTTCACAATGTGTAATTTGCAAATGATTTAATCATTGCCGCTAATAACTTAGCAGTGTTATTTAATTGTGTTGCTGTGGATATTCCTATTCTATGCATCTGTATTTTTATCTCCAGTATATAAATTGTGTTTTTTTTTCGAACAAATACATAACACAATTTTCCTCTCAACGATTATCAATATTTATTAAACAAACAACAGCACATAAATTCTGGCGAAGTCTTTAACCTCTTTTGTATTTTTTCGACTGTGCTTGCTAGTCAAATATATTGAGTTTTGCTCGTTCTAAATCATATTGAATATATTAAAGTTTCCTTCTACACAATTCAATAGTAATCGAATATGCTTTAAGCAAAGGGTTAAATTACTCAACCATGATATGATATTATCGCTGAAAGATCACGAAACTTTCATACACGTTTCACTGGCACAATCTCACTAACTTTTACCTTCAAATCAGGTTCTGCGTTCATCATCACTGCGTCATCAAAATCGTCATACTTGCAGTGCAATGCTGCAACGAGGAAGTGTATTGCTGAATTCAACTCTGATCTTTCTCTTTTTCACCCAATACACACAACACAATTTACACTCTATGAGCAAATATAGTGGTCTTTCGCGATTAGTTTCATCTCACTCAATTTTATTAATCTCCACTTCCATTGCACATTTTTTGCAATTCAACTCGAAGCTGGAAATCTGTGCTTGCACCTTTGCACGGGAAACTCTTGAGATCAATCGTCTCGAGAGTGTTTCAGTGAGATGTTCGCTTAGTTCGTGGCATTTTCATTTTCAAATAAGAAAGTTTTCTGCGTGTGCATTTGAGATAAAATGGAAGATATCGGGAGAATCGGTGTGGAAAGGTACTGCCCGTCGGATTATGTGCAGAAGAATGGTGTGGAAATGCTCTTGTCGATTTTGTGGAGTTTAGCTAGGGTGACTTATTATTTCACGGTGGCAATTGTAAGTCACATTTTGGGCATCTTTGTGGACACTTTAAACATCTTTGCCAAAGACAACTCATATCCACTTGTTGGAAAAGTGGCGCTCGTAACTGGCGCTGGCAATGGCTATGGGCGATCCCTCAGCATCTTCTTGGCTGCCGAGGGATGCAACGTCGCTGTGGTGGACATTGACGGCGAAGCTGCAGAGGCTACAGCTGCCAAATTGCGATCCATGGACGTGAAATCTGTGGCCTATAAGGTAATTGATGAGAGAGAGTCATCTCTGGAGCATAGGCAACTCGACAAGTATTTTCTTCTTTCTCTCTTTCTCCCTCTTCTTGTGTCTAGGTGGACGTAAGTGACAGTGGTCAGGTGGAGAAGTTACACGAAGTGGTGGTCAATGATCTGGGTGTTGTGGATATTTTAATCAATAATGCAGCAATTCTCCCTCTCATGTCGTTTCGCGAAGGCACACCAAGTGATGTTGAGAAAATCATCAAAGTTAATCTATTGGGACACTTTTGGGTGAATTTTATGCAATCTTCCTTATCCATAGATTATACTATTTTCTATTTTGTATTCATCATTCAGACAACCAGAGAATTCCTCAAGGATATGATTAAACAGAAACGCGGACACATTGTTGGTATTTGCTCGGGATTTGGCCTCTATCCTGGCGGAAGATCTGTGGCATATTCTGCATCAAAGTACGGCGTGCGAGGGTTCATGTCAAGTCTGTCTGAAGAGCTACTTTACAATGGCCAGAAAGACTTCATCAAGACCACTACAATCTTTCCTGTTCTAATGTCAACTCGTAAGGAAGTTTTTGATCTGTATGAGAAATTGAAGTAAGTTTTTAAACCATTTACATTCCTTTTCATATACATATTATCACTGAAATTGTATGTACAATATGATTATTATTATTTTTAAGGATAAGCGACAAATTGGCATGCTTAACACCCAACTATGCTGCCCAAATGACAGTGAAGGCAATTAAAAGTGGCGCTGAATTAATGAGTCTGCCCAAGGGATTTGTGACATTAATGACACTCGCTTCGTGAGCAATTAATCCGATAACGATATTGAAATATTGTACATCAGTGAAAAAATTAATTGAAAAATGGCTTTTTTACAGACTCCTTCCAACATCAATCAGAGAGAGGATCGTGTTTGGATTTATGGAGGGAAAAGTTCCACAAATTCACCCACACAATTTTTGAACAGCCTTAACTTGATTTCGAGAATAATAACCTGTTGGGGTGCTATTTTAATTAATTAGAGGTTTTTTTGAACAGTCTTTATATACATTTTAGTACTAAAAAAATGTGATAGGATTCTCTATGCAATGTACAAATATATGCATTGTGCTCAAAAAGCTAAAGGTGATAAAAGTGACTAAAGAGTCAATTACTATGCACATTTCACAGAAGAATAATTCCTGCTATTATTTCTTGAGCAACAATGTATTTTGATTATAAGGTAATCATGAATGGCAATAAAATATTTAATTTGTGTTATTATATAACGGAAAGCGATAGTCAGTGATGAAGAAGAGGTTGATATTGCTGATTAGAAAATAAAATTTTATGACAATCAATTAATTCGATTTTCTCTAATTGTTTCCAGCCTTTGAAAATTATGAGACATCATAAAAGTACACAACACTTATATTGCCAAAATTCTCACTTTTGAAATATGCGTGAAATTTGATTATAATTCGTTGTAAAGCATTCTAGTGTAAATATTGAATTTCATACACAAGTTATTTACATACATTTAATGTTGACGAGTTTCCGTCAATATTAATGGAAAAACATAATTATAGCATGTAGATATGTTGGTAGATAGTAATTTACGATACTTATGTTCATTTGATTTGGTAATTAGCAACAATTTAAAGTATCAGGAACAGTTCCTATAAAATACATGTTTCAAATTTGAAAGAAACGCATGAAACGACTCTTTAATGCTTATTGAGCCTAAATCTATACCTTATGATAAAACTTTATATAATATTGAATAACACTTATTATGAGATACCTTTGACATGCATTCATAATTGTCATTGACACATATAGATTTCCAAGCCTCTCTTGTCCTTTGATAAATTCTTTGCTTATTCTTAAGATTTTTTTTTTTGAAAAGAATTTAAAGCGTTCACCTATTTTATGCTTCTTTGAATGGCAAATACTTTGTTGAATAGCAAAAAATCGCAGTCTTTCTGATAATAAAATGGGTAATTGAGATGCTGATTGTTCTGTACGCGACACTCATATGCTACAGTGAAATTGTGAAGAGATATTCACACAATTGAATTAAAGAATACAAAAACTGTACACATTATTTGCTTTATGGCACCAATAATAATTCATAGAGTTACAACCGAAAGATCCTCGTGTATCTGACTATTTGCTTGGGGTATTACAATATTTGAAGGCTAGTGTGCGACAATCCAAAACAAATACATTTCTTAACACATTGTTATTACCATATAAATTACAAGCAACCGCCGAATCTTCAGTCACAACTGTTGCAACTCTTTCACGGCGCACATGGCTTAACTAATCAGTGAAATGCAGAACGTTTTCGATAGTGGAAAAGTGGCTTACGAGGCGGCTCCAATGCCTAAGACAAGGACTCTTGATGAGTCTGCTGTGTTCTATCTATCTGTGCTAAAGGATGTTGTCATTGTGCTGCTTGTGGGAGTTCCCATGCTCTTTCTGAAGTTGATTAAGAACCTTCTGACAAGTGAGAAGAATGTGGCTGGTCAGTTGGCACTTGTGACTGGGGGAGGAAATGGAATTGGTAGAGAGATCGCTTTGAGATTAGCGAAGGAAAAATGCAATATTGCCATAGCGGATGTGGACTATATTGCTGGGGAGAATACTGTGGAAGAGTGCTTATCATTGGGAGTGAAAGCTAAGTTCTTTAAGGTATTAAAATTGTTCAGCAAAGTGGTTTTATTTACTTATTAGTGTGACTTTTCTTAGGCGGATGTCGGTGAAAATGATGAGGTAATGCGGCTACAAGAGAACATAGAGAAAGAAATGGGTACAAACATTCCTTAGAATGATATCAGTAATCATTATGTTAACAAGTAATCTTTGGCCTAGGGTTTGTTGATATCTTAGTGAACAATGCTGGGCTGATGCCACTCTTGTCCATCCGGGAAGGATCTTCTGCTGAAATCGAGAGGATTATTCATACAAACTTCCACTCACATATTTGGACTTGCCGAGCTTTCGTGGGTGGCATGATTGAGAGGAAGAAGGGTCATATAATTTGCATTGCATCTGCAACAACAATTCATCCAATGCCTCGAGCAACGATTTATTCGGGAACGAAGGGTGGAGTGGCTGGCATGATGATGGCCTTTGAAGAGGAACTCAGAGGCGAAGGACATGGAAATTACATCAAATTCACCACTGTTTATCCCTATTTCGTATCCACGAGGAAAGATTTAATGGAAAACCTCAATCTTCGATTCCCAGCTGTTACAGCTAAAGACACAGCGAGAGTTGCTGTGAAGGCAATGCTCAGGAATCAAAAGGACGCCGGTGTTCCTGAGTATTTGTTCTTCCTCTCAAAAGTGAATAGGTAATGATTTCTTTTATGCAAAATATACAAAGTCTAAGAGAAAGTTTTATTTACAGATTGCTCACCGCGGAAGTGCAGCAATTGGTTCGAGATAGAATATTCAGGGAAAAAAATACTCTGATTGGAGTTTACAGAGGATCAAATTAGTTTTCATTTTCCATTCAATAAATTCAAAGTATCCCAGAAGAAGCCGAAAGTGCCAAATAATGGTCCCATTGCATAAGGTGATCTTGGGTTCGTCTGCAGGAAAAACAATCCTCTGGCGTCCGGCGAAGCGGCATCACCCATTCTTACCATTTCAGACCGATTGTATTCTCCCTGGACAAAAGTTGCCCAAGTAGACGAGGGATAACTATAGAACAACGGCGTGAGAATTGATTCGGCAAACAAGTGATGAGCTCTTCCATGACTACAGGCCACTGCAAAATATGTACACATATTTTTGCTAATTAAATTTTTTCCAAGCAATATAACCTTTGATCCTTACTTTGCTCGATAATATTGCTTCCACAGCCTGGCTGAAGAATACCTCCGTTTGGATAAAAGTCAACATGTCCAATCGGATCACGGAAGCCACAACTTCCCGCTGCTGTGTGAATCACGTCCACAAAGGCAGCGTCAGTATGATCAAGCCGAGACTCAGGACCTGACCATTCAAAGCCCAGAATGGCGGGATCGAGACCAGTGACTCGGCCCACTTTTCCTGTAGTCGTGAATGACGCTGCATATCCGGCTAAGTGACTTCCCAGGCTGTGTCCTATCAAATGAAAATCCGCAATACTAGCATTTTTAGCAATCTGAAAGTGAATGCAAATAAATCACATTCTCAACGATTTTTCCTCTGAAAATCAAGAGTAGGTACTCACCACAAGGTAATCAATCAACTCTGCAATGTATTTTCCCACTTCACGTATTTGAAATGCAGGTGTGAAGTAGAAATTGTTGGCGGCAATGTCTCTATAATCCACTGTGACAATATTTAAGTTTCTCTTCGATAAATAGTTATTTTTGATGTTTTGAACTGTGTCACTCTCCTCATTTGACCGCCAACCGTGAACGAGGAGCTTCGTCTGAAGCTGAGGATTGAAATTGCCAAGGTCGATGTCATTCTGCAAATTATTGTTCTTATAAAGGTGTTTTGGGAAGGCCAAGGATTCGCCTTTGTTTCTCTGTTTCCTGCTGAAACAGACATGATGAATAACTTGATTTTGGAATCAGAATTTCAACTTACCTTCTGTAAAGGTAGAATTTCACATTATCACGAATGTTGAAGTTGAGAATCGTCTCCAAAATATTTGGCTCTTCAGTTGAACTTGGAAAAGTCTTTTTTTCATCATTAGCCAGATTTGGTGGTAAAATGTTATTTGTCTGTGGAATTTCTATCAATAGGAAAAGAACTCATCAGTTTGACGTGAAAAAATGAACGAGCAAGGCTATTTCACATCTTTATACCTTCATCACAGAGAATTTTTATGACACAGAGCACAAAAGGCACTACTCTCAAAATCATTGTCACTGTTGTACTGTCTGAAAGCTAATGTTTCGCGCAAGTCCATGGTCAGGGTTGAGTAGAAATATTCGCTGGATTGTCAGTAAATCCCCATCCATATACAAATTCGTCATTCGTCACCAACGAGTTGGGTAAAAGTACATCAACCATTTGTTGTTGTATGATAAGCGCAAGCGGATAAAGATCTACATATTAATGCTACTGTTACAAGTATGAGTGCTTTTACCATTTTTTTTTGTAGACATTCATTGAAGCCCACAAAAAATCGGTTTCGCTCTTATCATGATTCCCAATTTGAAGTCAGTATGGAAAATGCACATTGGTCAAGAGTGCTTATCGGAAATCTCCATGAAACACCACCTGATAAGCATTCTCAATACCCAAAAGTCAATCAATAAGTACGGGTTTTCAGTCGAACGGTGATATTGGTGGCGTGAAGGTTATTAAGTGACTACACCCAGGAAATACTCGCATAATTTGGACTATGGAAGACATATCGAGTTTGGGAAGGTTTCCATATGAAGCGGCAAAACCCTTCAAGAAGAAAACTACATCGGAAAACATCCAAAATTTCCTGCAATTTCTTCTGGACTTGTTAAAGTTCCTCCTACTCTCAATACCCATCGTGCTGAAGTATGTGAAGGAGATTTTCTCCCCTGCCGAACCCAAGAAGATTGCCGGCCAATTGGCGCTGGTATGAACAGCTCACTTCTCAATTCCCTATGAATAAATTCAAAAGCGTCCCCTCTTTCGTCTCCATTTTAGGTAACAGGTGGCGGAAATGGGCTTGGCAAGGCGATTGCCATTCGCTTGGCCAAAGAGGGATGCGATGTGGCCGTGGTGGATGTTGATTTCGCCGCTGCTGAGCGTGTTGCTGGCGATATCAAGAGTTTTGGAATCAAATCAAAGGCCTACAAAGTCGACGTGTCCAATTATGAAGAAGTTAAAGTCTTGGGCGAAGAAATTGAGGATGACTTGGGCGCTGTGGACATTCTCGTGAACAATGCTGGAATAATGCCTGTAGTGTCGCTGATGGAGGGCAGACCAAAGGACATCGAGAAGATCCTGAGTGTGAATCTCACTTCACACTTTTGGGTAAGTTTTAGCAAATCATACTTTGCCATGTCTTGATAACAACTGAACACTGATGCAATTCGCTTGTCTTATCGATTGGAGATTTTACGGATTCCATCGGCCTAAAGCTAAAAAGCTTCATATGGCCAAAATGAGATTATTAAGTCTAATGTGTGGGAATTAAGTAACTAATGCTGTGATTAATACCTCGTAGACGGTTCGAGTGTTCTTAGAAAGTATGATAAGGCGTCGAAAGGGACACATTATGGCCATATCTTCGCTGTCGGGTCTCGATGCCGCCGGAAGAGCAATTGCATATTCAGCCAGTAAGTTTGGAGTTCGAGGATTCATGGAGGCCCTCAGAGAGGAGATTCGCCTGAATGGAAATTCAGGAGAGATCTTCACGACAACGGTTTATCCTTACTTCATATCAACTAGACGAGACTTGATGGAGAAAATGCAGAAAACGAGGTAAAGAGAATCATTTCATGGATATAATTGAATACTATATATGATTGTTATTATCTTTCTTCAGTTTGTTCCAACGATTTCCACCACTTATTCCTGACGATGCTGCTGATATTGCTGTCGATGCCATGCTAGATAATGCGATTTCCATCACCATTCCGAAAGTGTGGCCAATCAGTCGAGTAATCTTCAAGTAAGCTAAGAATACTCCAAATATTGTCCAAAGTCTTAATGCCTGTATTCTCTGAACAGATGCCTTCCGTCCCGAATCCAGGACCTCGTGAGGGAAATCCTCGTGAAGGAGTACATTCCACGGATTCAGTATTAATGCATGTGCCTCCACGATGAATCAATATGATAATCCTGTGAGTTGCCGAGCGCAATAATCATAAACAATTTAGTACAGAGGAAAGGAGCCAGTATGTTTGTCTACAGGTTATGTGGATATAAAATTTTTGGTCTATCTCGCATGGCTTCATTTTATCTCCGTCGATGCTTAATGCTTTTTATCTCACTGTATTTTCTGGGCCATAAAAGTTCTGGCGTAAATATTGGTGAATTACTTCCGCACATTTTTGGTAGTTTTCCTAGTTTATGATTGCAAATTGTTGAAATTGTTCCACCTTGAAAATGAGACAATTGTCTGGCAGTTCAATCACCTCTTTTGAAAATAGAAAATGTAGACGACAATCTTCTTCAATTCCGGCGTTATTCAATTCCTCAAAGAGCATCTCTGTCGATGATGATAGGAATTTATGGAAAGATAAACCAATACGGCATTTTCATAAAGCATTAATTTTATCTTGGCACATCAAAAAAAGAGACTTGTGAGGCACAAAAGTATTAAAAGTTCCCCCAAAGCAGCGAGGAAATCCTCCTCATATGGGGAGAGTGTGCGTATTTGAAATAATAAAAAGCCAAGTATATCGCAAAAAATAAAAGTGCATGATATTTTATTACCAGATATAACTTTAGAAGAAACAAAGTCGAAGAATATATGCGGTGAATAATTTTCTCGAATAATTTTCTATCTCTCATATCGCAATATTGCGGGATAAGGGGCATTTCACTGGCCGTATGTCCCTATATCCACCTTTTAATGCATTTTACTGTGTATTATATGCGTAATTCCTATAAAGACAGTCACCATATCAATCTCATCGCTTTCATGGCGATTGCCGGGAGGAAATTTTGGCGCTTGTTGGATCTATAAAATGACCAGAACCCCATTAAACGATCAAATTGAATTGCTTCCCTGCAAAATTTATTTCAGAAATTGCTTTTATGGACTCTATAATGTTGAGTGGACGCTGTGTAGTTCTTATTCAAATAGTTGTCATAAATATTCGGATTTAAAAATATGATTTGATTTGTTTCCACAACTCATATGAAAGGATATTTTATAAATAATAAATTCGGGAGAGGAATAAAATTTCTCAAGGAATTTTTCATCAACTCTCAATTTATAGAATTTTTATATTGAGTATATTTCACATATTTTCATTTCATCGGGGGAAGGAAAGGCTGACAAACTGTTTCACAAGGAGGGGAAGATAATTTTTATTTTGACGTATTGTACTCTAAACACATACATTCAATATGAGGCTTTTTAGGTGCAATTTTCATCATTGTCAATTTTAATTTAATTTGTGAGAATAATTTTCCCTGGAGTTGTTTTTGCAAAAATTATCTCATCACTTAAACATCAAAGTGCGGGATGCATTGAAGTGTGACAATTGCGGTCAATTAGCTGCGTAAACAGACTAATTTGCAGATCTCTAAAATAAACCAATGGAGAGTGTATGAAATGGCAAAATTAATTCCAAAATAATTTTGCCATCCGTGCATTAGCCCATCAAATGCCGAGTTCTCTAAAACAATAAACAGTGATATCATTAATAAAATAAAACGCTTTCCATGTCCCATTTCGGCTCAACCGTGTTTATGTTCCGGATTAAAATATTCATTTGAAGAGTGTGTGTAGATACTTCTTTCGATGCAGTGAAGCGAGAGTGTGGACCCCTCTCTGATTTGGCTGTATTTCTCATTGTTTTCCGTCGCCGAATACAAGACTTTCAGGTTGACTGAATTGAAAATTATCCCTCCGCGACTCGAAGGTGGTGAAACATCCCCCCAAACTCAAGACATTTCCATCCAACCTCTTATTGTTGAGTATCATCGTCAATTTTGCGGAACTCAGCTCCTTCTATGGCGCATCTGAATGAGCTGGCAGGAAAAAAAGGAAGGGACGAAAAAACCAAGAGAAGAGTATAAAAGCGACAGGATGAGGGAGTTGAAGCATTTTTGCCAAAACTGAATGAATGGAATGACTTTTTGCTTCAATACCATCCATGTACATATGTATGTATTTATGAGTCGCGCATTATTAAAGTCGACTGAAATATTCTTGTTCTCTAATTATCCAGCAAATATATCTTGAAGATGATTCTATGAATAATGTTGCATGGCGAGAAGTTAGTTCTTACCATTTTGATAATTCTTGCAAGCCAATCTGAGAAGATTTCTCAAAAAAATCAAAGTTAATTTGTGTATGTGATCCAAGAATATCTCAAACGACTTCTGCATTTCTCACTTTACATGGTAGACGAAAAAAATGTATATGGTAAGATATGGAGACGCGATACACCTCTCAATGATACTTTGGCACCACAAAAGAGGGGCTCTTACAGTTTTTTCAGGCTCTTTCAAGCGCAATGTCTTGTCTGGGAAATCAAAGGCCGCCTCCACTATCTGGGCTCAGGGAGAAAATCTCTTGTAGACAGAAAAATTAACACGAACCGTCGAGATGAATTTTTCTGGCGCACTGAATCTCTTGAGATGAATTCAAGAAAAGCTGTTGACGAGCATTTTTTGGGTGAATGGAATTTGTTTGGCAAAGATAAATTACGTGATTAAAAACCAGTGACAGCGGAGGGCTTTCCCGAAGTGTTGAACCACATGGGAGGAAGGCGCACGAATAACATTTTAATGAGAATTTCTCATTGAGGACGAAAAGTGTATTGTTGAATGAGCACAAATGTGAGTCCAGACGATGTGAAATAATTTTTTTCTGGGCCACCTCACCCTGCCTCGTCGTCACAGCCATTTTACATGCTGTGAAATGTCGAGATAGTTATGCATGGTGGAAAAGACAAACAGAAGATAGACATCTCGGCAGTAATGGAAAATGAAATTAATTCATTTCTTGTTACGATGAAGTGCAATTGGAAAGGAGACTCGCGGCGTAATACATTTGTCAAATAAAACAGGCCCCAAACCACACCCTTGCTATTATCATATGCCGTGGCATAGAGAATGGAATTAGGAAAAAATGGAATTACGCTTCCCTCTGTGAGTGATTAATTGTTAATACCAAATTACATTTTATTCATGCAAAATAAATGATGTCTTTGCTCTTTTTTCTCCTCACTTTATCTTATCTCATCGTCATTCACAATGAGATCACCCTCCCTGATTCTCCAATCTCGCACGAATTCTTTCAATGCGCGCCTTCAGCCCTTCCAATAAGGCGGAATGTAATGCTCTTTCTGAAAAGGTATAACAACGTCGCGAATTTTCATTGATTTATGAAAATTCTTGAGATGCAGAATTTTCTCTTTGACAGCATTATTTGCAAATTGCGAGGAAAATCAGGCAGAGAGATCATAAATTCACTTTATTACAGATTTTGATTTCCACTCTCAAGGGACAAAGAGAGAAATCAGATTTCATATGATTTTTTTTTAATAAAGAATGTCTAAATCCTGGAAACTCATTACTTGTCAAGTTACTTGCCTTTCTTTCTTGTATTGTTTGCTCCAAGTTTGAGTAGTAGAAGCGAATAATGTTGAGGTTTTATTCGTATTCCGTGAAGGGTGTAATTAGAGTCAGAGATTGCGAAAAGATGCACAAGGTCTCTTGCTTTTTTCTAAGCGTTTATTGAGGCATCTTTGCGGGGGTGTTCAAATTAATTCCACCCCTAATCCGATATTCCATCAGACAATTCTTGACTGAGAACTTCTTCACACAATCATCTTAGTCGCACGCAAAACGAAGAGGGTGTCTAGTAAAAATCTCTGAAGAGGACAAAATGTCGCGTTGAAATTTTTCAAGGATTTTTTTCCACTATTGTTCCATTGCGAGATTTTGCCAAGGGTGGGCAAGCAATTTGTATTCGTCAAAGATCTCTTGCGTCAATGCAATGAATATTCCTCAGAAGTCAGTAAGGAAACTGACATGAACAAGTAGGACGAAATTGATTATATAGCTCAATTATCATGTCGATCCTTAATTAAGTTATTGGGTCCTGATGAAACGTGGTTTTGCTGGAAGTGCAAGAAAGTGTATCATTGTTAATGTAACATTATAATTTGCAACAATGGCTTTGTCGACAGGAATTCGCATGTGATAAATTGAAATGTGGTTTACTAATTCCCTTCTGCTCCATTCCTGGGCAAAGGACTAATGGATTTTGACTTTATTGAATTTCCATGCCACTACAGACAACATATTGTTTACATTCTATTCATAAATGGCGCTAGAAATTATTGCCATGATGTGTTCCAACTTCTTCGCATGCGACTTATATATGGGTGTTCATTTGAATTTGAATACCAAACGATTTCATTTGGCTTCTCAATATGTGTATGGGAATGTGGTGCGACGAAGGGTGTTCATGGTAATTCCTCAAATATTGGAAATTCTGCCAAAAGCTCCATTGAGCTGTCTTCATTCAATATGTTCTGGTGAATGAGATTTAATAATGGACTCTAAGGCAAATGCATTGAGTTTTAGTGCGTCTACGAAAGGAAGTTGTGTCCCTAACTCCTCCTAAATGTACTTAATTTATCATGATATTATCATTGTGGGGGATTTATAGAGAAATTCGCATTCATGATACATATTTCTGAACATAATGCGGTTTCTCTTTTCCAAATCAAATGGAAAATGAGTCATTTCCTCGTGAGGTAATGAAAGATACTCGTGTGAAATTATGACGCTTATGGCTTATAGAAATATGTCAACAAAATTGCAAGAACAAATAAGTGCAGTGACAAATTTTTATGGTCAATAAAACACCCGACTTTCATATCTCAATAAAGAGATACAGTATTTGGCATCTTCGCGATATCGGGCCCTTTCGGCAATAATTTTGCCACAATGCGTGCCACAGTAACGACGAAAGTTATTAAAAGAATGGCCATTAAGTGGATGAAAGGTTATTGAATCCCTCAGCAACAATGTCTTCATTTTGACAAGATTGTTGAGAATCATAAGATTCCTGAGTGACTCACAGCGTGTTTTATTTCATCATGAATTTTCCGTGATTAGAAATATGTATCCTGAGAAACTTTCGTTATAACATACCTGAGAAGTCTTTTAGCAATGATTTTATTTCCTTATTTTATCGATTGGTAAGTATAATGGAGTGAAATTGAATGCACTCACTTCTTTTGCTTCAAATGAGTAATACACTTCTTGCCAAATCAAATAACAATAAAAATATCGAATAAGAGGTGTGGTGAGTTTGAGGATATAAAAAATTCAAATGTACGCATATAAGGAGAGTCAAACTGACGTAAATCATTACTTTTATGACACTGGAAGCTACTCGAGAGAAAAGCCGAAAGGGTGAGTTTTGATTAGCTTTCTTCATGGGCAATAGTATTTAGGACTATAAAATGTATTTCAAGCAAATAAATGGATTGAAGTTTTTATTGTTCTCTATTAAAGTTGTGCTGCTGGCTGCAGAAGGGAGCACTTCTATTCCATCGCGCAAACACACCCAAATGCGCGGGAAATACTTCAAGGGGTGAGTGAACGCTCTGCGATATTGAAAAATTTTTGACAAGTGATAAAATGCCGAAATAAAATGCTTTGATTAGGACACTTGCATATAAAGAGTCGACAAATATTCCCACACGAGAAATATTTGTGTGCCAATGTTACACATTCTTTCTTAGAAATTCTATTTGCAATTGTATTTCATTGAAATTGTTTGCGTTCTA